AATCCTGAAATACTCTGAAGTGTCTGAGTCTGGAAGAAGGTTTGTGAAGAGCCTCAGTAAGCTGGAAGTCCAGTCCACCCTGTTTGTCCCAGAGAACAGTGGTCTGCCGGAGAACCTGGTGAGTCCCAGAGTCGGAGACTCATCTGCTCCCAGCTGCAGTGTCCTCACTGATGTGTCCCAACAGACCCTTTCCCCACGGGACATTGAGTTCCACCTGTCTGAGGGTCAGGCTCTTCCTCTGAGCCAACTGAAGAACAACAGCCGGATCAGGACTCGAGTTGGCAGTCTGTCAGTCCTCGGGGTTGCCAACCTTCTCAACCCTTCAGCTCTGGTGAGACACCAGCCTCCTCCACACAGGGGGGCAGGGGGGAAAGTTCATGGAGGTTATTTGTTTCTGACAAAGCTAGTCTCTTAAAGAAGGTCATGTTTCTGCTCCTCAGGCTTCCTGTTTCATCAACGACCGCTTTGTCACCGACTCAGATATTCTTGCTTCTAACGGGATCATCCACGTCCTGCAGGGACCTCTGGAAGCTCCTCCTCCCCGTCCAGACGTGAGTCGCATCATAATGTCGTTTTGTTTACCCAGCAGATGAGTGACTGTGTTTCTGATTGGCCGAGCAGATGCATTCGGCCCACCAGGCTGGGATGGGAGTGGGAATGGTTCTCCTGTTCCTTCTGGTGGTGGGAGCCATCTTTGTTGGATACCGGTTCTACCACCACAGCAGCAAACCCTTCCAGTTCCACTACTTCAAGGTGAGCAAGCGTCTGGTCGGTTTTAAAACAGACCAGGGATCTGACAGGTTACATAGACAGAAGCTATGTTCTGTTTTAAAGACATGAACCCAGTAGGTTCTGGCAAGTTCAGTCTTGCTCTCTCATTAAATCGTCTCTGCTGGACAATCTTTACCAGTTCTGCTGCGTTTCCATCCAGGCCAGGTAATCCATGACATGAACTTCCAGGAAGTGGCAGTTTGTCAGCGTCACACAGATGTACAGATGTGTCTCCTTTACTTCTCCTAAAATCCACTATGAGTTCCTTGACTGTGTGTAGCATAGAGTAATCTTGCTAAAGATTACTCTTTAGCAAGATTAGCCATCTTTAAGGCTAGTCTTAAAGATTTCCGCTGGCTAAGCCGGAGTGTGTGGGTCTTGCCAAATGTTGACTTTTTGCACTTTGTTATTCAACTAATGATTGGACCGGCTCCACCAAATATCCTCCTTTAATTTGTGAGTACAAAACACAAAACTGAACTGCTAAAAGTTGTAAAAAAAAAAAACTAGACCCCCTCAGTGACCCCAGGGGCCCTCAGTGACCCCAGAGCCCCTCAGTGACCCCAGGGGCCCTCAGTGACCCCAGAGGCCCTCAGTGACCCCAGAGCCCTTCAGTGACCCCAGGGGCCCTCAGTGACCCCAGAGCCCCTCAGTGACCCCAGGGGCCCTCAGTGACCCCAGGGGCCCTCAGTGACCCCAGGGGCCCTAAGCAACTGCTTAATCTGCTTGTGACCCAGACCGGCCCATCCCAGCTTTATGATGTGTGGCTGTTAGTATTTGCTTCCCCTTTATGTAAGATATATTAATGTGCATCATCAGATGTAATTTAGATTTTCGGTTCTTCCACTACAGACTGAAGGGCCACAAGTGGTTTTCAGGATGAATTTCAGAAAAATGGCATCAGATTTGTTTCAGCTTGTAAAGTCTCTCTTATTGACCTTTGGGTTAGATTGGATTAAACAGTTACATTTTGGGTTTTGATTGGACAGCAGTAGAATTTGTGTAATTGATGCAAGGCGTCGTCCAGGAGTTGATGGTTTTAATCCCAGTTTGAAACCAGTTAAACCACCTTTGGCTCCATCAACAGAGCTTCAGGTCTGACTTTCCCTCCATCCAGGATTTGTCCAGGCAGCCAAAATCTCTGCAGACCTCACACATGCTGGACATGAACAGTTTCGAGATTGACCTTCAGGTGGCGCTGCAGAGACAGGCTCCTCCCCCGGCCTGAAACCCGGCATCTCTGCATTAATTAACCGTTTATGTCCCAAATATTCATCATGAAATGAAATGAGCTCGAGTCCAAACGTTAAACCGACTGGTTTCTGCAGGACGACGACAGAGAAGAAGAACCTGCAGCTGAAACGACAAACTACAGCCGCAGCATCTCTAACCCGGTCTATGAAGCAGGTCCAGAACCAGCAGGTCCAGAACCAGCAGGTCCAGAACCAAGCCGGTCCACTGGGAGTCTAGAGCGTCTGTTCAGGTGGAGTTTCTGTGGTTCTGCTGCGATGTTCAGGTGAGACCTGAGGTTTAACCTGAGCCGTCTCTGCAGGTGGAGGACAGACATGAGGCGGTGGATGGAGGACAGCTGGACCTGGACTCGGTCTGCTGGTTCAGAACCACTCCTACAGCTATCATCCATCAGAGTCCTTTCTGAAGAGCGAAGCCACGAAACCTGAAACTCAGATGTAAAAGTTCTGGAGAGTTCTGGTTCTGATGGTTCTACAATGTTCTGGTTCTGATGGAGTTCTGGAAAATAAAATAAAATATCAAAGCTGATCTGAGTCATTAGTTTTTGATCGATTCTTTTCACATTAAATTCTACTAAACCCCATCAGAGCAGCGAGACAGAAGTTCTCCGTCAGGTCCAAACAGGTCCAGAACCAAGTACTGCCCAGGTCAACGTTCTGGACCTGGTTTAGTAGACGGCGTGTTACAAAATGGAGGAAAACATCTGAGCGATCCGGAGCTGCTGAGAAGTTCAGCTGAATCATTTTGGGTTCTGTTCATTCCGTTCCCAAAGGTCCGGTGCAGAAATGGACCCGAGGAGAATCTTAAAATGTTTCAGATGGTGGAGCTCAGAACAGCAGAACCTGCTGATCCGCCTCTGGATCTAGTCCAAACCGGACTGCACCGGAACCAACCTGTTGCTTGTCTGATACCATCCATAGCTGTGCTTTCCAGGGAAAGCAGAACCTGTGCAGGCCCGTTTCCTCCGGTCGGTGCTGGTCAGCAGGTACCTGACCTGCTGACCTTCACCTGAACCCCAGGGTCCTAAACTCCGCCTCTTTTCCCTCCCAGACTTGGATTCAGTCTCATTGGTTGCATTTTGGTTGAGACGTCTGGAAAAATGTTTCTACGTCTGGCAGCATCTGAGATCAGCGTTTCTGAGATCAGCGTTTCTGAGATCAGGCCTTAATTTTACAATAAACTGATAAAGTTAGAAAACATGAACATGTTAACTCAGAATCACACAGCTGTATTGTTCTGTGACGTCATCGATCCGTGGCCGGCTCCTCTCCGCTGCAGCACCAGTGGTGCAGCTGGTGCTGCAGGTCATAGGTCATCAGTCACCAAGGCCTTTGTTCAGCAGACGTTCTCCCCATCCAGCCGCGCAGCAGGACCAGCTGTCCAGATCCTCGTCTTCCTCTGAAGCAAATATTATATAAAATATATTGGAGACACTTTTGGACCTGATGACAGAACCAGGGACACGTTAATGGAGCTGCTGTCTGAACTATTCAGAAACTGGGTCCCAGCAGCCCTGCAGGTTCTCAGGTAGGAAGTTTGGACCTTCTGCTGCTCACCGTGTCCGGCAGAGACACTGGAGACACTGAGGCAGAGACACTGGAGACACTGAGGCAGAGACACTGGAGACACTGAGGCAGAGACACTGGAGACACTGAGGCAGAGACACTGGAGACACTGAGGCAGTCACTGGAGACACTGAGGCAGAGACACTGGAGACACTGAGGCAGACACTGGAGACACTGAGGCAGACACTGGAGACACTGAATCGACTTCTGGACAACTTCAACGTAGATCTTTCATGGTAGATAGTTACTCAGTACTGGTACATTCAAACAATTATCAATATATTCAGATTTATACAGATGCACCAAAAATAACTGGAAAAGTATGAAAAGGTTTTGTAGAACCAGAATTCAACATGAAAATAGGAAAATGAATAACAGACAGATTATTAGTTTACACAGGAGAAATGTTGGCAATATTATTGTTTTGCAAGACATAAAATCATTTAAAAAACATAATAATATGTTCAAATTCAAGCTCTGAACAAAAAACTGGCAAATGTGATCACTATGGAAAATATGAAACCACGTTATATTAGAATGTCATAAATATGAAAGACAGAAAATATACGAGGAGAAAATTTGAATGTATTAAGGAAAAGATGAATTCATTAGATATTTTGAGGAAGAAGTAGACATACAAATAGTTATTAGATTTTTAGAGAAAACTCAATTATTTGATAGAATTAGATTTTAGTGTTTGAATATGTGGATGATATAGATGGTAGAATACAAAGTTACGTATGAGTTTGTATTTCTATGTATAGGGAGGATATATGTATCTATTTATTTATCATTATTACTACTGTGGTTATTATTATTCCATCCAGAGCTTCGCAGGTTGTTGTTGAAAATCCCAGTAAATCAACAAATTCTGAAGCTCTCGGGTCGACCCGTCTGGTACCGACATCCATGGAGCGCTGAGTAACTTGATTTCACCTTCTTCCTCTTTCTGATGCTCACCTTGAACTGCAGCAAGTTGGCCGTGATTGGCTGATTCTCTGTGCTGCCTGAAATGGTGTACCTAAAACAATGGCCAGTATGTGTCCCTTCTAGTGTAAGAAATCCTCCAGGGGCGCCGGAGAGTCTGGGAATCCATCCATCCATCCATCCATCCATCCACAGGTTTATAGAAATATAAAACCCAGACAGTCATGTGACTCAATGATCTCTTCCTCCAGATGTTCCTGACAATTTCCAGCAGACCAGAACCCTGAAGACAGGAGAACACCTAGGCCTCTAGCCCCTCCCCCGGCCTCTGGCTCCTCCCCCTGGACCTGTAGCCCCTCCCCCGGCCTCTGGCTCCTCCCCCTGGACCTGTAGCCCCTCCCCCGGCCTCTAGTCCCTCCCCCTGGACCTGTAGCCCCTCCCCCGGCCTCTGGCTCCTCCCCACCCCGCCCAGCCTGTCCTCTGTCCTCCCTGCTCTTAGTGCCTCAGTTCGGGCGGCAGCAGCAGCTGCAGCAGCTGCAGCAGCAGGATGAACTCCATCAGCTCGGTGATCCTTCAGGCCACCAGCTGCCTGTGTGAACGCTGGGGCTGCATGCCGCTGCAGCAGCTGCAGCAGGAGCTGCAGCAGCGTTGCAGGATGACAAATGAAGACTTCATCTACATCATCCAGAACTGTCCGCAGCGCTTCCTGCTGGTCCCGGACGGGGAGTCCTACTCGGTGGTCGGTCGCACCTCCCTGCGGCTCTGCGGGCCCTACAGCCGGGGGGCCCGCTGCGGGGGAAACTGCCAGCAGCTGCATCTCTGCCGGTTCTACGTTTTCGGGAACTGCAGGTTCGGGAAGGGCAGGTGAGCCGAGCACACAGAACTAGAACCCGAACCGCTGCGGGACTACTTCCCTCCGCCGCGGCGCGGACTAATACACTGACTTGTGTCTCCTGAAGTGAAAGCAAAGCTGAGACAAAGTTTCCCTCCTGGTTCCGGTTCCGATGTTTCACACAGGTCATGGATCAAGCACCAGGAAATCGAACCCGACCCGGAACATTAAACAGAACCAGATAAAAACTGAGTAAAACAATATCAACTCTTCCTGACGTCACAGAGTGACGTCACAAACCGAGAGTTTTGGTTTGTAGAGAAACGAAACTGAAAAAAAAATTAAGTATTACTTTTACAGCTAAGGATAAACTGTTTGGGATGGACAAATGTAAACTTGTTAAAACAAAATTAATATTTTATTATTTACGGTAAATATCATATTTATACCTCCAAATATTCAGAGCACAAACCTAACCTTAAGATTTTATTATCCTCTATTAATATTTATATAGAATCTTTAAAAATGAGCTGAAATGCCAAAGCCATTCAAATCTTAGAATCCCTTAAGGAAATAAAACCCTGGAGCAGCGATTGGATGTTAATATTGTAAAACAATTGTTCTATAAAGCCCTTTAATGTTGTAAATGTATCTGTTTGTAATTAAGAGTGTTAGATGTTGTTTATGTTTGTTCTGTTTTTGCAATAAAAAAAAAAAGAAAAGAAACTGAAGGTACACTTCCGCTCTGTGCTGAGATCCAACAGAACCAGAACCACAGAACCAGAACCACAGAGCCAGAGCCAGAGCTAATAAAATCAAGTTGATTCCATCCATTGATTCAGTTCTGATCCGGTTCTGAGCCGGTTCTGAGCCGGTTCTGATCCGGTTCTGATCCGGTTCTGAGCCGGTTCTGATCCGGTTCTGAGCCTCAAACCAAACTTGGAGAAACTGAAGAATTTGATCCAAAGTCACAGAGGAAAGTGAGGTGATTATTTCATTGAATCATTTATTCAAGAAATCATTTATCTGGAAATATTTCTGGAGTTTCTCCCAAATCTAGAGTTTAGTTTTCTGTCCTGAGTGTCCAGGTGTTCTCAGGTCATATCCATGTCTTTTGTCAACAGGAAGTTGTGCAACCTGTCCCATGACGTGTCCTCCCGGCACAACGCCGGGCTGCTGAGAGAATGCACGCTGCAGCAGCTGCAGGAGGACCAGCTGTTCCTGCTGCTGCTGCAGAACGACCCGCAGCTGCTGCCTGAGGTAACGCCACATCTGCTCAGGTCGCTCTCATGGGCCAGAGGTCAGAGGTCAGACAGTTTACCTGCCGTCATCCAAGAGCACACATGTTCAGTCTGAAGGCAGAACTTCATGTCTTTTGGCGCTCACACTTAGTCTCTGCTCGGACTCTTTCCTTGCTTCTGAAAACGCTTTTTGGCACAGTCGCCTAGCAACCTCTCAGCCAATAGAATGAAAGTGTTGTACTGGGTGTGGCTACGATCCACTGTAGCAACCTGCGCCACCCACAGACGGTCAGTTTCTGCTCTGTGGTACAATAAACATCCAGCAGCAGAGCTACTAACCACCGCGGCGGCGGTCTACACACAGTTGACCCCATTGGCTGCTCTGGCAAGAAGGACAAATCTTAAAGACACAGTCAGTGTTTTCAGCAAAGTTGAGTTGAATTTCCAGAAACGACACCAGAAATGTAAAGTTTCAACAGGAAGGCCATCGAGAGAAACTGGAATCACTTTCAGGTTTTGTTTATGTCATTTAATTATCTCTACTGCCTTGAGAAAATGAAAAAATATAGTGTTTATAAGATATTTTATATTTTACGGTTCCAGTAATGCTGATAATAAATAATAAAGACTTTGTGTTATTCTGATTTAATAATGTAATTATATTAGTTGTGTTACCTCCCCACGCCACTAGAGGCAGTATCAGGCCCAAAAGATGTGACTAAGGAGCAGATTTAGAAGAACACAGGAAACTACAGAATGTGTTAAAAACTGCAAGATGCGCTGAAATAAATAAAAGAGAGAAGATTAAATAGAAGCTGAGAGTGAAAATCCTTCCTAAAGGTGAAAATATATCAGATTTCAAAGAAAAATAAAAACAAGAGACATAGATAATATGGGAAATAGCGCCCCCTTCACTTTTGGAGTGCAACGGTCCCATTTCCAGATAAGGTCTGAGGCTGACAGCGGTCTGTCGCCCTTCCTGTTAGCTGCAGCAGGTTCTTCTCTTCTACTTGGCTAAACCAAACAGCAGCTTCAGCACCGCTGAATATGTTTCATCAACAGACTATTGTCGTGAGATCTCGAGGGTTTACGTTTCACAAGTAAGATTGACATATTACAGTTTATATTTTGTGAATATATTATTACTAAACTGTATGATATCCACCAGCAAACAGCAGCTAATATTAGAGAGTTCGCTGTAACACCGGTTCAGCTAAAGGCCAACTGAGATTTAGGAAATCTGAAAAAGTTTGACTTATTGCCTAACATTGATTTAGATTATGTGACACAAAGTGGCAAAGACTGTTATTTATGTGTGATTGTTTGACAGTAAGATGTTTTAGTCTGAAGGTTTCATAAAGACGATGTGAGGAAGAGGAGGGAGACGATTCACTGCCATGATGAAGGTCTTCAGCTCCTTGGCTGGAAAACATGAATAAAACATTTATAGATATTATTTATATACACATACATACTTTAATACATATTATTCAGTAATAATCATTACCAGTGTTGGCATAGTTACTTTAAAAAAGTAACTAACCGGATTACTGATAACTTGATTTGGAAAGTAACTAAGTTACATTAAAAGTAACTATTTTAGTTACTTCCAGCAGCCGCTAACAACAACACTATGATAATCACATTGATCTTTGCCAAAACTTAGTTGCAAGTTATTTTATAACGGTAACATCAACAATGTGTCTCCAGTTCTCAGGTTGAACTAAAGAGGAGATTTTAATGTTACAACCCAGTTAGTCACGTGTGTTTTTGTTTCTACTGTCTGGAAAAGTAAGCAGGATCTAAAGACCCCATCCTGCCCCCATTCTGCCCCCATCCTGCCCCCATCCTCCCCCCATCCTCCCCCCATCCTGCCCCCATCCTCCCCCATCCTCCCCCCATCCTGCCCCCATCCTGCCCCCATCCTGCCCCCATCCTGCCCCCATCCTCCCCCCATCCTGCCCCCATCCTGCCCCCATTCTGCCCCCATCCTGCCCCCATCCTCCCCCCATCCTCCCCCCATCCTGCCCCCATCCTCCCCCCATCCTCCCCCCATCCTGCCCCCATCCTGCCCCCATCCTGCTCCCATCCTGCCCCCATCCTCCCCCATTCTGCCCCCATCCTCCCCCCCCCTTCTGCCCCCATCCTGCCCCCATCCTCCCCCCATTTTGCCCCCATTCTGCCCCGGCCTCCAGGTTGTGTGTTACGGCCCTGTGTTTGCTGTCAGAGTGCAGATCTGCTGCGGCTCCACAGCTCAGATAGCTGCACAGATTTATATAAATATTAATAATTATAATGCTGTTTAGTTGCACAACTTTACGAACTCGCTCATTTGTGGCTGTTTTCATGTTTATTGTTGTTCATATTAGTCTCCATGTTTCCAATTTTCTGGATCGCTCAATGTCATTCAGAGGTAAAATATTAACTTGACATTAACAAAGATGAGTGGGACGGATCATCCAGGACATGATGGACAGAGACAGTCTGACTAAAAGTACCTTCATAACGGACAAATTCTGGGCTTTATTATGATTCTCTGCTTATTTCCAAGCCCAAATGAGGAACTTGACGTTCAAAAACGAGCCCAAAAAGGAGCAACCTGCAACTCATTAAATCTGCAAGCAGCTTAAAAATAAAAAAAAAGCCCAAAGTCACTTATCATAATCTGACTTGGCGACAGAAACTCAAAATAGTTCCTGTTTTTCCACCAACAAAATGCATTTCCTCTATTGTTGATTGTCTGTGGCTGATTTTGTGGCATAAAGACGTGGAAGACAGAAATGATTTCAATAAGTAGCTGCAGTCTGACTGCTGCATCTCAAATAGCAACGTTAGATTTCTGGTTACTGAAGAAAGTAAGTAACGTGTCACTCAGGTCACTGATCATTGTTTAATCCTGTTTATTTCTATGATTGTATTATTTTGTGTTTGTATATTTCTAGAAATATGATTTTACTGAACGATATACTAAAAACATTATGCTCATCGTTCTGTTCCAAATCTATTCTGTTTTCCCCATAAAGAATATTTAAATATGCAGAACCATGCATCAATTCAAAATCACTTCAAAATGAACGTTCCTATAAATGTAGCTTTGTTGACTGTTGTTAGGGTTAACACCTGTTAAACATACATTAACAAAGAGAAAAGACAAAAGAGTTAGATTCTTTTTCACTCGCGAGGAGAACGGACAGAGATGTGCTTCAGTTACAATCTCCTACCGCTCTGAAGCACATTTTGTCTGCTCCTCTATTTTATTGTTTCTAGGATCCCTAATCACAAGGACGCTGTAGCTCTAAAGGGAGGGGGCAAACAGCTACAGCGTCAAATGTTATTCACTAACTAACACACAATCATTCTGTACTAGATAATGTCCTTCCAGGCACAAAGATTAATAAATATGTAGTGATCTTAGCAATGATGGTTTTATTGGAGGCCAGCAACTCAACCGAAGCAGAGCTCTTCACCAAGAGGTAAACCTGCAGGAAGATTTTGTTTCTGCTCTGTCAGTGAGGCCTTCTGAGAAAAGAATCAGAGTAAATCAACAATACAAGAAACATTCTTAATTCTATAATGAGATTAACTTTAAGGAAAGCATAAAATAAAGATACATTATAAAGATCAATGAGAATAACAAATAATTGATTAATAATATCACAATTTCTCCAACAGCTGTGTAACTAAGGCTTACAGCAAAATAAATTGTGAAAATCTGTTCAGTATTTAGCGAGTTATGATGGATTAAATGCGCCGATGCTTCAGTGCCTCTGTCAAACATATGAGGCTGAGTGGAGCGGTCCGTAATATACTTCCTGTTTCAGGAGGAGGAAACCAGAAACATGTCGGTGCTTCTTCAGACCAAACACATCAGTGTCTTCATTTCCTCAGAACTGCTTTAATCATGCTGTTTTCATGCTGCTCAGTCCTGACCACTAGATGGCAGTAACTTTTTCACACAACTTTAAATATGGCTGAACTTTTCAAGAGCACCTGGCTGCAGACGCCATCAGCAGAGGAACTCCTCTGGATGTTTAGATATGTCTGGGATTATTTTAATCTGGTGGATTCAGAGGATTAGGAACTCTACAGGCCTCAGACCTCAGGGCTATGAGCGCCATCTGGTGGTGATTGTTCTCTTGTACTTCAGTAGAAACTGAATGGTTTCTGAAGAACTTTCACTTTCCATCCATAAATGTTCCTTCAATTGAAACATGATTAAAAGGAACAAGGTTATAAATTATAGTCACGAAACTTAATAAAAGGGCCGTTAAGGTCACTATTTTCCTGTCTTATTTTGAAAAGCTCTGACTTGTGTTGTCTGTCTGTTCTGTTTCCATCGTCGTTCGCCTCATTTTGTCTCAGGACGTCCCAGAGCATTCAGATTACCGTCCAAACTGTTCTAACGGGAACAAAACCCGATAAAATCCAACCGGTTTGGAGATGCTGGACAGACTCCGGATCCGACTCCCGAGGTTTGGCGTGTTTTCGGTCCGCCGATGATTCAGAGTGTTCATGTCTGTGGTTTGGTTTACTGGAACCAGTTGGACCAGTTAAGCTCCTGCTCTGCCCAGCCTGGATGGAAGGGAGGAGGACAGGATGAAGATCTGAGGAAGACAAACTTTAATGTTAAAGTTTAATCTGAAAGCAAAATGGAGAGAATGCAAGATGAGAAAAAAATTTAAAAAAAGAACTAAATAAATAAACTAAGAATGTCTCACCAAGGAGGTAAAGTAAAACTCTTCATGCTCACTTTTCATGTTCAAATCACTGCTGTGTAACTGAAACAGTTCATCTGAACTGAACTGAACTGAACTGAACTGAAGATGGTTTGGATCAGGAACAGGTTCATGTGGAGCTTTTGGGTCATGTGTATAACCTGGTCCTGTTTGGACTCCAGGTCTCCTCCGTCAGAACCACCAGAACCATCATCCAGAGTCTAACTGGGTCACAGGACGTTCCCAGGCCCAGTTATGCTCCCAGTTTAACTTTGAGAATTTTTCCACATTTTGCTGAGCTCGGTGTGACGATGGTTCTGACCCGGTGGAATCAGCAGAACCAGTTTCTCTATCCAGTCGTAGATGTTTCCGTCAACCACTGCTTCAGGACTTCCTGGTTTCTGACCAATCAGAGAGCAGAGAAACATGCCCTCTCACTGGCTGGTTCTGGAGGAACTGGACCTGAAGGTTCTGAGTTTTTCTGGGTCATTTTGAAGCTCATGGTGCAGTTGGAGGGAGTAACCATAGCAACCAGTTTCTCGTCAGCCATCTTGGCTGCCTCCTTTGGGTGCTGGCTTTCTCAGCTAAACAGGAAGAAGACGGCAGGCGCCTTTCAAAGTAAAGGCTGGTGTAGCAACATGTGGCTGAGGATGATGTGCAGCAAAGTTTCCTCTGATGAAGGCTTGACCCGTAGCTGATGTCCTGCTCCTCCTCAGGTGTGTGTTCACTACAACAAAGGCTCGGCTCCCCACGGCAGCTGCAGGTTCCAGGACTCCTGCTCCAAGCTGCACCTGTGCCAGCACTTCCTGCAGGGCGTGTGCCGCTTCGGGCCGCGCTGCAGGCGGCAGCACGCCGTGGACCACAGCAGCCAGAGCGTCCTGGAGCAGAGGGGGCTGAGCCGCCAGCTCATCAGAGATCTGCCCGCCATCTACAGGAACGCCCATCACCTGAACGCCGCCGCCGCGTCAGCTGCTGCTCCATCACCTGCTGCTGCATCACCTGCTGCTGCATCACCTGCTGCTGCTGCAGACGGTGAGCTGAAACATCCTCCTCCGGCACGTTGCTGTTCCTCGGTGACCTGTGGTCATTTGAAATGTTACGCAGTCTGAAATGAACAGCAGTAATTTGTCATAAGAGAAAAATCAGCGTTCATTCATATTTTCACCATGTGGTTCATTCATGTCAGTTTCAAACTGAATATTTAGTCAGCAAGCTCAGGATTTATTTTAGCTGAAAAAGTATTTAGACTAAAAATATCCATCTATTTTCTAACACCTTGTCCCCAGTGGGTCAGGAGGAGCTGCTGCCTCTGCAGCAACGTTCTGGGCGAGAGGCAGGGTCACCTGTAGGGGTCACCTGGGCAGGTGGTCAGTCTGTCGCAGGGCACCAGACTGTTAACCTGACAGTCATATTTTTGGACTGTGGGAGGAAGCTGGAGAACCCGGAGAGAACATGCAGACTCCGTGCAGAAAGAATCGAACCCAAGACCTTCTTGCTGCAAGGCACCAGTGCTACCAACTGCGCCACCGCGTTGCCCTAATTTAAAGACATAATGAGCCATATTTAGTTAGTATGCTAAACATTTAGTTTCAAACTAAATGCTTAAGTGCTGTTGTAAAAGAATATTTTAGTAATTGAGAATATTTGTATGGAGAACTGACTGACTGACTGACTTTTTCCCATTCACTCCAAAACTATGAAGACCCGATTCTGATGTCACAAAAGCTGCTGTAGTTTAACCATCGCATCGCAAAATTCAACAATCCCCACAAACCCTCACAAAGCACATCACAAGTCAACGCCATGCTGCTGCCACTTCACAACAACTCATAGGTGGAAGTGAGCGCTGCCCTCCACAAATAACCATCCGACCGGAACACGGTGCGCTGCAACTGACGTCCAGTCAGGCGACGTCTGAACGTCATGGAAAAATCAGATATGATGATCACTAACTGCACTGGCTGCCAGTCTGTGGCAGCAGCTCCTCCTGTCTGAACGGCGCCAATAAGATGGTTAAAAAACATTTCATATATCAACTGATATTCCATCATTAAGCTCATCTATATAATGTTCAGTGTTTCTTGCCTCCAACTGTGTGTGTAACGTGTTTCATGCTGAGCAGCGATCAGAAATCAGAGAACAGACTGGAGGAGGCAGTTCTCTGGCCTCCTGGCAGGGGGCGCTCATGATCCCAGACACTGAGACTCCACACTGCAGAGGAAGAGACAGCAACAGCTAGCCCTGGAGCTAGCCATGGAGCTAGCCCTGGAGCTAGCCCTGGAGCTAGCCATGGAGCTAGCCCTGGAGCTAGCCATGGAGCTAGCCCTGGAGCTAGCCATGGAGCTAGCCCTGGAGCTAGCCATGGAGCTAGCCCTGGAGCTAGCCATGGAGCTAGCCCTGGAGCTAGCCATGGAGCTAGCCCTGGAGCTAGCCATGGAGCTAGCCATGGAGCTGCTGCCACAGGCTTTTTCTTCTGCATGGAAAATAAATAAAAAATAAGTTTTTAAATGTAACTTTAACTTAGAAAAGTTTGTCAATATACAATAAAGACTAAATTAATTCCATAAAATGTGAGAAAAAATTGCTTAGAAATCAACACAAATTGAAATGATCAAAATCCATTATAAGGTGTGTAAAGGGGATTTTAGCGCCTCCTGCTGTTCAGGTGATAAAAAGTTCTATTTGTGTGTCAGACTCAGATTCTGGTCAGTTCTGTAAAGCGGCCCAGACAGACGAGATGGAGGAAATCTGTCTGCATTTCATCAGGAGCAGCTGCAAGTTCCGGGGTGAGTTCCTCCACCTGTGGTGACCAGCAGGTGGCAGCAGAGCGCCGGTCTCAGGGTCCATGTTTCTGTGCAGACAGCTGCCGCCAGGTCCACTTCCACCTGCCCTATAAGTGGGAGGTCTATGATGGCCGGTGCTGGTCGGCCCTGGAGAACATGGAGGAGATTGAACGGGATTACTGCGACCCGGCTAAGACTCACAGGTGAGGCTCACCTGAGCTCTGCTCTGAGGTCGCTTAGTCGCCTTTTGTCAGGTTCAATACCTATTAAGCACAAATTAAACACAGGAAAGGCAAGAGAGTTAGATTCTTTCTCACTCGCGAGGAGAACAGACAGAGATGGGCTTCAGTTAGAATCTCCTACCGTCTTGAAGCACATTTGTCTGCTCCTCTCTTTTTATTGTTTTCAGGATCCGTAATCACAAAGACGCTGTAGCTCTAAAAGGAGGGGAAACAACTCATCACACAGCTACGGCGCTAAACGTCATTCACTAACTAACAACAAGTTATTCTGCACTAGATAATCTCCTTCCAGGCACAAAGTTAAACAGAATATGTAGTGAATCTTCACAGTGACAGTTTTGTAGCAACTCAATGAAGCAGAGCTCTTCACCGAGAGATAAACCTGCAGGAAGACTGTCGTCTCTGAAAGGCCAGAGGGTCTACGTCGTCTCTGAGGCCTTCTAAGAAAGCAATCAGAGTAAATCAACAATACAGAAATATTCTTAATCCTATGATGAGGTTAAACAAATGAAAGCATAAAAGAAAAGGTACATTATAAATATAAATGAGAATAACAAATATTTGATGATTTCTCAACGCTTCTTGTTCTGCAGCTCAGACTATCAGAGGGTGGACTTTGTCACCATGACGATGGAGTCCATGCCCATCCGCCGTCTGTCCACCGTCTCCTGGGTGAGGAGGCCGCCGCACTACAGCCTGACCACCCAGTGGCTGTGGTACTGCCAGGCGGAGCGGGGCGGCTGGCTGGAGTACGGGCAGCCGGTGAGTCGGGCCGGCGTTCTGGACCGACTCGGCCGGTCTTCAGGTTATAACCACATGTCCTGGTTCTGTCAGGATGAGAAGCAGAGGACCACTTCAGTCGTGTCTAGAACCCTGGAGGAGGCCTTCATCTCTGGAGAAACCGAAGTCCAGGTGGAGAAAGGCCAGAGGGTCTACGTCGTCTCCTTCAGAGGTACCGTCACCTGGTCCGGACTCTTCATCGAGTCTGGATCCCTGAGTCCGGACCTGGGAGTCCAGACCAAAGCCTGGACAGTGTGGTGTGGACTCGCTGGTCTGTGCATGTCCGGGCTCCTGCCCGGTCAATGAAGGGATGTGTTCACAGTTGGTGGCTCTGAGGCCCGACCCAAAGTCCAGGAGAGCTTCACCACAATCAGGTGTTTTATTAATGACTTGTCCTGATACACAGGAGTTTGTGTGAAACCAGAGGAAACCTGGGTTCTGACGGACCTGTAGAGGTTCTAATAAACACATCAGAGATATGAAGGGAACCTTAAAGCCGCGGTCGGTTTTGGTGCCGATTCTGCTCTGACCGGGTCTTCAGCAGGTCGAAACAATCGTTGCTCAGATGTTGGGACAATCAGAGTGTCGTCAGCATATGGCCGTACCGTGGTCTGTAGTTCTGTTCTGATGGTTCCGATCCTCTCTGGACTGAACCTGTCTCTCTGTCCCACAGACATGTACCAGAGGAACCCCAAGCACCACACCAAGCGGAGAGTGCGCCGCCGTCCTCGCTTCGTCTCCAAGGCCGAGGTGGACAAGCTGGCGGCAGATCTGAGGAAATGTTCTGGATGAGTTCTGATGGACCTGGCCTGGACCCTGTGATAACACGCCAACAAAAAGGAACCAGACTTTCTGTCTCTGGTTTCCACCATCAGAACTTTTCTGCAAAGAATCAGACCAGAACCTTTTTATGTTTTATTTCACCAGAACCGAACAGGTTGGCAAGAGCAAACCTGCTGTTGCTTCATGTTGCGTTGCTTCATGTTGCGTTGCTTCATGTTGCGTTGCTTCATGTTGCGTTGCTTCATGTTGCGTTGCCTCATGTTGCGTTGCCTCATGTTGCGTTGCTTCATGTTGCGTTGCCTCATGTTGCGTTGCTTCATGTTGCGTTGCCTCATGTTGCGTTGCTTCATGTTGCGTTGCCTCATGTTGCGTTGCTTCATGTTGCGTTGCCTCATGTTGCGTTGCTTCATGTTGCGTTGCCTCATGTTGCGTTGCTTCATGTTGCGTTGCCTCATGTTGCGTTGCTTCATGTTGCGTTGCCTCATGTTGCGTTGCTTCATGTTGCGTTGCCTCATGTTGCGTTGCCTCATGTTGCGTTGCCTCATGTTGCGTTGCCTCATGTTGCGTTGCCTCATGTTGCGTTGCTTCATGTTGCGTTGCCTCATGTTGCGTTGCCTCATGTTGCGTTGCCTCATGTTGCGTTGCTTCATGTTGCGTTGCCTCATGTTGCGTTGCCTCATGTTGCGTTGCCTCATGTTGCGTTGCCTCATGTTGCGTTGCCTCATGTTGCGTTGCTTCATGTTGCGTTGCCTCATGTTGCGTTGCTTCATGTTGCGTTGCCTCATGTTGCGTTGCTTCATGTTGCGTTGCCTCATGTTGCGTTGCTTCATGTTGCGTTGCCTCATGTTGCGTTGCTTCATGTTGCGTTGCCTCATGTTGCGTTGCTTCATGTTGCGTTGCCTCATGTTGCGTTGCTTCATGTTGCGTTGCCTCATGTTGCGTTGCTTCATGTTGCGTTGCCTCATGTTGCGTTGCCTCATGTTGCGTTGCCTCATGTTGCGTTGCTGTAAATCAATCTGCGCTGCTCAGACTTTCTGTTATTTTCCTGGTTTCTGATTTTTATTTGTTGTTTTTATTTTGTTTTTTACTGTACTTTATTTTGATAGTGCATGTTCCGGCTGTTTGCACTTCCTGTCATTGTTTCCTGTGACTTCCTGTAATTTCAGATAAATTGTAATACATTAAACAAAACTGAAGATTTTTATGTGGTGTTCTGGTGGTTCGACCCGGTTCCGTGGTTCTGAGTGAGGAAGGTCCTGGTCAGAAGCTCCTCTGCGCCCCCTGCAGGCAGGAAGTCGTTTTTAACAACAGACTTTTACCCAAACAGCTGCTCACTGAGGGTCCAGATTGGTTCCGACCCAGGAAGGTTCTCACCTGATCCGTCCAGGTCTGGGTGTGTCCTCCTCTGTCCTGATCAAGGTTGCAGTTCTTCAGGTGGTCCAACAGGAGGCTCCACTGCTCCACTCACTGGTTCTACTGGTTCTACTGGTTCTAGAGGCTCAACAAGTTTAAATTAATCATCTTAATTTATAAATCAGTTCCCTGTCTTTGAAGACAACCTGTGGACATGTCTCCGTCCTCTGATTGGTCCCTCTGTGTCTCTGTCCTCTGATTGGTCCCTCTGTGTCTCTGTCCTCTGATTGGTCCCTCTGTGTCTCTGTCCTCTGATTGGTCCCTCTGTGTCTCTGTCCTCTGATTGGTCCCTCTGTGTCTCTGTCCTCTGATTGGTCGGTGTCTCTGTCCTCTGATTGGTCCCTCTGTGTCTCTGTCCTCTGATTGGTCCCTCTGTGTCTCTGTCCTCTGATTGGTCCGCTCTCTCCTCTTTACGAGCTGCAGACTCTAAAAATACCGGGGGCGTCAGCGGGTCGGGAGTCCCGGGTTCGGATCTTATTGGGGGGGGCAGGCCCCGCCCCCCGGGCTGCCGCGGCCCAATCAGCTGCTACCTGATGGTGAGGTCATGGGGGGCGTGGAGGGGTCATTCCTGGGGGTCCAGCGGAGTGACGCGGTTCTCCCAACCCCTGCGGGTCAGTCCGAACCGAGTCCATTCCGTCCGAACCGAACCGCTGCCCCGCTTCTTCCTCCGGTGCGAGCCGAACTTTTCCCGAACCTTCCCCGCGGACCGAACTCAGCTGTCGGACTCCGATCCTGGCTCTGTCCCCGCCGCCGCGCTTCTCCTCCTCCTCGGTTCCGACCCGGTTCCGACCCGGTCCGAGCCCGTGTGACAGCCGCGCAGCATGATGAAGAACAGCGGCTTGCTGGAGCCGCAGCAGCTCTTCTTCCTCAGCCCCGCAGATCCCGCAGATCCCGCAGAGGAGGAGGAGATGCCGGCCACCGAGAAGGACCTGGCGGAGGACGCGCCGTGGAAGAAGATCCAGCAGAACACCTTCACCAGGTGGTGCAACGAGCACCTGAAGGGGCTCAACCGGCGGATCGCGGACCTGCAGAGGGACCTGAGCGACGGGTTGAAGCTCATCGGGCTGCTGGAGGTGCTGAGCCAGAAGAAGATGTACCGGAAGTACCACCTACGGCCCAACTTCCGGCAGATGAAGCTGGAGAACGTTTCCGTGGCGCTGGAGTTCCTGGAGCGGGAACACATCAAGCTGGTGTCCATTGGTGAGAGAACGGCCCGGGGGGGTCGGAAGGTTCTGGATCCATCTGGGTTCTCTGGGTTTTTGGATCACCTGGAAGAACCTGAGCGGGTCAGAGGTTCTGGGAGGTTCTGAATCCTCCCAGAACCTCCAGAAGGTTCCAGTTGATTTAAAACCTCAAACTTTCAGCCGCAGAAACGAAGCAAACGAAGTGTTCGCTGAAACGTTCTAGATGTTCTAGGTCTGCTTGGGGTCGTCTCGGAGGTCAACGTGTTTCAGGAGAGTCTAGCAGAGGTTCTGGTTCTGGAGATCAGCAGATCGGATCCTGGAGGGAGGAGAACTGCAGTTCTTCTGGAAGTCGAACTGCAGATGTTTTGTTGACTCAGATGCTTCCAGGACCAGAGCAGGGGCCCTCAGGGGCCCCTCAGCTGCCAGGAGCCTCTAGTTTGGCCCCACGGTGGCCCTGCAGCTGATTGATGCAGGACAGCTGAGCTCTGCTGCTGAAAATAGACTCGTAGAGCTGAAGGCATCAGCAGGGCCGCTCCCAGCTGCTGGGGGCCCGGGGCCCCACGCACCCTCTGGCCCCCAGAGTCAGTTTGATAAAGTGCCAGAACAGAAACAGGTTTTGTGTCTCTGGGATTAAAAATGTAGAATCTTTATTTCAATATTTCATCATTTCATGGCTTCTGGATCTTTTCTGGACTTTCATTTAAATATACATAAAAATCTATTTTAATTTAGGTCCTAAGTTTGCTGGTATAGTTAAATCATGTCTTTCTCTGGACTGCTTTGGTTTCTGGAGTTTCCTGCTTTTTGCTTTTTCTTCAGCTTGTTTCTACATTTTTAGAATTTTGTTTCTACAAAAAAAATTCTATATTTTGATATGTGGATTTTTTCCAGGCATCAGATTATTTTCAGTTTTTACACTGTAAAATCACAAAATCAGTGTTTTACTCTGGTTTCTAATGCAAATATCCCAGTAAAGTTAAAATAAGATGAAACTGACTTACAGCTGGTTTCAAGTCAGTTACTTGTTAATATTTCACTTGAAACATTAAAAAATAAATTTGACAACAGATTAATCTGCCGGTGGAACCAGAGAGAAACTGACTTACAACAACCTCCTGCTGAAAAGTTTGTTTTTGGTTATTTCTGTTGCAGTGAGGAAGGTTTTGTGTTTTTACAGTGTAAATAATGGAAAGTTTCAGTCGTTTCCAGATTCTGTTCTGCTGATGGAGTCCAGACCGTTTGCTGCTCTGCTCTGATTCTTCCACATTCCTTCTGGATTTCTTGCTGTTTCAGTAAAAGTCATGTTTCTCTCTTTAATCCATCATCAGGATTGTCTCTGGATGGGTTTGTTTTTGGACAGACGTTTCAGAATGTCTCCCGTTCCTGAGGTTCCCTTCAGGACTTTTGGCGTTTCTGCTTCAGGATGTTCTGATTCCACTCTGGGTTTCATTTTTCTGGACTTTGTCAGAACCGCCGAGGCTTACTCCGCTGTGTTCTGCTGGTTTGGTGGCTTCCGTTTGGTTCCGATCCGGCTCTCCGAGCCTCCTGCCCGGTTCTGGATCTGCTCAGTTCTCCAGAACCCGGTCAAGGTTTCCTGGCTTTAGAGCCATTCTTGTATTTTCTAATTCTGTCGGTTCGTGTTTGTCTGTCAGAGTAATGGCTGCCATGTGTTGCAGCAGTCAACGCTCAGGAATGTCCATCTGAAGCCAGGACCCCCTACACACACACACACACACACACAGACACACACACACACACACACACACACACAGACACACACACACACACACACACACAGAGAGACACACACACACACACACACACACACACATGCTGCTCACTGCTTATTTTGGATCTGTGACTCACTGGGACTTAATGTGAAACTGACCAAGAACTGAGAACTGATCAGAGAGTTCTGTTGGTTCTGCTGGACCTGAGAGGTGGTCCACATGGACTCTGGTCCACATGGACTCTGGTCCACATGGACTCTGGTCCACAGAGATGCTAACGCTCTGCTAGCTTAGCAGCCATGTGTTAGACTCTGGGAGGACACAGTTCCTGTAGAGAAGCTCAGGTTAAACATGGAGACTGCAGGTGGGACGGGTTCTGGTCCAGACGGGCTGGGGCCCAATCTGGCTAATTTCCCTTTCCTGAGGAAGGTTCTACTGCTGCAGCCAATCAGCTGCAGCAGCTCATTAAGGTCCTGTTGCATTGTGGGTCTGCTCAGCAGTCAGAGTGAAACTGATATAAATGATAAAAATATAAAAACTTTTAATTAAATTCCACATTTTCTTTTCTTTTTTTCAGTCAGAATTCAGTCTGAATTTTATATTCATTTTATTTTTCTATTTTGTTTTTAACTGCAGAATAATTCTTGTTTGCTCTTAGTTTTTCTCTTAATTTTGTTTTTTTAATTTTTCATTTCAGATTTATTTATTTGTGTCCCAAATGGGAAATTAATGTTTGAGTTGATTTAAATCACATTTCCATTAGAAGAACCGGAACCGGGACCCGGTACCGGTTCTTCTGATCTGCTGCAGCTGCTGCACTTCCTGTAGGCTCCAAGATGGCCGACAGCACCATCACAACCGGGTCGCTGGTTCTGTTGGTCCCGGCAACTGCTGAACACATGCAGGACAGAACCAGAACCCGGACCAGCAGCAGCAGCAGCAGCAGCAGCAGCTGCAGCAGCAGCAGCTGCAGCAGCAGCAGCAGCAGCTGGTCTTCCTCATGATGAAGATCTGCTGACTGTCACGCCAGCAGACAGAGCGCCGATTCACTCTGCTGCTCAGCTCGGCTCTGATTGGCCGCTTTGGTTCTGAGGAATGTTGCTGAAGGTTCCAGACTGGAGGAAGAACCTGGTCTGGTTCTGTCCGGTCCGGTTCCAGCTGGAACCTGAAGCTCAGAACCAGCCATGAAGCCTGAACGCCGCTCCTCTCTGGGCCTGTTGGGGGTCATAGGGTCGTGGGGTCACGGTGAGGTCACACCCCCGTTCCTCTGCAGTGTGTTTGTTTGGTAACCATTGGCGACCAGCGGCCAGTGACATAACGGATCAAACAGCTCGTTGTTCCACTCAGGAAGAGCCTGGAGGCTCCGGGTTTTCCTACTTCCTGCCAACAGGAAGGCCCGGTTGGAGCGGTTCTGACCCAGAAACAGTGTGGCAGCAGCAGGAAACGCGCGGCTTCCTGCTGACAGCACATCTGGGGCCTCTGATGGAAACATGGAGAATCCTGAGCCGCTGATAGTAGAGAGTATCTGCCGTGACGGAGCTCCGCCCAGCGCCATGGAGACAAACATGGAGACTGGAGCTCTGGCTTCAGAAGGTTCCACTGGTTCCACTGGTTCCACTGGTCTCCATTCTGATATATTAGTGATCATTTCTCCGTCTCCTGCAGCAGACGCATCAGATCATTTAAGTCACTGCAGGTTTGCAGAGACCAGACTGGTGTTCTATATTGGAACCACTGGGAAACAACTGGAAAATGGTTTCCTGTTCTCAGCAGAACCCGCTGAGTCTGACCTCATCATGACCTCATGGTGACCTCATCATGACCTCACTGTGCCCTCTGCAGGGCCCAGCCATGATTTCACTGCTGCTGGATCAAACTTTTTTGCTCAGTGACAGAATAATTGTGCAGCAGCAGGAAGTGGGTCAGTGATGTCAGAGGAGCGATCTCATCCCACAGACGGTTTCCTGACATCAGAATCATTCCAGTTAACTCGTCTCACATGTTCCTGGAATGATTCTCTGTTGTCACGTCGACGTTTGGGATCCAACATCCACTTCATAAAAACTCATGATCTTCATGATCGACTGCTTCAGTTTCCTCAGTGCCTTTGATTCTTGTTGCTGTTGTGATGTTCAATAAAAGTCGACAGAAAAATAACAGAAAATGGATGAAAGGTTTGGGAACTGGACATTCCTGCTGACTGACGTCTCTTCCTGTCCCCCAGACTCCAAAGCCATCGTGGACGGGAACCTGAAGCTGATCCTGGGTCTGATCTGGACGCTCATCCTGCACTACTCCATCTCCATGCCGACCTGGGAGGACGAGGACGATGAGGACGCCAGGAAGCTGACGCCCAAGCAGCGGCTGCTGGGCTGGATCCAGAACAAGGTGCCCCAGCTGCCCATCACCAACTTCCACCGGGACTGGAGGGACGGCAAGGCACTGGGAGCGCTGGTGGACAACTGTGCTCCTGGTAGGGACTGAGACCAGTTCAAATGCTACTGGGACCAGTTGGGAGCGGTTAGGACTGAGCTGATTCATCTGAAACGTTTCCTCTGCCGCCTCCAGGTCTGTGTCCAGACTGGGAGAGCTGGGATCCCAGTCAGCCGGTGGAAAACGCTAGGGAGGCCATGCAGCAGGCTGACGATTGGTTGGGAGTCCCACAGGTAATGTTAAGGCGCCTTCTGATTGGCTGGAAAGCAGGAAGTTCTGCAGGTGTTCCAGATAAATGTCCCATCATGAGATCCAGTCTGTCCTCCAGTGATCCAGTTTAAATCCCAGATTAAAACCAAAACCGCCTGCAGTTCCTGGCTGTACTGGTTGTATTGGTCACACTGGCTGATCCAGTCAGACTGGTTGGTTCATTTGGTTGTACTGGTCAGACTGGTCCTCAGCTGTGGTTCTGCCCGTCCAGGTGATCGCTCCAGAGGAGATCGTTGACCCCAACGTGGACGAGCACTCCGTCATGACCTACCTGTCCCAGTTCCCCAAGGCCAAGCTGAAGCCCGGCGCGCCGCTCAGGGCCAAGACGCTGCACCCCAAGAGGGCCAAAGCTTACGGTCCAGGTAGGCAACGCCGACCAGAACCAGGGGAAACGCTTCGATCCGCCTCAGGTGGTGGCTGGTTTCCTGTTCATGGCGGAGGATGTTAGTCTGGAGGTTTGTTCTGCCCTGACCTCCCAGACAGAAGCAGAGCCTCCAGGCACAGAAATGAATAAATAGTCGTTCAGCTGAAGGAAAGTTTTTTTATCAAGAAACTGAAGTTGAATGAAAATGTAATCTTTCTTCTCTCATCAGGTGAATCTTCAGCCCCATCTCACCTGAGCTCATAGATTCACATACAGTCCTCTTTGAAATTGGAGTGTGTGGTTCTTTCAGGAGGAATGAACTGCCATGATTTCACATAATTCTAATATTATAATGAAAAGGTCAGGGTTAGGGTCAGGGTCCAACAGCTGTGTCCAGGTGTTGGGCCTTCACTCTAAATCTGATGCCGATGCAGATTGGTGCAACATGCCGCTGCTCCGGTCTCAAATGGTTCTGTTGCTTCAGGTATCGAGACTCGAGGAAACACGGTCCTGAAGCCAGCAGAGTTCCTGGTGGAGACGGTGGAGGCTGGCATGGGGGAAGTCCTGGTGTACGTGGAGGATCCGGAGGGACACACCGAGGAGGTCTGGACCGCCACACAGCCACTGTCCGGCCAAGGAGCCGAGATTCATTCTGTATCTGGTTCTGCCAGGGCCGAGTCATTCCCAACAATGACAAGAACCGGACCTACTCTGTGGTGTACCTGCCCAAGGTGGAGGGTCTTCATAAGGTGAAGAGAGCGCACAACACTTTGATAATGAAAGCATCACACGCTTCATTTATGGCAGCAGCGGCTCTCCAGCTTCTTCAGGCTCCAGAGTTACTTTAGATTTAGAAGTTTGGGCCAAAGAAAGTCAATATTTGAAAACTTTCCAATCGATAAACTTCAGCCAGCCATACTCTAAAAGACGTGGCAGTAGTGCGAACGCACCAGCTAGTCCGCTAATAGCAGAGCAAATTTTTAGCTCAGCGCTTTTGTCAACTTTGAAAACTTTAAGCAAGTTTGACTTGTCCTGAATTACATTTCAAATTACAGATACATTTTAATGTATCTGTAATACAGATACATTAACTCCATTAAGCAGTTGACCAGAGGTCTGCAGTCCAGGTTGAGCAGAGAATCACTTCCTGAGGCAGGTAGCTGTGTAGTGACATGTCTGACCCTGTAGAGGGCGCTATGCAGGTTGTAGCATGTTCTGTCATTAACACATGACAGCTATCAATATAGTTGAAGTTATGAATTGTAATACGTACCATATTGGTGTAGCACTTTAGCATTAGCAGAGCTCTTCATCATAAGCTCCTTATGGTTAGCATCGCTAGCATTTAGTTAGCGGTGCACTCCACTGGCTCCTCCATTAACGTGACTCAGATTCACAGAACAACTCTGATCAAACTGGACTTCTCTGAGTTCTCCTGGTGTCTTTGCTGCTGCTGCAGATGAATGGTCTAAAGGTTTCCTCCTCCCAGGTTAAGGTGCTGTTCGCCGGCCAGGACATAGACAGCAGCCCCTTCCTGGTGAACATCTGCAGGGCCCTGGGTGACGCCACCAGGGTCCAGGCCCGCGGGCCCGGACTGCAGCCCATGGGGAACGTGGCCAACAAACCCACGTACTTCGACATTTACACCGCAGGTAGCTTCCCAGGCAGACGCTCTGATGTGAATGTGAGAGCATCGTCTGTTGGAACAACCGCATCCTTTGTCCAGTGAAAAGTCCTCTTGTTGTGTGTCTGTCCCCCAGGGGCGGGAGCCGGGGACGTAGGCGTCATCATCGTGGACTCCAACAGCCGGAGGGACACAGTGGAGATTGTGCTGGAGAACAGAGGTGACAGTGTATTCCGCTGCACCTATGTCCCCGTCCTGGAGGGTCCTCACACCGTCTGTGTGACCTTTGCTGGGCAGCAGATTCCCAGAAGTCCTTTCACTGTCAGCATCTCTGAAGGTTTGTTCCAGAATCCCTCACTTTCCACAGCCTGGGTTTGGACTGGGCTCTTTGGATTCTGAAGATCAGAACCAGGAGTCTGGATCTGGTTCTGGTTCCTCAGAATCAGACTTTCTGTCTCTGGTTCTGGTCTGGCTCCAGAGGCAAAGCTGCTGGGAATTCCTAGAGCTCGAGGAATTGATCAGAACTGGATCCGGTGTCTAGGCAGAGTTCTGTTAGATCGGGTCGAGACAGACATCTTGATGTTGACGAACTGACCTGCAGTCCTGATTTTTGGAGGCTGAGATTTTGGACTGGGAATGTCTGAAGCGTTTTCTCCCAGTTTGGGAGTTTAGTCTGAACCAGACATGTTGCTTCAGTTGGACCCAGTTTAAAGCTGGAACCGGGTCGTTCCTTCTGGGCCTCCATCCGGATCTCAGGGCTGCAAGCGAAGGCTGAGTAAACCAGTTTATTTCTTCTCAGCTCAACTCTTTCTCTCCACTGCAGAGCAGAACATGGCTGTTCTGGGGACAAGCTCTCCATCTGACCGTCTCTGTCCCCCATCGTCTCTTGTGGAGACTTTCTTTATCTTAGACAAACATGGGATTTGGTTTCTGTCCTGACCTGCGTCTGTCTGACTGGATGAAGCTTTGCCTCGTAGTTTAGAAGTCAGAGTTCGACTCCTCCTGACTGCTCTGGTTGTATTTAGATGTTTTTCCTGGATTTGTTTTCCAGGAATCTGTTAGACCTCGTCTGAAACGACCAGAAGGCAAAACATATTCTCTCAGCCGGCCAAAGCAACTCAAATCCAACTTTTTCACAGAAAAAGAACGAGCTGGTTTTATCTGTTCCTCTAAATGTCAACTCATCATTTCCAAAGTGTCACTTTTTATCAGACGTTTCAGAATTCAGCAGCAGAAGACAGACAGTAGATCTAAACAATGTCTAGAAAATGATGAGAATAAAGTGATGCAGTCTGAGTCAGTGAACGCATCACATCACAACACACCGGTCCTGAATGTGGCGCCAACATCACTACAGAACCGGGTCAGAAGCTGCAGTCAGTGCTGCACTAAGGGCCGTTGCTGTCCAGACAGCCCAGACCTTTACTGGGCTGACTGGTGGCCGGGTTCTTCCTCTTGGGTCACTGTGAGGTCAGGAGCGACCAGACACAAATCATGAGCTGGAGCTGAGCAGCAGGAGCTTCAGTTTCAGTGATGTGTGGTGAAGGTTCCAGCTGATGAGGCAGCGACCTAATCAGACTTAGATTTAGAAATATGGACCCACTGCATGTTAATTCTGTTAATTCATTAACACAGAATAAAAATATGTACACTAGGAGTCTCTCTGTACAAACTAACAGGAGTTTCTCTGGGTTTTGTTTTAATTCCTCATCCGTGTTGAGTACATTATAAAACTAAATGGTCCTGTTCTGGGTTGTTAAGCATTGAAAATGTAGGGATTATTAATTTAGTGCTACACTAAACATAAACGGTAAACCAGTAAACGGTAAACCAGTAAACGGTAAACCAGTAAACGGTAAACCTGTAAACGGTAAACCTGTAAACGGTAAACCAGTAAACGGTAAACCTGTAAACGGTAAACCAGTAAACGGTAAACCAGTAAACGGTAAACCTGTAAACGGTAAACCAGTAAACGGTAAACCTGTAAACGGTAAACCAGTAAACGGTAAACCAGTAAACGGTAAACCTGTAAACGGTAAACCAGTAAACGGTAAACCTGTAAACGGTAAACCAGTAAACGGTAAACCAGTAAACGGTAAACCTGTAAACGGTAAACCAGTAAACGGTAAACCTGTAAACGGTAAACCAGTAAACGGTAAACCTGTAAACGGTAAACCTGTAAACGGTAAACCAGTAAACGGTAAACCTGTAAACGGTAAACCTGTAAACGGTAAACCAGTAAACGGTAAACCTGTAAACGGTAAACTCCAAACCACTTTGTTCTCTCTGCCAAGCTACATGCAGACTTGTTGCCATAGCAACTGACAACAACGTCACTTTATGTTGATGTTTGACGTATTTAGCTCCAGGGCTAGCTCCACGGTTAGCTCCAGGGCTAAGCTCCAGGGCTAGCTTCAGAGCTAGCTCCACGGTTAGCTCCAGGGCTAGCTCCACGGTTAGCTCCAGGGCTAGCTCCACGGTTAGCTCCAGGGCTAGCTCCATGGTTAGCTCCCCGGCTAGCTCCAGGGTTAGCTCCAAGGCTAGCTCCACGGTTAGCTCCAGGGCTAGCTCCACGGTTAGCTCCAGGGCTAGCTCCAGGGCTAAGCTCCACGGTTAGCTCCAGGGCTAGCTCCACGGTTAGCTCCAGGGCTAGCTCCATGGTTAGCTCCCCGGCTAGCTCCAGGGCTAGCTCCACGGTTAGCTCCAGGGCTAGCTCCACGGTTAGCTCCATGGTTAGCTCCAGGGCTAGCTCCACGGTTAGCTCCACGGTTAGCTCCAGGGCTAGCTCCACGGTTAGCTCCATGGTTAGCTCCAGGGCTAGCTCCACGGTTAGCTCCATGGTTAGCTCCAGGGCTAGCTCCACGGTTAGCTCCACGGTTAGCTCCAGGGCTAGCTCCACGGTTAGCTCCACGGTTAGCTCCATGGTTAGCTCCAGTCTGTTCTCTGATTTCTGATCGCTGCTCAGCATGAAACACGTTACACACACAGTTGGAGGCAAGAAACACTGAACATTATATAGATGAGCTTAATGATGGAACATCACTTGATATATGAAATGTTTTTTAACCATCTTATTGGCGCCGTTCAGACAGGAGGAGCTGCTGCCACAGACTGGCAGCCAGTGAGACGTTGATTAGTCCAGCTGAGGCGCGGCTTCCTGCTGCCTCACCTTCTGAGCATTTGAATGGGAAAATGGGAAAATTCAGCGATTTTGAAGAAAAAAATCATCAGAATTGGTTAAGCTACATGACAAATAAATACTTTACAGTACAAACCACAGGGTGAAAATAGCAATATAAATTGTTTTAAATAGTTTTAAACATTACTGGTGAGTTTAGCCTCTAAATGCTAAGTACCACCAACAGGAACCAAGGCGCCTTTCTGCTGCATGAAGCTCCAAATTTTCACTGTGACTAAATGCTTGTCAGAACTGGAGCTTTAATACGAGGTTGCAGTGACTGTTGCAGTTCTTCCAGTGCGATGGTGCTGCCACCTACAGGTCTGGAGGTTCCTGTCCTCATCCTGCCTGTTGTTCCCTCCTCCAGTTTCGCAGAGCGCCCCTCCTCCTGACCCTGCGGTGCAGATTGTGCCCCAGTCCATACATACCCCACCCTCAGAAAAGAGCAGGAGAGCCCCCCCACCCACACCGCCAAAACCCAGGCGACCAAGTTAGTACAGGGGAGGAGGGAGGGCGACTGGTTCTGGGTCTGGTTCTGGTTCTGGGTCTGGTTCTGGTTCTGGCTCCTGGCGCTGGGATGGTTCCTCACAGCATGTGGTGTTTCCTCTTCTGTCTATAAGGAACAGAATGAATGTGGCGCCCCCTGGGGGTGTAGATGGCTGCTGCACATGTTCATTTCTATGGGCTCAATCTGACGTTTCCATGTTAATATTGTCTGAGTTAATAATCAGAACTATAACAGCTTCACAAAAATATAATTATTATACCCTAATTGCTCAGATTAATGGTTTATTTAGTTTCTCTACATACTCTGGTTAATTGTCTTTATTTACATAAGTCATCAATATACAAGCAAATTAATGTATGCACAAATAGTTATGTATAAACTAACTGCATGCAAACTTCATTTTAAATGAACGGAAGAAACAGGAGCCTGGATGAGGTTAACATGTGATCATTAGAAACTGGATAAATCTGAAGCAGGTTGGTGAAATAAAAATATTATGATGATTAAATGTAGAATATCAGGTTTTTATGATTCAGTCAGTTCAATAAAAAATCTTCTGCTGTTTCAGCTTCTTCTAACAAACATTTATCAAAATCATGAGATTTAAAACTGACTTTAACTTTATTTGAAGAACTGAACGATTAATCGGATGAATCATTTATTGAAATAATCATCAGTTATTTGAATAACCAATTAACCATTAAATGGAGTAAACAGTTTGCTGAAAGACCAGCAGCAATGATGTCAAAACTGTAGAAAAATATAAACATTTTACATCTAATAAAAAACTTCGTCTGTAAATTTGTTCCACCAAAACTCCTGTTTTCAGTGTTAGCTTTTCCTGCTCCATATTCTGTAAATCTATTAATCACCTTTTACTGTCCAGTTATTAATTAGTTCATCAATAACTGATCAATGAATCAATCCTACACAGTATTGATATTCAGCTTTTCTCATGTTGATGTTTGAAGGATTTGCAGATTCATATTTTGCTACAAATGATCAAACATCATCATCACACAGCTGGAGCGCTCCTCTAGATTTATGCTAAGCACTAGCAGCTAACCGCTGATAGCTAACCGCCAGCAGCTAACCGCTAATAGCTAACTGCTAGCAGCAAACTGGTAACAGACTTCAGGATTTAACGCTTCCTGCTGGTTCTGTCATTGTAACATTTCGGACCTCTAAAACGTTTCCAGAACCATCTGCTCTCTTTGTTTTGGCTTCACCTCCATTAAACTGCTGCTTCCTCCTGCTGGAGGAAGGTGTGGGTGGAGAGAGGTTCTGGTCTGCGTTGCTGTCCCAGTCTAACCAGTACCTGAACATGTCTCCCTGTGGTTCTGACAGCCTGCAACCCGAACGCCTGCAGAGCGTCGGGTCGGGGTTTGCAGCTGAAGGGCCTGAGGGTGAAGGAAGTGGCCGACTTCAAGGTGTTCACAAAGGGAGGCGGCGGCGGGGAGCTGAAGGTCGCTGTGAAGGGGCCCAGTAAGGAACACCTAAGATTAAAGTAGATTATTGGTACAATTATTATCAATAATTATGAAGTGGTGTCCCTTCAGTTTTTCACATTTACAGTATTTTACATTTTTAATGAGTTTCCATTTGGTGAGTTTTCTGTGTTTCTTACCCAGAAGGCCTGGAGGAACCAGTGAAGGTGCTGGAGATGGAAAACGGCGTTTATGAATGTAACTATTATCCCGTCATGGCAGGGAAGTACATCGTTACAATCACATGGGGAGGACACAGCGTCCCCCGCAGGTGAGAATGATAGACTTCATGTTGCGCTGCAGAGGGCCCGGTACGGTGCCCTGGGGCCTCCAGGAGGAGCATCGACCCTGACGTTTCTGCACCTCTTTGCGTCCTCAGCCCGTTTGAGGTCCACATCAGCGAGGAGGCGGGGCCTCAGAAGGTGAGGGCCTGGGGCCCGGGCCTGGAGACCGGCATGGTGGGGAAGAGTGCAGACTTCGTGGTAGAGGCCATCGGTACTGAAGTGGGAACTCTTGGTATGTCGTCCAGATCAAACCCAGAGAACACCAAAGCATTTCAGTCCAACGATCTGTCGCTACGCTCTCTGCGGTCCTGAAGCTGCTGCTTCCTCTCCATGCTCTAAATGTCACCTTGATTTTACCCAAACCATTGTAGCCCTCCCAGGCTAAAACTGAGTGTAACAGGAAGCAGCTCCTGATTCTCCATTACCATTTCCAACTGGTGTTTGTTGAACCACATTGTTTAGTGCTACCTCCAGCTGCCTACTGAGCATGCTCAGACTGTACATAATATTAACTCTGCAAACTGATGAAGAATTTAATTGTTCATTAGAATCAACTAGTTTTTATTCCTAAGAGAGTATAATGTCATCAGCATAGAGTGGCAGCTGAACTTTACAGTATCAAACATGCATCTGTTGCCCTTACTGAGAACAAAAGTTGTGACTGACTGTGTGCAGGTTTCTCCATCGAGGGGCCCTCACAGGCTAAAATTGAGTGTGACGATAAAGGCGACGGGTCGTGTGACGTCCGGTACTGGCCCACTGAGCCGGGCGACTACGCCGTCCATGTCATATGTGATGATGAGGACATCAAGGACAGTCCCTTCATGGCTCACATCCTCCCTGTGGCTGTCGATGTGTTTCCTGACAAGGTCTGAGCAGAATCTGCCTGCTTTCCTGGGTCCTCAGCTGTTTAAACGAGAGCTTTGCCTCTGCTCCTCAGGTGAGATGCTACGGCCCTGGACTGGAGCCTCTGGGCTGTATCGTCAACAAGCCAGCCAACTTCACCATCGACACCAGTGGAGCCGGCAGAGGAGAGCTGAGGCTCTATGCTCAGGTGAGAACCAAAACCTTCCTGAACTGTCCATGAACATGGCCGTGGAGGCGAATCGATTCAATATGTGGGTTCCTCACTAGGATGCAGACGGCTTCCCCATCGACATCCAGATCACTGACAATGGAGACTGCACCTACGTCTGTGTCTATATTCCCACCAAACCCATCAAACATACCATCATTATCACCTGGGGCGAAGTCAACGTTCCCAACAGCCCCTTCAGGGTAGGTAGCCTTCACACCGCTCGCTGTTTGGGACTTACAGCAGTCCTGAAGCTCTTTAAGTCTCGCTGTGGTCTGAGATAAAAGTTGAGAATGAAAGGAATGTTTCTTGTCCAAATGCTGGTGATTAGGTGATAATAGGAGAAGGCAGCCATCCAGAGAATGTGAAAGTCTATGGTCCAGGTGTGGAGAAGACAGGCCTGAAGGCCAACGAGCCGACATACTTCACAGTGGACTGCAGTGAGGCTGGACAAGGTGAGACTCGGTACAAAATCGTGCCTAGTTCATGCCCTTCCTCCGGTCTCCACCATGTGGAGAGCGTTATATTGTCTGCCTGAATTATCTGGAAAAGTTGTCAAGGGAATGCTGATTTTCCAGGAAGTTTCTGCACATCTTGGATCTGCTCATTAATCAAAGATGTGAAAGAAGAAAACTTTTGGGTGTTTCAGAACGTTGTCCTTCATTCCAGACTCTGATCTTCAAGGTCAATCTGAACTTCCTGCTCCCATGTTGTTGTGAAGCCTGAAGATATTCAGATTAACTGGAGTGAGCTAAAACCTGAACGCCACCAACAGTCTGTTTTTACCTGCTAGGTGACGTCAGCATCGGGATCAAGTGTGCTCCCGGGGTGGTCGGACCGGCGGAGGCAGACATCGACTTCGACATCATCAAAAACGACAACGACACGTTCACAGTGAAGTACATGCCTCCAGGGCCGGGTCAATACACCATCATGGTTCTGTTTGCGGATCAGGTGAGAGCCCTGCAGGTGAATCACCTCTGTAGACCTGTTGGGTTCAATGAAGCTAATGTGTCTAATGAATGTTCAAACAGGAAATTCCCATCAGCCCTTTCAGAATAAAGGTGGAGCCTTCTCACGATGCCGCTAAAGTCAGAGCCGAGGGACCGGGACTGAACAGAACCAGTGAGTCCGTTTCATAGAAGCAGAACCCCGGAGCAGACGTGTCTGCGCATGGTGAGTGCTGAAGCTCAGTGATGCTACATGTGTTGCTACCTGAGCAGGTGTGGAGGTTGGGAAGCCCACGCACTTCACTATCTACACCAAGGGAGCCGGCAAAGCCAAACCAGAGGTCCATTTTATCGGCGCCGCTAAAGGCGAAGCTGTCCGGGACTTCGAGATCATTGACAACCACGACTACTCGTACACTGTCCGCTACACGGCGGTGCAGCAGGTAATGCCCCGCCCAGTTGTCAGGGTGGAGTTCAGGACAACCGATGGATAACTACAGTCAGTGTCTCTCAGGGAAACATGTCCATCACCGTCTGCCACGGAGGAGACCCCATCCCCAGAAGCCCATTCAGCATCACCGTGGCCCCCCCTCTGGACCTCAGTAAGGTCAAAGTTCAGGGTCTCAACAACAGTAAGTATGACAGCAATTGGCTGCCAACCGGAAGCAGATGAAGGACAGAGAAGCTCATCCTGCTGCCTCTGTCCAAACTGCAGAGGTGGACGTTGGCGTGGATCAGGACTTCTCCGTCACAACTCGAGGTGCCGGCGGTCAGGCCAAGCTGGACGTGAAGATCACCTCTCCATCGCATCATCCAATCCCCTGCAAGCTGGAGTCTGGGACAGCCAATGAGGTTCACACTGTGAAGTACATCCCATCGGAGGAAGGGCCATACCGAGTGGACATCAGCTACGATGGGAACCCCGTCCCCGGAAGTCCCTTCACTGTGGAGGGCGTCATGCCTCCGGACCCTTCAAAGGTGAGGAGCCACTGTTGGAGGAGTCAGGAACCAATCATTCAGTCTCACTCTTTCTAGGATCCAGGGAACTCCTCTACATCCCAACAAAACCTTCTCAGTAGTTCTGAGTGAAATCCATTTTCCTGTTGATCCAGGGAGTAATGTTAAGGAGAAAAGAAGCTGAGGTGAAACTTCAGGTGAAGATGTTTGTCTAATGTGCCTGGTTTTCTGCCTGAGGTCCACATGTGGCCGATTTCATTTAAGTCTTTCATCGACACAAAAACTCTGTTTAATATCACTAAAGATGATGATTCTTAAAGACTGACTGACTGGAGATGTGAGTGTTTGGAGATTTAGGTTCCATCACATTCCGCAACAAACAGACATGATTCCTGTCAACATAATCTACTGATTCAATAACTTTATATTCTAATATTCTGTTTAAAAGTAGTTCAATCTAAATGTCTGTCCCCATCAATGAGCCTCCTGGAACCATGTTTGATTCCTAACAGGAAGTGCTGGTTGTTTTGGAGCAGTCTGATTGGCTGACAGATTTTAGCTTTGATACACTGCCCCCTATGGGTGTGGCAAGTTTAAAACAAGGTCGTGGGCAGATTAGTGCAGCTTCATGAGAATGAACTCAATTCTGAAACCCATCCCAGGTGTAGAATATATTTTTTTAATGACGTGGCAGAGAAAATGGTTTCCAAAGATCTGCCTACATGTGGACGAGTCTCAGGGACTCTGACCTGGTCCAACTTTTCTCCTGAGTAGTTATTTCGAGTCCCAGTTTACTCTAGAAGTACTCTGAGGTTCACCAAGTTAAAATCATCCATTTGGTCCATTATTCGCTGCCTCTTCCTGCACGTGTTGACCTGCAGGTCCGAGCCTACGGTCCCGGCCTTCAGGGTGGCCTGGTGGGCAAACCGGCTCCGTTTGCCATCGACACAAAGGGAGCAGGAACCGGCGGTCTGGGTCTGACGGTGGAAGGTCCATGTGAGGCCAAGATTGAATGCCAGGACAACGGAGACGGATCATGCTCCGTGTCCTACCTGCCCACTGAGCCTGGAGAATACACCATCAACATCCTGTTTGCAGAGCAGCACATCCCCGGTTCGCCCTTCAAGGCCGCGGTTCAGGCCACCTTCGACCCCAGCAAGGTGATAGCCAGTGGCCCCGGCCTGGAGCGGGGAAAGGTCAATGAGGCCGGGTCCTTCATGGTGGACTGCGCTGCGGCCGGCGAGGCCGAGCTCACCATCGAGATCGTGTCGGACAGCGGATCCAAGGCGGAGGTTTGTGTTCACAACAACGGCGACGGGACGTACTCCATCACCTACACGCCTCCGAGCCCAGACATGTACTCCATTAGCATCAAGTATGGAGGACACACAGTGCCAACGTTCCCAGTCCGCCTGCAGGTGGATCCGGCCGTGGACACCAGCGGGGTGAAGGTGTACGGACCCGGAGTGGAGCCAAGAGGTGAACAGCTTTACATCATTCATTTAGATTCAAAGAGGCGGTTTAAACTGTAATGAAACCAAAATCCACTGGGAGAATAAATATTGTGGTGAATAAAACATGAGTGGAAGGTTTCTGCTGTGTTCAGCTATCCTGCAACTTTTAGATGCATCTCTGCTCAAACACACCTGGACCAGGTAAACCGCTCTACCAGCCAATTGCAGAGCTGAGAGGGAATTCAGACATTTTGGAGCAGAGATGCATCTAGAAGCTGAGGACTGGACTGGTGGACCCGTCCCTGAATGCAGCTGATCGACGGCGCTTCCTGTTTCTTCACTGGACCTTTAGACAGTTTGGAGAATCAAAATGGAATTTCAAATTAAAAGTCCAGTTCAGCTCAAACTGACAGAACAAATTAAAACAATGAAGCAATCGTTTTTCATAATGAATTAATAATGAATGTATGTGAGCTGACCATATGAACTCAGACTGAAATCTGACCCAGGGTTACGATCTCTGGCTGAATTTGACATTTTATTGTCAGTTCCTTTTATTTTATGGCTCTGGACTAAACAAACGCGTCCCGCCTGGGAAGAGTTTTGCTCTCTGCTCAGTTTTTCCAATGAGATTCTGGATCCAGAATGACCCGGTTTCAGCTGCAGCCCACTAAGGGATCCAAACTGGATCCAAAAACTCAGCAGCACTTTAAAGTTCTTCAGGTCTTTCATTTAACTGTTTATTATTTACTCTGATTTATTCTTGATTTGATTAAATATGAACCAAAATAATCCTGAAAAAACAGAAAGATGGAGAAAAACTCAGTTTAACCCGACAATGAAATATTTACTATGAAAGAATGATTCAGGTGGGTTGGATCGAAACGTGTCTGCTGGTTCTGGACCTTGCAGAGTGTCTCTACAGGTTCTGGGATCTCGTTGTTGTAGTTTTCTAGAATCATCCTGCTGCGTTGGTCTGTTGGCTGTTTTGGGTCGCTCCCCCTCCAGATGTTCTGGACCTCCAGATGTTCTGGACCTCCAGATGTTCTGCACCTCCAGATGTTCTGGACCTCCAGATGTTCTGCACCTCCAGATGTTCTGGACCTCCAGATGTTCTGCACCTCCAGATGTTCTGGACCTCCTGACTCTCCTCGTCCTCCAGCCTGACTGTGTTTTTCCCTGCAGGCGTCCTGAGGGAGGTCACCACCCACTTCCTGGTCGACACCCAGTCGCTCTACAAGGCCGGAGGAAGCCATGTTAAGGTCCAGGTGTCCAACCCGTCCGGCGCCAACACGGACGCCTACGTCTCCGATCAGGCGGACGGGACCTGCAGAGTGGAGTACACGCCTTACGAAGACGGTGAGTATTTCAGCTGCGGTTCGTCTACCAGAGAAGATCTGCTCTGTTTCCTCTCCACCTCGTAACTGAAGAGGTCAGAAAGCCTGAGATGTTTCTGTGCTGCCACAGCAGCAGGGAAGGACATGGTTCTGGTTCTGGTTCTGGAGCTCTCCTGCTGATCTTGAGGGTAAATAAAGCCCCAGAGGGAGAGCACAGAGCTGCTGGTATTAATAGCTGCAGACGCTCTGCATGCTTTCCACTCAGAGTAACATGCTGGGGCCCAGTGCATGATGGGACACAAATACGTGATGTTTTTTTCCAGCCAGGCAGAAACACACAGTGAACTGAAGGGTTGCTGGTTCCAAACCCTGATGTGTCCTGGAGAGGCTTTTAAAGAGCATTTTCTATCTTCATTGGAAACCTCAGAGTAATCAGACTGCTGCTGAACATTTACCATGATGGCTCAAGATGCACTGGGCCAACCAACCTGTTTAAATCTGAAGGGCCTTCATTGTGCCTCCACTGCTCCACCATCATTCCTCAATTGTTCCCTCGTCGTTCCTCCGTTGTTTTATTGTTATTCCATTGTTCCTTTGTCTTTCCTCCATCATTCTTTCGTTGTTCCTTCGTCCTTCCTCCGTTCCACCGTCGTTCCTCCATCATTCCTCCATCGTTCCTCCATTGTTGCACCGTCGTTCCTCCATCGTTCCTCCATTGTTCCTCCATAGTTCCTCCATTGTTCCTCCATCAACCCTCCATCGTTCCTCCATTGTTCCTCCATCGTTCCTCCATCGTTCCTCCATCGTTCCTCCATTGTTCCTCCATCATTCCTCCATCGTTCCTCCATTGTTGCACCGTTGTTCCTCCACCGTTCCTCCATCGTTCCTCCATCGTTCCTCCATCGTTCCTCCATCGTTCCTCCATCATTCCTCCATCATTCCTCCATCGTTCCTCCATTGTTCCTCCATTGTTCCTCCATTGTTCCTCCATCATTCCTCCATCGTTCCTCCATTGTTCCTCCATCATTCCTCCATCGTTCCTCCATCGTTCCTCCATTGTTCCACTGTCTTTCCTGCAAACCATTGATCCTCTATGAGATCAGCTAAACAGGTCAGTGAAGGCATCATGGATCCACAGTACATCATCCATAATGCCTTCACTGACTGTTTGGTTTCTACTGCTCAGTTGGAACTAACGTCTCTGTGTTTCCAGGTTTGCACCTAATTGAGGTTCTCCTGGACAATGTCTCTGTCCCAAAGAGTCCCTTCAGAGTGTCAGTCAGCGAGGGCTGCGACCCCAGTCGGGTCCGAGCCTTCGGTCCTGGGCTGGAGGAAGGACTTGTGAACAAATCAAACAGCTTCACTGTTGAAACCAGGTAACCAGGTGTTCTCCTCTCTGGAACCTCCCAGAACCCACAGGAACGGGACCGTTTGGACTGAGTTCCCTGTGTCCCGTTTTAAGGGGCGCTGGCACTGGAGGACTGGGTCTGGCCATTGAAGGTCCCTCAGAGGCGAAGATGTCCTGTCAAGACAACAAGGACGGTAGCTGCAGTGTGGACTACATCCCGTTCACTCCTGGAGAATACGACGTCAATGTCTCCTTTGGAGGCCTCCCTATCCCAGGTCAGTGATCAGTTCAGCTGGGTCGCTTCCTCTCAGGGAACGGCTAAATGTCCCTCTCATTCTCTCCAGGAAGCCCGTTTCGTGTCCCGGTCCGGCAGCTGGTTGATCCCAGTAAGGTGAGGTGTTCTGGTCCTGGACTAGGAACAGGAGTCCGCGCTCATGTTCCTCAGACCTTCACGGTGGACAGCAGAAAGGCAGGCCTGGCTCCTCTGGAAGTCCAGATCTATGGACCCACTGGTGAGACGGCGATCAAGGACATGTCTTTACATTCAGACGGGTTTTCATTCCCCCACATCTCACTGAAAAAATGAAACAGAAATGAGCTAGCTATCTATTTAGCTCCAACTAGATTTGTATTTAGTTTTGAGATCACTACTTATTTACTTTACAAAATAGTTAGCTCTGAGCTAGCTAAATATTTTAGTTTACAAACTAAATATTTAGCTAATATGCTAACTCACTTGCCGATAAGTGGAAGCAGACTATAAAATAAAAGCCAGGTCTTGAGAAAACCCATATAAATCCTGATGACGGATGTATCTCTGCTGCTGCTCAACTTTTATTTTGGTACTTAGCTTTTCACAAAATATTTAGCTTCCTAGCTAAACATAGCCTGGTGAAAGTACGACTAACAAAAGTGAATCCTCATTTTTGTCAGACTACATAAGAATTATTACTGTTAATTTCTAACTGCATAGCTGTGCTAATGAATGGTCAATTCATTAGCTGTAACCTTATTGAGCACAAAAGTTTGACCTGTTAGCATCATGAGGCCCCTCTGGTCACTGAAACAGGTTTTCCTTCCCTGATTCGCTCCATCTTGGTACTGTTGGTTCTGATGAGGCCCAGTAAGTTGCTACCTGGAGCTCCAGCTGATTGGTGGAACTCGTTCTGTCCCCAGGTGTGGCCGAGCCGCTCAGCGCCACAGACAACGGGGACGGTACCCACACGGTTAACTACATCCCGGCCAGCGACGGGCCGTACACGGTGTGCGTGAAATACGCTGATCAGGAGGTTCCTCGGAGGTTTGTCCTGAACAGACTGCTCAGCAGGTTAAACTTCCAGAACTAGGTGTGACCCGTCAACCCATCTCCCCTCAGTCCCTTTAAGATCAAGACCCTCCCAGCTCACGACGCCAGCAAAGTCCGGGCCAGCGGTCCGGGCCTGAACGCCTCCGGGGTCCCGGCCAGTCTGCCCGTGGAGTTCACCATCGATGCCAGGGACGCCGGAGAAGGACTGCTCACCGTCCAGATCCTGGTGAGTCCAGTGGGCTGCCAAGTGGTCTTCAGAACCGTCTCCACCATTGATCTGCAGTGTGTGACTGAAATCAGTAAGACTCTGGTTTCAGTGGAACATAACCGTCTGGTGAGGCAGGTGATGGAAGTGTAGCCTCACCGTGCTCTGTTATCTGTCTCCTAATCCCGGCCTGACCCGGCCCGGCCCGGCTGCTGGCGCTGCAGGACCCAGACGGGTGTAGGCGTGAGGCCTCGCTGTTTGTGGAGGATTGGGGCAGGAGGGTGTGGCAGACCCACATAGTAAGAAAACCATCCCCTTCAGTATTCTGAGGAGAGGCTGCGTAAGGCCGTGACCTCTTCACCTTATCTCACCTTCATCCTCACCCTTCTCTCCTCCTCCTCCCTCGCTGCATCCCCTTCATCGCTGTTCACTGCTTCACCACAGAGCTGCTTGCTTTAGGTCAGGAGTCAAACTCCAGTCCTGCAGGTTTAGATGAGCCACAGGTACAAAACGCTGGAATGAAACGGCTTCGTTTCCTCCTCCTGGTGTGGATCTGATCTCCAGAGCCTTAATGACTCATTATTCTACTCAGGTAGTGCAGCAGAGGCTCATCTAAAGGTTGCAGGGGCCCAGCGGCCCCCCAGGACTGGAGTTTGAGACCCCTGCTTTAGGTGCTCCAGTTGATTCCTACAACACATCAGGATCTTCCAGTTTAACTGGATCGTGACAGGTTCAGTATTGGACACCTAGTTTTAATATCAAACATTTCAACAACAAGGTAGTTCAGAGTGCCACAGCAGAAAAACTTACTACAGGCACCAGTTATTAAACCAGCAGCAAACATTACATGTTTCCTTCTCAGACTCTCCCAGGTGTGTTTGGGCCGATCCAGGTAGACCAGGGGTCTCAAACTCCAGTCCTGGGGGGCCATTGGGCCCCTGCAACCTTTAGATGAGCCTCTGCTGCACCACCTGAATAGAATAATGAGTCATTAAGGCTCTGGAGATCAGATCTACACCAGGAGGAGGAAACAAAGCCGTTTCATTCCAGCGTTTTGTACCTGTGGCTCATCTAAACCTGCAGGACTGGAGTTTGACTCCTATGAGGTTCCACCGGATTTAGAACTGGTTCTGATGCGTGTCATGCTTCATCCCCCACCCCTCTGTGGTCTACATGTGGACTGACTCCATCCAGTTTGTGGGTTGACCTAACAGCCAGATGTTCCTCCAGACTAACCTCTGGTTCTCCGTAGATCCCTCCAACCCCACAGCGCTGACCTCAGACCATCAGCAGCCAATCAGGCTTCAGTAACCACTGGACCTCAGCGTAGAGTGTCTTCACATCAGCCATGTGTCTGAGCTTTCATCCAACTCCAGTCCACTTTCCTAGAGAGCCTGATTCGGGTTGTGAGTTGTGAATGCTATTTAACCTCTGACCTCTGGTCCTCCAAACCTCGGTCTGGGTTCAGTTGAAGTGAACTCTGGTTTGGTTTAGATATGGACCAGAGACCTCTTCAAAAGGAGGAAGAGGACTATAGTGCAGGGCATTCTGGGTAAATCCAACCAAAGCTAACATGCTAGCCTAGCGCTAGCAGCAGAAATGGCTCCTGGTCTTCAGCCAAAGACTAAAGAGAAATCCTCCATCACTAAACTCTGACGCCTCCATCTTGTTTCCATCTGGTGAAACAGGAAGTTGCTCTCAGTGTCTTCAGAGGTTCTGTGTCGTTTCCTTCAGTGGTTCTTGGTGCAGCGCCCCCACAGGCCAAGAGGGGAACAGGCTGGTTTGGGTCAGAACCACAGAAGCTGTTTGTTTTGCTTCAGTAACACAAGGCAGACATTCATGCTTCCCTCCAACCACAACCCCAAAAAGGTATTGACATCCTTAGGATGAAGGAGTGAATACTTTTGGAGGCTCTGTGTGTAAATGTCCATGTCTAAAAATGAGATGTTCCTGAAGCTTCGTTCTGATGGAATCACAATAAAAACTAAACTCTACTAAAGTCCAACAGCCAATCAGAGTGCTTTTCCCAGTGGCTGATGGTCCGAGACCAGTGATGAAACCGTTCAGTCCGCTAACTTCCTGTCCGTGTCGAACCAGGACCCGGAGGGAAAACCCAAGAAGGCCAACATCCGGGACAACCGGGACGGGACTTACACAGTGTCCTATGTACCGGACATAACGGGACGCTACACCATCACCATCAAATACGGAGGGGACGAGATCCCGTACTCGCCCTACAGGATCCACGCTGTGCCCACCGGGGATGCCAGCAAGTGTTTGGTCACAGGTCAGGCTCCGCCCACCGCTGCTCAGATCACCAATCAAATTCAGCCTTGCTGATGGTGTTGTTTCCTTTCAGTTTCCATTGGAGGACATGGACTGGGTGAGTTTCCTACAGACGGCTGGTCCCTCAGCTTCTCCTGCAGGAATTACATTCATGCTGCAGCTTTTAGATGTTTGGATTCTTTATTTTTCTGCTACATCAAAACCAAATGAACAACAAAATCTCAAAGGAACTGAGATAAATGTTCTCTGAGTTCCTCCAGTTTTCCGACTGTTTCGTGTGGAAAACAAAAATCCTATTTATGGTTTTAGATTTATGGATGGGAACCATGGCAACAGCAGTCTTTTGTCTGTCTCTCTTTGTCTTCTTCTGTCACTTAAAAGATGAAGAAGTTCATAACAGAAGTCCAACTGTTAGCTGCAGCTGCACCACCTGCTGGTGGAGCTGAGGTATTACAGGTATTTTCAGGTAGAAATGCAGATTTTCTCAAATCCAAAGGAGGAAAAATCAATAATTGTCTTTTTAAAACATTTAGTTGGTGGCAGAGGCCTTGGATGTACCTTTGAGAGAAAACTTTCAGCTACTTGTTCAGCCAACTGCGTCTCCATATGGTCCACCTGATAAAACCCAGATTGTGTCAGCTGTTACCGGGCAGAAATAGAATCTGACTTGGTTCACAGAGACCCAGGTCTGATGACTGGTCTCAAAGCAGATTCATTTACAAACAAGTTAATGTGGAGCAAATGTCTTGTTTTCACGCCTCCAAACTAACCTGCTGAGATCTTGGACTCACTGAACTAGAGAAGATCAGTTGGTCATCCTCTCAGCCTGGATTCTTCAGGTCCTCTGAATGTCTCACTGGATTCAGACACAGATCCAGACGGTCTCTGGGAAGGACCTGGTGAAGGCAGCTTTCCCACCTCTGGCTCATTCAGAGTCTGATTGTAGGCGTAGTCTTTCCTTCAGCTGTGGTCTTGGTAGGACTTGCCATCAAATTCTAAATTTTTCCTACCGTATTAAAGCCAAACCAACAAGCCACCTCTGTCCAATCGGTAACCAGGTATGACAAGCACGTTATGAGCCAATGATCCTCCTTCAGACAAAGAACCCAAGTATTTAGGATGACAAATAAAAGCATGTTTAGGATGCAGAGTTGCTCATCTTGGAAAGTTCTTTTCTTGATGAACACAAGATCCAGAAAAGAAATGAAAACGCTGAGGAAATGAATTAGCTAGACTCGTGCATGATTAAAAACCAGAACCCAGTTCCCACAGGTCCCAGTCGGTTAGATGATATCAAGCAACGACACCCTGCTTTCCTCATCAGGTTCAGGTCTCAGTCCGACTATCCAGATCGGAGAGGAAACAGTCATCTCGGTGGACGCAAAGGATGCTGGCAAAGGTAAAGTCACCTGCAAAGTGTCGACGCCGGACGGAGCGGAGCTGGATGTGGACGTGGTGGAGAACGCCGACGGGACATTTGATATTTATTACACGGCTCCAGAACCTGGCCAGTACATCATCACTATTCGATTCGGAGGGGAGCACATTCCCAACAGCCCCTTCCATGTGGTGGTGAGTAGAAACTGCAGATTGGCTGGTGGTCGAGTTGGGTTGGGTTGGGTTGAGTTGGGTTGGGTTGAGTTGGGTTGGGTTGGGTTGAGTTGGGTTGGGTTGAGTTGAGTTGTGTTGAGTTGAGTTGGGTTGGGTTGAGTTGGGTTGGGTTGAGTTGGGTTGAGTTGGGTTGGGTTGGGTTGAGTTGAGTTGGGTTGAGTTGGGTTGGGTTGGGTTGGGTTGAGTTGGGTTGGGTTGAGTTGGGTTGGGTTGGGTTGGGTTGAGTTGGGTTGGGTTGGGTTGAGATGGGTTGGGTTGGGTTGAGTTGGGTTGGGTTGGGTTGAGTTGAGTTGGGTTGGGTTGAGTTGGGTTGGGTTGGGTTGAGTTGGGTTGGGTTGGGTTGGGTTGGGTTGAGTTGGGTTGAGTTGGGTTGGGTTGGGTTGGGTTGGGTTGAGATGGGTTGGGTTGGGTTGAGTTGGGTTGGGTTGAGTTGAGTTGGGTTGGGTTGGGTTGGGTTGAGTTGGGTTGGGTTGGGTTGAGATGGGTTGGGTTGGGTTGAGTTGGGTTGGGTTGAGTTGGGTTGGGTTGGGTTGAGTTGGGTTGGGTTGAGTTGGGTTGGGTTGGGTTGAGATGTGTTGGGTTGGGTCCTGGTTTCTGTTGGGTTGGATTTATTCCTGGTTTAGGTTGAGTTTTGGTTTTATTAGGTTTAGTCTTGTTGGTTAGTTTTCTGGTTTCTGGTTAGTCCTGGTTTGGGTTAGGGTTCAGTCTGGGAACCCATTTGTCCATTCAGTGGAAACTTCAGACATTAAATTAATGATACATTGATGGAAATAAACTAGTTCCTGTTTAATGTGATCTGTTTTCTCCGTTTCCAGTGGACAATCTGAGTAATCAGCCTCTGACTGACTGAACCTGCTGAGTTTATTTAGGTGTTTGCTCTAACTGCTGCTTCTTGTTCTCGTCAGGCGAGTGAAACCGTGCCAATAATCGAGGAACCATGTGACAAGGTTCAGTCGCAGCAGCCCTACTCGCCCTACGCAGGCTTCTCCCCTCACTGGGTACCAGCGCTGCCGTTAATCTGCTGCTGCAGACCGACTCTGTGTCACTGACACCTCATGATCAATAACAACCCAGATTCCCTTATCCATCCTCTGCCAGCTGCTGCATGAATATCTGCTGGGCTGAAATAACTAAAGCTTTGCTTAAAGTTCATCTTATCTCTTTGTGGTTTGGTCCTGCTGGGTCAGAACCAGCTGTGATGGACCACTGCCTCTGCCAACCACTCATTTTCCTCCCATTTGTTTCTGGACCCATTCCCAACGCTCCCAGTATGCTACCAGTGACACTCCTCCCCTCTGCTCTGGCTTAGGCAACAGACGATCCGGTCAGCGCTACAGATGGGATGGAGCCGGTGCTGCGTCCCTTCAGCCTGGTTATTCCCTTCACCGTACAGAAAGGAGAGATCTCAGGTACAACATACACCGCGTCCATTCCTCACACTTTATGAAACATCTCAGTTGCTGTAACGAGTTAAAACCCGGTTGGTGCTTTCGACAGGCGAGGTTCGAATGCCGTCGGGTCGAACAGCTCAGCCTAACATCACTGACAACAAGGACGGGACGGTGATGGTGAAATACTCGCCGACTGAGCGCGGCCTGCATGAGATGGACATCAGATGCGACGGAAGCCACATCCCAGGTAGCTACTGCCAGACGTTCCGGTCCGCACGGACCTGCTTGAGTTCACTGTTCCGGCTCCCGGAACCGGGATGTTTCTGCTCCGGTTGGACTCACTGAACCATGTTTCACTGTGACCTGCAACCACCGATCCTCTCTGAGGTCAGCTGAATGGGTCAGAAGGGAAACCAGTTTATACCACTAACATTACAGATTCTGGTTCTCAGAACCCAAACAAAGCGTTGTTTGGGTTCATGTTTTCCTGTTACAACAACACTTAAACACAAGACTTATGCTGTAGGAGGGATGAGACAAGTTCAACTCTGGTGGAACCGGAGCCTCCAGCAGAACCAGAACCTTCTGTAAAACTGCTTCTCTCCTGTGTGTTTCAGGAAGTCCTCTGCAGTTCTACGTTGACGCCATCAATAGCGGTCATGTGACGGCGTTCGGCGCTGGCCTGAGCCACGGTGCAGTGAACCAGCCGGCCACCTTCACCATCGTCACCAAAGACGCTGGAGAAGGTATCAGCAGCAGGAAGCAGGTTTTCTCTGTTCCAGTCAACAGGAAGCCGAACGTGAAGCAGGTGAATGTCGTCATGATGCGTCCTCTGCCTCTCTGCAGGAGGTTTGTCCCTGGCTGTTGAAGGTCCATCCAAAGCAGAGATCAGCTGCACAGACAACAAAGACGGGACGTGCACGGTGTCCTACCTGCCCACCGCACCTGGAGACTACAGCATCATCGTCAAGTTTGATGACAAAAACATCCCAGGAAGCCCGTTTATGGCAAAGATCACCGGTACGGAAACTCCACAGGGAAACCTCTTCTGGCACAAACAAATCAAATCAGTCTGAGTCTGGACCATGCTAAGAGAATAAACCGACTTCTTGCCGACCGGGCTGGTTCACCGTTCACTCCTTCATGTTTCCTCTTCAGGAGACGACGTCATGAGGGCATCGCAGCTCAACGTTGGCACCGCATCAGACGTTTCCTTAAAGATCACAGAGACGGACCTGAGCAGCCTGATGGCAACTATCAGAGCGCCGTCTGGCCACGAAGAGCCGTGTCTCCTGAAGAGGCTCCCCAACAGACACATCGGTACCTGTCCAGATCTCACCTGGGTTCAGGGCCCAGCCGGCTGGCATTTTCAATTGTTGGTTTCCTCACTGTTGAGCAATGAAAGTTCCTGAAACGTCTTGATAGATTTAATTAGGGACAAAATGGGACCTTGTGCATGTCTCAGCATGTCACAGGAAGTGATGTCTGATCTGTCGTTCATGCAGGAATCTCCTTCACCCCGAAGGAAGTGGGCGAACATGTGGTGAGCGTGAAGAAAAGTGGGAAGCATGTGACTAACAGCCCGTTTAAGATCATGGTGGGTCAGTCAGAAATCGGCGACGCCAGCAGGGTGAAGGCTTACGGCCAGGGCCTGGTGGAGGGACACACCTTGAGGTTGCAGAGTTCATGGTGGACACCAGGAATGCCGGTGAGGACGCAAACCGCCTGCTCGGAGTCTGGGTCGGGTTTCGGTTCTGACAGTCTGTTTTGTTTGGAAGGTTATGGCGGTCTGGGCCTGTCCATCGAGGGTCCGAGCAAAGTGGACATTAACTGTGAGGATGTGGACGATGGGACGTGTAAGGTGACCTACTGCCCTACAGAACCTGGGAACTACATCATCAACATCAAGTTTGCTGACCAGCATGTTCCAGGTAAAGCCAGAAGCTGCTGCTCTGCCTCCTGACATGCATGCTGGGAAACAGGAAGAGGCGGAGCAAACACCAGGAATGGTTTGTGGAGCACTAGATGTTGCTACAACCTTTAACAGGCTTTTCACCAGGCTTTTTTTCACCAAAAGGCCTGGTGAAAATTAGAGAAGCAAACATATAGAATAACACTGCCTCCTACAGGCAGAATCTGAAAGCACAGATTATACTTGACCTCATCAGTCCCTCCAGGGTTTCACCGTGTTTTTGTGATGTTGGTTCAGAGATAGTAATTCTGTGATATTTTTAACTCATTAATACATTTTTATTAAATATTTAGTTTTTCATTCCTGACCAATTGCGGATGACAACCTGACTTAAAGTCAGTCTGAGACAGAAATGTCGCCGCCTGCAGGTGGGAGTTAGTTTCAATTAAACCCAAAGTTATTGATCATTTTTGCAGAAAATTTGCAATATACTCGCAAATATGCATAAACCCAAAAACCAAAGGGGATCTGTTGGTTTCTAAACTGGCAGAACTGATTCTGGCTGGGTTTAGTTTAACATTATTGGTGTTTCCAAACAGGAAGTCCGTTCACTGTCAAAATATTTGGCGAAGGCCGCGTGAAGGAAAGCATCACCAGGAAGCGGCAGGCCCCCTCCATCGCCACCGTGGGCAGCACCTGTGACCTCAACCTGAAAATACCAGGTAAAGTTTGTCTTCATCTTCTGCTCCACTCCTCTTCCTCTGTCCTTCCTGCCTTCTGCTTCCTCACCTTCATCTCCTTCTTGCTCCTGTCCTCCTCCTTCCTGCCTGCCGGCTGCAGGAAACTGGTTTCAGATGGTTTCCGCTCAGGAGCGTCTGACCCGGACCTTCACTCGCAGCAGCCACACCTACACCCGCACCGAGCGCACCGAGATCAGCAAGACCCGAGGCGGAGAGACCAAACGGGAGGTCCGGGTGGAGGAGAGCACGCAGGTCGGAGGAGATCCCTTCAGGGATGTGTTTGGAGATTTTCTGGGCCGAGATGGTCTGAGCGGGTTCAGTGGGATGCCGTCCGGAAGCCGCCTGCCGCTGCAGGACGGTGTGTGTCCTTGAAGTTCTTCTGCTGCTGCTTGGCTTCTGTCTTTAACCACAAACTGCTCTCAGGTTTCCCTCCATCGGTGCTGCAATACACAATGTGAACAGATGGGGGCAGTGTGTTGCTCCTGTTTGACAGAAACATATCATCACCTTCCTAAAACAACATCCTGTCAATTTCTTGCCAAAAGTGATTATATTGTTTTATTTGTGTCCAATTAATGCTTTAACAACAACAAAGTGCTGACTTTTTTTTTTGTTGCATAAATCGTATTTGGTATATATATATATATATATATATATATATATATATATATATATATATATATATAAAGACTCGTGACATGATTTTAGGAAAGTGATGATATGAAACTTTGTGTAAAGTTGTGAATATTTTTGTCCCATTACTAAAATATAAATATGTAATTCAGTGTCAACCTGAATTAGAGTAAATATTAGTTGTTTTATCTTAACTCATTACCAGTTGGACTAACTGTGTTTACTATATTTATATATATTTTATTTCTGCATGAGAAAAATAAAGCAGTGGTGCAATAACATAATATGTGAAAGAGGAACGCCAGTCTAAACGCAGCCGATGACCTGTGATGTCTTTGTCCTCCCGTCTCGTCCCCGTCCTGCTGCGTCCCTCAGGTGAGGCAGCGAACCAGGAGATGACGGCTCAGGTGACGAGTCCTGGCGGGAAGACGGAGGACGCAGAGATCATCAAGGGAGAGGACAGCACCTACAGCGTCCGCTTCGTCCCTCAGGAGATGGGCCCTCACGTTGTCAGTGTGAAGTACCGGGACCAGCACGTCCCTGGGAGCCCCTTCCAGTTCACTGTGGGGCCACTGGGGGAGGGAGGGGCCCACAAGGTCCGAGCTGGAGGAACCGGACTGGACCGCGGCCTGGCAGGACTACCCGGTAGGTTTTAATTTACATCATAAAAAACAAAACATTTGTTTCATCAACGGTTCCACTTCTCAACATATTTACTGGAAACAAAACATTTCTGAGTCTCATTTCTGTGAGATAGAAATATATAATTCAGAATGTACATTTAAGAACTGGCAGCATAGTTTTCTGGTTTCTTTATTTCCTACAAGATGTTTGGCACTCTTATGTTCCCCTAAATTAATTTCAGCTCTGAAGTGCTTTAGCGTCAGCTTCAGCTCAATTTTATATGGATAGTTATATAACTTTAACATTTACAGAACTATTGTTTATGATTAGCAAGGTTTCCCCAGAAAAGCTGCTCCGCGTGTTTTTGTATTAAAAAAAACCCGGCTGTGCCGTGACGGAGGGCTTGTGCTTTTTCTGCAGCTGAGTTCAGCATCTGGACCAGAGAAGCTGGAGCTGGCGGTCTGTCCATTGCTGTGGAAGGACCCAGCAAAGCCGAGATCACCTTTGAAGACCGAAAGGACGGATCCTGCGGCGTCTCCTACGTAGTGCAGGAGTCCGGTAAGAATGGAGCAGACCTCAGGTCAGATTTATGGACTTCAGGCTGATTCAGCAGCATGTCAAAGCCTGCTGGGTATCGCGTTGGGGAGATTAGAACATGCTGGATGGTAGGAACATCTAGAGAGAGTAGATCCCTCAGGATCACCACCAGACACTGAGGATCCTTCCATTTAAAATCTGCAGGAGATTATGAGGTTTCCATCAAGTTCAATGACGAACACATCCCGGATTCTCCGTTTATCGTCCCCGTGGCGAGCCTGTCTGATGACGCCCGCCACCTCACCATTACCAGCCTGCAGGTGAGAACATCCTCTAACCAGACAGAGGAGAAACATATTGTCTGTACTGACACATGGCTCCTCTGTTTATCCAGGAGATGGGACTGAAGGTGGGTCAGGAGGCCTCCTTCGCCGTGCAGCTGAATGGAGCCAGAGGCCTCATAGACGCTAAGATCCACACTCCATCAGGGGCCACGGAGGAGTGCTACATCACCGAGTTGGACAGCGGTAAGAGCCAACCTGACCAACCTGGAGAGTCATAGGAGCAGTAGGGCTGATGCTGTCAGTCTGCAGCAAATTCAACATCATATGTGGTCAGTTTATGACTGGAAGGAGGTAAAGATATCATCTCAAAATAATGATCTAATCAAAGGCAGTTTCCCCCCTGATAGTCCTGTAGACCCTGTTTGATTGGAACCAAAACGACATTTGTTCCATTTCCAGCTGTTGTGGTTTTCTGAGTCAAACCAATCAAACCCTTTGAGCAACCTGTTCCTCTCCTAGCCTGTGGGGGCGCTGCACCCCACTGGGTGACGGAAACAACACAAAAACCTCTGAATACACTGAGCGCAACTTCCTTCTTCACCAAATGGAAACTAAAGGCATCAGAGGACTGGAGGATTACTCTTTAGATTTTGGCTAAAGACCAGGAGCCATTTCTAATGCTACCGCAAGGCTAGCAGGCTAGCTTTGGTTCCATTTAGCGAGAATGCGCTGCACTGTAGTCACTTCCTGCGTTTGGAGCGGTTTCTGTTCCTCTTGGCGTTCAACTGAACCCAGGCAGAGGAGTTCACACCTCACTAACCGAACCAGACTTTGACTAGACAGACAGACAGACTGGAGTTGGATTGAAGGGGACTGAACTGGACTAGTGTTACTGCAGGCTTAATAAGACGGTTGTTTTTCTTCTAGATTATTTTAGAAGTGACATTTAACCAGTTTAGACTGGAGAACTTCAGAGTTTACGTCTGACCTCCTCACATTTCACGTCATCCTGAGCTGAACATTACACCGTGTTCCAAATTATTATGCAAATTGGAACACGTTGTGCTATTAAATGTATGGATGGTTTTGTGTGTCTTTGAATCACTATAATTACTTTCAGAGAGCTGCTTGATCACTTTAGCTCAGTCAAAGTAAATCTACTTCAGAAGGATGTTCCACATTATTCATCAGGATTCCAGCAACATGGGAGGAGAAAGAATCTGCTGATGAAACCATCAGAGAGTGTAGAGCCGCATGACAAGCTATGAAAACATGAGATATTGAACACTGAAGCGTTTTCATCGTACTGGGAAGAGATTTGTGGCTGATTGAGAACAAAGATGGTTTACAGATAAAGACTAAAGAGGAAAGTTTCTGTTCAGTTCCTGGGATCAAAAGATCAGCTGCTGAAATGACCTTAAAGCAGCAAACAGTTAATAGCCTCAAGGTGGAGGATCCACAGGGGCCCCAACCTGCTACTGGGCCCCAACCTGCTACTGGGCCCCCAACCTGCTACTGGGCCCCAACCTGCTACTGGGCCCCAACCTGCTACTGGGCCCCCAACCTGCTACTGGGCCCCAACCTGCTACTGGGCCCCAACCTGCTACTGGGCCCCAACCTGCTACTGGGCCCCAACCTGCTACTGGGCCCCAACCTGCTACTGGGCCCCCACCTGCTACTGGGCCCCCAACCTGCTACTGGGCCCCAACCTGCTACTGGGCCCCCAACCTGCTACTGGGCCCCCAACCTGCTACTGGGCCCCCAACCTGCTACTGGGCCCCAACCTGCTACTGGGGCCCTAATCTGCTACTGGGCCCCTAATCTGCTACTGGGCCCCAACCTGCTACTGGCCCCCAACCTGCTACTGGACCCCAACCTGCTACTGGCCCCCAACCTGCTACTGGGCCCCAACCTGCTACTGGGCCCCCAACCTGCTACTGGGCCCCCAAACTGCTACTGGCCCCCAACCTGCTACTGGGCCCCCAACCTGCTACTGGGCCCCTAATCTGCTACTGGGCCCCCAACCTGCTACTGGGCCCCAACCTGCTACTGGGCCCCAACCTGCTACTGGGCCCCTAATCTGCTACCCCCCAACCTGCTACTGGGCCCCAAACCTGCTACTGGGCCCCCAACCTGCTACTGGCCCCAACCTGCTACTGGGCCCCAACCTGCTACTGGGCCCCCAACCTGCTACTGGGCCCCCAACCTGCTACTGGGCCCCAACCTGCTACTGGGCCCCAACCTGCTACTGGGCCCCTAATCTGCTACTGGGCCCCAACCTGCTACTGGGCCCCCAACCTGCTACTGGGCCCCAACCTGCTACTGGGCCCCAACCTGCTACTGGGCCCCAACCTGCTACTGGACCCCAACCTGCTACTGGCCCCCAACCTGCTACTGGGCCCCAACCTGCTACTGGGCCCCCAACCTGCTACTGGGCCCCCAACCTGCTACTGGCCCCCAACCTGCTACTGGGCCCCCAACCTGCTACTGGGCCCCTAATCTGCTACTGGGCCCCCAACCTGCTACTGGGCCCCAACCTGCTACTGGGCCCCCAACCTGCTACTGGGCCCCTAATCTGCTACTGGGCCCCAACCTGCTACTGGGCCCCTAATCTGCTACTGGGCCCCCAACCTGCTACTGGGCCCCAACCTGCTACTGGGCCCCAACCTGCTACTGGGCCCCCAACCTGCTACTGGGCCCCCAACCTGCTACTGGGCCCCAACCTGCTACTGGGCCCCAACCTGCTACTGGGCCCCTAATCTGCTACTGGGCCCCAACCTGCTACTGGGCCCCCAACCTGCTACTGGGCCCCAACCTGCTACTGGGCCCCAACCTGCTACTGGGCCCCAACCTGCTACTGGGCCCCAACCTGCTACTGGGCCCCCAACCTGCTACTGGGCCCCTAATCTGCTACTGGGCCCCAACCTGCTACTGGGCCCCAACCTGCTACTGGGCCCCAACCTGCTACTGGGCCCCAACCTGCTACTGGGCCCCCAACCTGCTACTGGGCCCCCAACCTGCTACTGGGCCCCAACCTGCTACTGGGCCCCAACCTGCTACTGGGCCCCAACCTGCTACTGGGCCCCCAACCTGCTACTGGGCCCCCAACCTGCTACTGGGCCCCCAACCTGCTACTGGGCCCCAACCTGCTACTGGGCCCCAACCTGCTACTGGGCCCCAACCTGCTACTGGGCCCCAACCTGCTACTGGGCCCCCAACCTGCTACTGGGCCCCCAACCTGCTACTGGGCCCCAACCTGCTACTGGGCCCCAACCTGCTACTGGGCCCCCAACCTGCTACTGGGCCCCAACCTGCTACTGGGCCCCAACCTGCTACTGGGCCCCAACCTGCTACTGGGCCCCCAACCTGCTACTGGGCCCCAACCTGCTACTGGGCCCCAACCTGCTACTGGGCCCCAACCTGCTACTGGGCCCCAACCTGGTACTGGGCCCCAACCTGCTACTGGGCCCCCAACCTGCTACTGGGCCCCCAACCTGCTACTGGGCCCCAACCTGCTACTGGGCCCCAACCTGCTACTGGGCCCCCAACCTGCTACTGGGCCCCCAACCTGCTACTGGGCCCCCAACCTGCTACTGGGCCCCAACCTGCTACTGGGCCCTAATCTGCTACTGGGCCCCTAATCTGCTACTGGGCCCCAACCTGCTACTGGCCCCCAACCTGCTACTGGACCCCAACCTGCTACTGGCCCCCAACCTGCTACTGGGCCCCAACCTGCTACTGGGCCCCCAACCTGCTACTGGGCCCCAACCTGCTACTGGGCCCCCAACCTGCTACTGGGCCCCCAAACTGCTACTGGCCCCCAACCTGCTACTGGGCCCCCAACCTGCTACTGGGCCCCTAATCTGCTACTGGGCCCCAACCTGCTACTGGGCCCCCAACCTGCTACTGGGCCCCAACCTGCTACTGGGCCCCTAATCTGCTACTGGGCCCCAACCTGCTACTGGGCCCCAACCTGCTACTGGTTCCCAACCTGCTGCTGGGCCCCCCTGCTACTGGGCCCCCAACCTGCTACTGGGCCCCAACCTGCTACTGGGCCCCAACCTGCTACTGGGCCCCAACCTGCTACTGGGCCCCCAACCTACTGGGCCCCAACTGCTACTGCCCCCCTGCTACTGCTACTGGCCCCCCAACCTGCTACTGGGCCCCCAACCTGCTACTGGGCCCCAACTGCTACTGGGCCCCCAACCTGCTACTGGCCCCCAACTGCTACTGGGCCCCCAACCTGCTACTGGGCCCCAACCTGCTACTGGGCCCCCAACCTGCTACTGGGCCCCAACTGCTACTGGGCCCCAACCTGCTACTGGGCCCCAACCTGCTACTGGGCCCCAACCTGCTACTGGGCCCCAACCTGCTACTGGGCCCCAACCTGCTACTGGGCCCCTGCTACTGGGCCCCAACCTGCTACTGGGCCCTAATCTGCTACTGGGCCCCCAACCTGCTACTGGGCCCCAACCTGCTACTGGGCCCCCAACCTGCTACTGGGCCCCAACCTGCTACTGGCCCCAACCTGCTACTGGGCCCCCAACCTGCTACTGGGCCCCAACCTGCTACTGGGCCCCCAACCTGCTACTGGGCCCCCAACCTGCTACTGGCCCCCAACCTGCTACTGGCCCCAACCTGCTACTGGGCCCCAACCTGCTACTGGGCCCCAACCTGCTACTGGGCCCCAACCTGCTACTGGCCCCCAACCTGCTACTGGGCCCCAACTGCTACTGGGCCCAACCTGCTACTGGGCCCCAACCTGCTACTGGGCCCCCAACCTGCTACTGGGCCCCCAACCTGCTACTGGGCCCCAATCTGCTACTGGGCCCAACCTGCTACTGGGCCCCAACCTGCTACTGGGCCCCCAACCTGCTACTGGGCCCCAACCTGCTACTGGGCCCCCAACCTGCTACTGGGCCCCCAACCTGCTACTGGGCCCCCAACCTGCTACTGGGCCCCAACCTGCTACTGGGCCCCAACCTGCTACTGGGCCCCCAACCTGCTACTGGCCCCCAACCTGCTACTGGGCCCCTAATCTGCTACTGGGCCCCAACCTGCTACTGGGCCCCTAATCTGCTACTGGGCCCCAACCTGCTACTGGGCCCCAACCTGCTACTGGGCCCCCAACCTGCTACTGGGCCCCTAATCTGCTACTGGGCCCCAACCTGCTACTGGGCCCCTAATCTGCTACTGGGCCCCCAACCTGCTACTGGGCCCCAACCTGCTACTGGGCCCCAACCTGCTACTGGGCCCCAACCTGCTACTGGCCCCAACCTGCTACTGGGCCCCAACTGCTACTGGGCCCCAACCTGCTACTGGCCCCAACCTGCTACTGGGCCCCCAACCTGCTACTGGGCCCCAACCTGCTACTGGGCCCCAACCTGCTACTGGGCCCCAACCTGCTACTGGCCCCCAACCTGCTACTGGGCCCCAACCTGCTACTGGGCCCCAACCTGCTACTGGCCCCCAACCTGCTACTGGGCCCCAACCTGCTACTGGGCCCCTAATCTGCTACTGGGCCCCAACCTGCTACTGGGCCCCCAACCTGCTACTGGGCCCCCAACCTGCTACTGGCCCCAACCTGCTACTGGGCCCCTAATCTGCTACTGGGCCCCAACCTGCTACTGGGCCCCCAACCTGCTACTGGACCCCAACCTGCTACTGGCCCCCAACCTGCTACTGGGCCCCAACCTGCTACTGGGCCCCCAACCTGCTACTGGGCCCCAACTGCTACTGGGCCCCAACCTGCTACTGGGCCCCAACCTGCTACTGGGCCCCAACCTGCTACTGGGCCCCAACCTGCTACTGGGCCCCCAACCTGCTACTGGGCCCCCAACCTGCTACTGGGCCCCAACCTGCTACTGGGCCCCAACCTGCTACTGGGCCCCAACCTGCTACTGGGCCCTAATCTGCTACTGGGCCCCCAACCTGCTACTGGGCCCCAACCTGCTACTGGGCCCCTAACTGCTACTGGGCCCCAACCTGCTACTGGGCCCCCAACCTGCTACTGGGCCCCCAACCTGCTACTGGGCCCCAACCTGCTACTGGGCCCCAACCTGCTACTGGCCCCAACCTGCTACTGGGCCCCTAATCTGCTACTGGCCCCAACCTGCTACTGGGCCCCAACCTGCTACTGGCCCCAACCTGCTACTGCCCCCAACCTGCTACTGGGCCCCAACCTGCTACTGGGCCCTAATCTGCTACTGGGCCCCAACCTGCTACTGGGACCTAACTGCTACTGGCCCCCAACCTGCTACTGGGCCCCAACCTGCTACTGGGCCCCTAATCTGCTACTGGGCCCCAACCTGCTACTGGGCCCCCAACCTGCTACTGGGCCCCCAACCTGCTACTGGGCCCCAACCTGCTACTGGGCCCCAACCTGCTACTGGCCCCCAACCTGCTACTGGGCCCCTAATCTGCTACTGGCCCCAACCTGCTACTGGGCCCCTAATCTGCTACTGGGCCCCCAACCTGCTACTGGGCCCCAACCTGCTACTGGGCCCCAACCTGCTACTGGGCCCCAACTGCTACTGGGCCCCAACCTGCTACTGGGCCCCAATCTGCTACTGGCCCCAACCTGCTACTGGACCCCCAACCTGCTACTGGGCCCCCAACCTGCTACTGGCCCCAACCTGCTACTGGGCCCCTAATCTGCTACTGGGCCCCAACCTGCTACTGGGCCCCAACCTGCTACTGGGCCCCCAACCTGCTACTGGGCCCCCAACCTGCTACTGGCCCCCAACCTGCTACTGGGCCCCTAACTGCTACTGGGCCCCAACCTGCTACTGGGCCCCAACCTGCTACTGGGCCCCCAACCTGCTACTGGCCCCCAACCTGCTACTGGGCCCCAACCTGCTACTGGCCCCAACCTGCTACTGGGCCCCAACCTGCTACTGGGCCCCAACCTGCTACTGGGCCCCAACCTGCTACTGGCCCCAACCTGCTACTGGGCCCCAACCTGCTACTGGGCCCCAACCTGCTACTGGCCCCCAACCTGCTACTGGGCCCCAACCTGCTACTGGGCCCCTAATCTGCTACTGGGCCCCAACCTTCTACTGGGCCCCATCCTGCTACTGGGCCCCTAATCTGCTACTGGGCCCCAACCTGCTACTGGGCCCCAACCTGCTACTGGGCCCCAACCTGCTACTGGGCCCCAACCTGCTACTGGGCCCCAACCTGCTACTGGCCCCCAACCTGCTACTGGGCCCCCAACCTGCTACTGGGCCCCTAATCTGCTACTGGGCCCCCAACCTGCTACTGGGCCCCCAACCTGCTACTGGCCCCAACCTGCTACTGGGCCCCAACCTGCTACTGGGCCCCAACCTGCTACTGGCCCAACCTGCTACTGGGCCCCTAACCTGCTACTGGGCCCCCAACCTGCTACTGGGCCCCCAACCTGCTACTGGGCCCCCAACCTGCTACTGGGCCCCCAACCTGCTACTGGGCCCCCAACCTGCTACTGGGCCCCCAACCCACTATTGGAGCCGTAACCTACTATTGTCTGCAAGGAGGAGGTGGAGTCATGCTGTGGGCCCAAATAAAGGCGAGAGAGAGAGAGAGAGAGAGAGAGAGAGAGAGAGAGAGAGAGAGAGAGAGAGAGAGAGAGAGAGAGAGAGCTGGTCGGCCCCTTCAGAGACCTGAAGGTGTAAAAATGACCTCAGCAATGAATCTGGACTTTCTGTCTCGGTCCAAAAAGAGCCGAAGCTTCAGCAGCAAAACCATCTTCATGCAGGACGATGCAGCATCTGCTGCAAGGACTAACTCTGTGTCTCTGGCTGCTATGGGCAGAAAGGAGAGAAACTCGTGGTGTGTCACCATCCTCCTCTGACCTCTGACCCTATTGGGAACTTGTGGAGTTTCCTCCAGCTGAAGATCTGAGGGTTTAATGCAGGTCATATCAAGCAGCAGGTTTTCTGACATCCTGCAGAAACTTTCCACAAACTCACAAGTTCAGTGGGTCAAGAATTGTGCAGTGATATCAAAGAAGCTCTTATGTTAAGATGCAACTATCTATCAGGATGTTTTTGATTGAAATGGCTTTAAATTTTAGTAAATGTGACCACTTAATGCAAAGAATGACAGTTCTTTATAATCCATAAAGTGTTTAGAAAATCTGCTGTGCATAATAATTTGGAACTGAGCATTTTGAGTTTTTATTTTTTAAAACAACATGTTTCTCATGGGGATCTTTGTTCAGTAAAATTTGATTTACACTGTAATAGTTCATGACTTGCACATTATACTGACCATCATTTGCATTAATCATTTAACAAAGTCTGAGAAAGTACCACTTGCATAATCATTTGGATCACGGTGTATTTGTGGCCCTGAGACGGCTCCAGAACAAGAGAACCGTTCTGTTAAGGTTCTGTTTCTGTGTTCAGCAGATCAGCACGCCATCAGGTTCATCCCCAAGGAGAACGGTGTTCACTCCATAGACGTTCGCTTCAATGGCAGCCACGTTCCCGGCAGTCCCTTCAAGATCCGAGTGGGAGAACCTGGACAGGTTGGGGATCCTGGTCTCGTGTCTGCCTTTGGTCCAGGCCTGGAAGGAGGAACCACAGGTACACACTATATGATTTCACTCATGTCTATGAACATCAGCAGACTTTAAAAGTTGTGTTTGTGCAGGTGTAGCATCAGAGTTCATAGTAAACACCTGCAATGCTGGTGCTGGAGCGCTCTCTGTGACCATCGATGGACCATCGAAGGTGAAGATGGACTGTCAGGAGGGACCCGAGGGCTACAAGGTGTCCTACACCCCCATGGCTCCAGGGAGCTACCTGATCTCCATCAAGTATGGGGGCCCCCAGCACATTGTGGGCAGCCCATTCAAAGCCAAAGTGTCAGGTGGGTCAGTGGTCTTCTGAGGTCAGTTTGTAGTGATGTGAAGGCTTCTGGAGTTTGCCTTCGGGGAAAAGCCAGTTAGAGCGTGACTCCCTGACGTTCCCTGACGTTCCCTGAACAAAGCTCTCTTTGTGCTCCTGTTCTCTGGAAGCCTGATGTTTCCCTGCTAAAGATAGCGCCGTTCCTCGAAGCAGCTTCACTTCACTTCAAACTAAAAAAACAAGATCTGATTTATACATTGTTGCTACAGTAATTCCACCAGTAAACACACTGAAAGAAACAACCAGTGTGTCACCAAATGTTTAAGATTCATCCAGACCAGAAAGGTCCCGCGGCTCCGGCTGGACGTCAGCTGCTGGGCTTTACTGAGCTCAAATAATCAGCAGACTGATTCCAGCACTGCACTAGAGCTTTTCTGATTCCAGAATATTAATGACTCCAAACCTTTGGCTAAAACGCAAATTCACCTGTCAACAACTGGACCACCAAAATAAAGCTGGCTCTTCTAAACCTCTTTATAAACTCCAGCGTTTGAATCGATTCTTGCCTTCTCTTTATCATAAATTATTTTTGGTTTCTTGAACATTTCATCTTCAAACAAAGGATGAGCCGTTTTAAAGCAGACGTTCACAGTAACGTTAAAAGTGACACGTCAGTGTTGAAGGATTCAATCACTCATCAAGATCCAGTTTTTATTTTGATAGTCCACTTCTGCTTATTGGCACGTGAGTTTGAAGATCAGCTAAACTGGGATGAGTCTCAGAGACTCTGAGGCAGGGTTAGGGGTCCAGTTTGTAAATTAAATATTTGGTTAGATAAGAACCAAGTAAATATTCAGTTCTGTAGAACCAGATCTAGAAGATCTCTAGATGCTTGAAAACACCAAATGTTCTTTGCTCAGAAGCTTCCTGCTGTGCTGCAACAAACGAACCAGGATCAGACGAGCCGGGTTGTCAGATTAGTGTCAGATCAGTCGGTCCACTAGCTGACCTTTGACATCCTCATCAGAGGAAGATGGATCAGGACTTTGGGAACCATTGGCTTCAGAACCTCTTCCACCCGAAAAGTCGGTTGTACCACAGATAGAAATGTTCTGCAACATGCCTGACCGCCCTGGCTCTCTATGGATCTCCTGATGGGTCTCTCCATGACAAGGTTTCCTTCTAGTCTGGAGGTTTTTCCAACCACCAGATTTGATTCGGTTCCTCTGCAGTAGGAGATCTCCCTTCTCCCCTAGAGTCAAATGTTATCCTCTTCTTGCAGGACCTCGCCTGTCTGGAGGTCACAACCTCCACGAGACGTCGTCTGTTCTCGTAGAAACCGTCACCAAGACATCAGCGATAGGCGGGCCCTTCGCTTCCTTCCCCAAGTTCTCTTCCGATGCTAGAAAAGTCATCTCCCGTGGTGCTGGCCTCTCCAAAGCCTTCATTGGCCAGAAGAACACATTCACAGTGGATTGCAGCAAAGCAGGTGAGCACCGAGACAAAGCAGATGATTTTCTGATGCTGCTGGATGTCTCTGATGGCATTCTGTTCTGCAGGTACCAACATGCTGATGGTCGGGGTCCACGGTCCGAAGACGCCCTGTGAGGAGGTCTACGTCAAGCACATGGGTAACAGGATGTACAATGTGACGTACACGGTGAAGGAACAAGGCAGCTTCATCCTCATTGTCAAGTGGGGGGATGAGAACATCCCAGGAAGTCCTTTCCATGTCATCGTCCCTTAGAGACTCTGCTACATCTCATCCTCCACCAGGCACTGAAAACTTTCCACTTCCTGGATTTTCTCATGTTTGTCCTCCTGCAGCAAATGTTAATCTTTTATATCAGCTTACCATATGCAATGTGACGCAATGTGGTGCCTTGTATCTTGACTGTTCCTCCTCTGGAGAACTCGACCTGAACTGCTTTAGCTGCTGACCAGACGATCCAGGATCTGAAACGTCTCGTCTTTGTTGACTGCAGCAGGACTCTTCCATCTCTGGTCCATCTTCCATCTCAGGTCCATCTCTGCCGGGCCGGCGCCCGACAGCGATGGAACTGATGTGTCTGATGAACATGCAGCCAACCAAAGCTCAGACCTGCTTCTACAGGAAACATCCTGCAGGTTCCGCCTGGTTCCTCCAAACGAAGCAAACTTGAGTATAACAATAAGTTTACTCTTGTTATTATACTCTGCAGAAGTCAGGATTCAGTTTGGAAGAAGGTCCAGCTCGGTCCAGATTGCGTCCATGCTGCAATTTGAACTGAAAGGTCTTGGCTTTAAGGTTGGAACTGGAGGAGGAACCGGCTCTGCAGCTTTCAGCAGCAGACGCTTGTTTATTCTGGATCTGTCTGGAGACTTCCAGATGTTTGGGTTCTGCTGATGCATCAAACTGTGCTGTGATTTTATTTATTCTCTCTTTGAAATGGTCTTACTGGTGAAGGTAGCCGGGTCTCACCTGTCACTCGGTTCCCTTTGAGTTTTAACACAGTACTGGAGTGACATTTTGTAGTTTTGTATGAGTGAAACCTTCATGGTGACATTGTGCAGGCATAATAAACTTCCTCTGCAACCTCTGTGTCAGTGCTGCTCTGCTCTTTCTGCTCCTTGCTGTTTCTCCTTCAGGAACTTCTTCCTTTCATTGACAGGACAAGAACGGTTATCTCCAAAGAAAACCTAAAATACAATTTTTCCTGCTCGCGCAATACTAGCGTATCTGATTTGTTAGTATTTACTAACAAAAACTAACAAATCAGCCATGTGCTGTTGTTCAGTTCCGGATTTTGGAGCTGTCTCTGGTCCGTTTTGCATTCACATTTGAACTGAACCAGAGTTGTTCTTGTGTAATCACACAAAATCCAACTGTTATCAACTCCAGTCATGTCATAATTAGTTCTGACCCGCAGGGGGCAGCAGAGATACAGCGAACTGTCTGCAGTCTGTTTAAGGACTAACCGACCCAGATGATTCAAAAAGAATCATTTAGTTTCTGCTTGGAGAGAATCAGAGACTCGCTGAACGATTCAGTTGGAGGAAGATCTGGATCATTTCCAGCTTCACTTCATTCACTGATAAAAAGAAAAACGGAAGAATGAGAATGACAACCGGAAATCTGACTAGAATCACTTGACTGGTATTTGGACGAGGTCAATAATGTTGGGGACATTAGAAATGTCCTCGCAGCGTTAAGGGACTCAGCAGGGAACCATATCCGTTCAGGTCCCCACAGACAGAAAAACAGGTGAATGTGTATTTGTTTAAGTGTGTGTGTGTGTGTGTGTGTGTGTGTGTGTGTGTGTGTGTGTGTGTGTGTGTGTGTGTGTGATTTTCCTGTTTTTGTAAGGCCCGGTTCGGTTCCGGTTCTTTAACTGAAGACATTTCTTCATCTTGAGGACAGTGTCCATCAGGGGGCCAAGCGGACCGGACCGGACCGGGCCGGGCCAGAGGCGGAAGGCCCGAACTAATCGGTCCACCTTAAATGTGCGCGTGTGGGCGTCACGTGACCGTGTTCCTGGAAAGTTCCTGGAAACCTGCGGTGTTGTTGTTTATGGAGCTCCGGACCGCCGCGCCGCTCCACTCGGAACCGGGACCTGGAACTCTGGGTTCGGTGGTTCTGCTGCTGGGAGCTGTGTGACGGACCACCCGGTTCTGATCCACCTTCAGCCCCTCGTGGGTCGGCTGCAACCGCCATTAGTGGTTCTAGAGCCGGAGCAGGTTCGGAAGCGTCCGGACCCAGTCTGCAGGTGTGGACCCGGTTCTGCTGGCATGACGGAGGATTGGCGGCGGAGGATCCGAAGCTGTTAGCGGGCGGCTGGATCGGAACCTCTCCGGCAGGTGGGTCCAGTTTGGCACCAGGTGGTACCAGGAGGGCGGTTCTCCAGGTGAGCAGAACCACGCAGGTAGAACAGGACCGTCCTGCAGAACTCCGTTTAAATTTCCTCTCATTTAAATGTAACTGGACGGTCCGAGGCTTCTGGGCGGAACCAGCACAGACAGCAGATGTTCCAGTTTGGGTTCGGTCCATTCTTCGATTCTGCTGTAAAACCGAACCGCCGCCAGGAGGAGGAACCATCCTCTGATGTTTCCCTTCCTGCTGCAGTTCTGGGCAACTTTGAGCAAAATTGACTTCCTTCAGGTTCCTTCACATATTTCAGTTTTTGAATCTGCAGGCAGGAGAATCAACTGGTTTCCACTGGGAACCAGTTTCCCTCCAGTTTATTTTCCCGGTCAGGACAAAGAGGAGAAAAACTCCATGCAGCTTCAGCTTTTCCACAGGAAACAAAGAGAACCGTTTCACCTTGCTGCTAACCAGTTAGCAGGTTGATGCTAACCAGTTAGCAGGTTGATGCTAACCAGTTAGCAGGTTGATGCTAACTGGGTTTACTGGGTTAACTTTGAAAGTTTAGCTTCACTTCCTGGAGGAAGCTGTCATGTTTTCCTGTTTTTAGGAGGATCCAGATCTTCTTCCTGTCTGGGGAGCTTCATGTTTATTTCAGGTCCAGGTCAAAGGTCACTGGGAGGGTTTGGGTTGATCCCAGGAAACCAGGAAGCCCTGACTGAGGCATAAAGCCCGGTCCAAATGGTTGTGTTTGGTTCTGATCCGGTCCTCAGGCCTCCTGCGCTGCTTGTTCCAGGTGTTTCTCTCCTGCCACAGCTGGACCGACCCAGACGAGGTCATGCAGTCATTTGGACCAGCCGTTCTGGAACAGAGGCTCATCTAAGACATGCAGAGTGGGACTGGAGCTGAGAAGCTCTGGGTTAGCGGGTCCAATTACATGTTAGAATCTGCTGATCTCATTTTCCTCTTAGGGTTCATGTGAGCAGGACTGGAGATCTGACCAAATTCATGTGTTCATCTGCAGCTTCTTGTGGATAAAAAAACCCAAACATGAAAAGTCTGAATCCAAAGCTAAAAGAAGGAGGCTTCCTGTTGGTGTTTGTTGGAAAAACTTCTCCAGACCAGTCGGGACCTGTAGGGATCCAGTCGGGATCTGTTGGGATCCGGTCAGGACCTGTTGGGATCCACTTGGGACCTGTTGGGATCCAGTCCGGACCTGTTGAGATCCAGTCGGGATCTGTTGGGATCCACTTGGGACCTGTTGGGATCCAGTCCGGACCTGTTGAGATCCAGTCGGGATCTGTTGGGATCCAGTCGGGCTCTGTTGGGATCCAGTTGGGACCTGTTGGGTTCCCGTTGGGCTCTGTTGGGATCCAGTTGGAATCTCTGCTGCAGGAAGTGTTGCCGCCTCACTCAGCAGGTGAGCTGCATCAGGTTGCAGGAATGTCGGATTCTCTAAAGGTTTCGTTCCCTCAATTTAGAAAACCAAAACTCAAGAAAATACCTGCCTTATTTACCGATAAGGCCTTTAACTAGGACTCTAAATCTAGAGATCAGTGGCTTCTTCCTCTCTGTGGGACTCTCACCAACCCTTTTTTTATTACATTTTTTTAGGACTTTAACCCAATTTTTCCTTTTAAATAACACCAATCTCTATTCCCCAGAGTGAAGGTTTATAGGATCCTTTCCTATTTTAGATGTTATCTTTTAGTTTGTGAGCCTGAGTGAGGTCCCACCTGATGATGCGGCGTTTGGAGGTCCAGTCGAGGGATCCGGGTCACGGCACCAATATGTTGTGGAAAAAAACTTGTCCCAAGCACTGTGAGGTGAAATCACTCAATCAGGTCTATTCATGTATTGGCTCAACACAAAGAGGACAATCAAGAATGAAGCAGGTCTGGAGGAAAAGCTGCCAGGCAGAGACAACACAGGAGTTTAGACCAAGGATCCAAAACAAGGCGAGAAGGTCTGGTTCTGATGCAGCTGCAGAAAACAACTTCCAACCTTCTACACCAAACCCAAATGGTTCTTTGGGTGAGAGTTCACCATGTTATATTTCATATGACATGATCAGCAGATGTTAACTTGTAGGAATTTTCCACCACAATAACAAACCAGATAAAGAGACTTTCTAGAAACGGAGCAAACAGATCCGTCCTGCAGATTCCCGGGATCCGGATTATTAGATCCAGAGTCTAATAATGCTAATAAGGGATATTATTTCTCTGTTCTGTTCCATATTTGTCGTCCCGCAGATTCACCAAACTAACTGTGCTGGGATCTGGTCCAGCACCAGATCAGAACCAGAACCAGGATCTGAACATTTTGGATCATGTGGTTCTGTAGAGTAGCTCCAGAACCAGAACTTTTCCAGATGTTTCTTGGTTCCTCCGTGTTTCAGTTGGTGGATCCAGATTTTTCCTGACTGATCCAGGATCAGTTTTCCAAAAAGATTGGATTCCATGACTGGAAGTGGAATTCAGGGAATCTGGAGTTTGTGGTTGCAGGATTCCCAGCAGCTGATCTGGAAATGAGCAAAACATTCATCTGGTTAAACGTGAATATTACATAGTTATTAATTATTAATGCAGAACCTGAAGACCAGCAACCAGTGGTACCAAACCAACCCGATGGTACCAAACCAACCCGATGGTACCAAACCGACCCGATGGTACCAAACTGAACCAATGGTACCAAACCAACCCGATGGTACCAAACTGAACCAATGGTACCAAACCAACCCGATGGTACCAAACCGACCCGATGGTACCAAACTGAACCAGTGGTACCAAACTGAACCAATGGTACCAAACCAACCCGATGGTACCAAACCGACCCGATGGTACCAAACCGACCCGATGGTACCAAACCGACCCGATGGTACCAAACTGAACCAATGGTACCAAACCAACCCGATGGTACCAAACCGACCCGATGGTACCAAACCGACCCGATGGTACCAAACTGAACCAATGGTACCAAACCGACCCGATGGTACCAAACCGACCCGATGGTACCAAACTGAACCAATGGTACCAAACCGACCCGATGGCACCAAACCGACCCGATGGTACCAAACCGACCCGATGGTACCAAACCGAACCAGTGGTACCAAACCGACCCGATGGTACCAAACCGAACCAGTGGTACCAAACCGACCCGATGGTACCAAACCGAACCAGTACCAAACCGACCCAATGGTACCAAACCGACCCGATGGTACCAAACCGAACCAATGGTACCAAACCGACCCGATGGTACCAAACCGAACCAGTGGTACCAAACCGAACCGATGGTACCAAACCGACCCGATGGTACCAAACCGAACCAGTGGTACCAAACTGAACCAGTGGTACCAAACTGAACCAGTGGTACCAAACCGAACCGATGGTACCAAACCGAACCGATAGTACCAAACCGACACGATGGTCGGTTTGGTACCAAACTGAACCAGTGGTACCAAACCGACCCGATGGTACCAAACTGAACCAGTGGTACCAAACCGAACCGATGGTACCAAACTGACCCGATGGTACCAAACCGACCCGATGGTACCAAACCGATCCGATGGTACCAAACCGACCCGATGGTACCAAACTGAACCAGTGGTACCAAACCGACCCGATGGTACCAAACCGAACCAATGGTACCAAACCGAACCGATGGTACCAAACTGACCCGATGGTACCAAACCGACCCGATGGTACCAAACTGAACCAGTGGTACCAAAACGAACCGATGGTACCAACCGACCCGATGGTACCAAACTGAGCCAGTGGTACCAAACCGAACCGATGGTACCAAACCGACCCAATGGTACCAAACCGAACCAGTGGTACCAAACCGACCCGATGGTACCAAACCGAACCAATGGTACCAAACCGACCCGATGGTACCAAACTGAACCAGTGGTACCAAACCGACCCGATGGTACCAAACCGACCCGATGGTACCAAACCGACCCGATGGTACCAAACTGAACCAGTGGTACCAAACCGACCCGATGGTACCAAACCGACCCGATGGTACCAAACTGAACCAGTGGTACCAAACCGACCCGATGGTACCAAACTGAACCAGTGGTACCAAACCGACCCGATGGTACCAAACCGAACCAGTGGTACCAAACCGACCCGATGGCACCAAACCGACCCGATGGTACCAAACTGACCCAATGGCATCAAACTGACCCAATGGTACCAAACCGACCCGATGGTACCAAACCAACCCGATGGTACCAAACCGAACCAGTGGTACCAAACCGACCCGATGGTACCCAACCGACCCGATGGTACCCAACCGACCCGATGGTACCAAACCCGATGGTACCAAACCGACCCGATGGTACCAAACCGACCCGATGGTACCAAACTGAACCAGTGGTACCAAACCGACCCGATGGTACCAAACTGAACCAGTGGTACCAAACCGACCCGATGGTACCAAACCGACCCGATGGCATCAAACTGACCCGATGGTACCAAACCGACCCAATGGCATCAAACTGACCCGATGGTACCAAACCGAACCAGTGGTACCAAACCGACCCGATGGTACCAAACCGACCCGATGGTACCAAACCGACCCGATGGCATCAAACTGACCCGATGGTACCAAACCGACCCAATGGCATCAAACTGACCCGATGGTACCAAACCGAACCAGTGGTACCAAACCGACCCGATGGTACCAAACCGAACCAATGGTACCAAACCGAACCACTGGTACCAAACCGACCCGATGGTACCAACCGAACCAATGGTACCTAACCGACCCGATAGTACCAAACTGAACCAGTGGTACCAAACCGACCCAATGGTACCAAACCGACCCGATGGTACCAAACCGAACCAATGGTACCAAACCGACCCGATGGTACCAAACTGAACCAGTGGTACCAAACCGAACCGATGGTACCAAACCGACCCGATGGTACCAAACCGAACCAGTGGTACCAAACTGAACCAGTGGTACCAACCGAACCAATGGTACCAAACCGACCCGATGGTACCAAACCGAACCAATGGTACCAAACCGACCCGATGGTACCAAACTGAACCAGTGGTACCAAACCGAACCGATGGTACCAAACCGACCCGATGGTACCAAACCGAACCAGTGGTACCAAACTGAACCAGTGGTACCAAACCGAACCGATGGTACCAAACCGACCCAATGGTACCAAACTGAACCAGTGGTACCAAACCGACCCGATAGTACCAAACCGACCCGATAGTACCAAACCGACCCGATGGTCGGTTTGGTACCAAACTGAACCAGTGGTACCAAACCGACCCGATGGTACCAAACCGAACCAATGGTACCAAACCGAATCAATGGTACCAAACCGACCCGATGGTACCAAACTGAACCAGTGGTACCAAACCGAACCGATGGTACCAAACTGACCCGATGGTACCAAACCGACCCGATGGTACCAAACTGAACCAGTGGTACCAAACCGAACCGATGGTACCAAACCGACCCGATGGTACCAAACCGACCCGATGGTACCAAACTGAACCAGTGGTACCAAACCGACCCGATGGTACCAAACCGAACCAATGGTACCAAACCGACCCGATGGTACCAAACTGAACCAGTGGTACCAAACTGAACCGATGGTACCAAACTGACCCGATGGTACCAAACCGACCCGATGGTACCAATCTGAACCAGCGGTACCAAACTGACCCGATGGTACCAAACCGACCCGATGGTACCAAACTGAACCAGTGGTACCAAAACGAACCGATGGTACCAAACCGACCCGATGGTACCAAACTGAACCAGTGGTACCAAACCGACCCGATGGTACCAAACCGAACCAGTGGTACCAAACCGACCCGATGGTACCAAACCGAACCAGTGGTACCAAACCGACCCGATGGTACCAAACCGAACCAATGGTACCAAACCGAACCGATGGTACCAAACTGACCCGATGGTACCAAACCGACCCGATGGTACCAAACTGAACCAGTGGTACCAAACCGAAATGATGGTACCAAACCGACCCGATGGTACCAAACTGAACCAGTGGTACCAAACCGAAATGATGGTACCAAACCGACCCGATGGTACCAAACCGACCAAATGGTACCAAACCGACCCGATGGTACCAAACCGACCCGATGGTACCAAACTGAACCAGTGGTACCAAACCGACCCGATGGTACCAAACCGACCCGATGGTACCAAACTGAACCAGTGGTACCAAACCGACCCGATGGTACCAAACTGAACCAGTGGTACCAAACCGACCCGATGGTACCAAACTGAACCAGTGGTACCAAACCGACCCGATGGCACCAAACCGACCCGATGGTACCAAACTGACCCAATGGCATCAAACTGACCCAATGGTACCAAACCGACCCGATGGCATCAAACTGACCCGATGGTACCAAACCAACCCGATGGTACCAAACCGAACCAGTGGTACCAAACCGACCCGATGGTACCAAACCGACCCGATGGTACCAAACCCGATGGTACCAAACCAACCCGATGGTACCAAACCGACCCGATGGTACCAAACTGAACCAGTGGTACCAAACCGACCCGATGGTACCAAACTGAACCAGTGGTACCAAACCGACCTGATGGTACCAAACCGACCCGATGGTACCAAACTGAACCAGTGGTACCAAACCGACCCGATGGTACCAAACCGACCCGATGGTACCAATGGTCACCTCGACAGGAAATGGAAGAAGCAGGAATTAAACCCACAATCTTCTGACTTGAAAACGTCTGCTAACCCTGCTGAGCTGCAGAGAGATACAAGGGCCAAAATTACATTTATAAATTTATTCATTAATTAAATGGCAGGAAATTAATATTGAATTAAATGTGGGCGGGGCTACGGCTGACCTGTCGAACTCTAACCTGGTGGCTCGTGGAAAGTTTTGGAAGCGACTCAGATGAAACATTAAGAACAGAATTAATCAGGAACATGCATGAATGTAATAAATGGGTCAAAGTTCTGGTTCTGTTCAGATGTCCCGGCTGCGGCCCAGAAAAAAGACATTTTTAATCCGAGTGTTCCCAGAGTCCTGATCGTCAAAACCATCTGTTTCTGTCTTCTGCAGCCGCTCACATCCCACCAACCTTTCCAGGTTTTCCGAGTTGCAGGCTGAAGGTTGGATCTGTCCGATGACCTGCCAGTCCTCCGAATCCCAGGAAGCCATTGAGGACGCCAGAGGAGCCGACGACGGCGCCGGGACCGAGGAGTCGGACGAGAGCCGCGTGGCCTCGGCCATGAAGGAGCTCAGGAAGACAGGTGGGAGGAGGAGCGGGAATGTTTCTGAATAAACTCCAGAAATAAACTCATTTTTTGAATGTTTTTGTAGTTTAGCGTTAGCTTCTTCTGTAGTGGACATTTTGAATAATGTCCACCAGAGAAGAAGAAAATATTAAAAATTGATTTTTATAGTTTGAAGTACACTGGCTACAACTGGACATGTTGGTCTTGTTGTTGATTTCAGTGCAATTCCTGCTGGTTCTGACCCTGTTTGGGTCCAAAAAGGTTCTGTGGTGGTGGTGGTGCTGCTGACCCAGACTGAGCGTCGGTGCCGGTCCAGGCGCTTCTGAAGCCGCTGACTGTCCGTGTCGTGGTTTTAATGAATTGGAGATGCTAAATGCTCTGGTGGTTCTGATTGGGCCAGGTTGGTACTGGGGCGGCCTGACGGCCAACGAGGCCAAAGAGATCCTGCAGGACTCGTCGGAGGGCAGCTTCCTGCTGCGGGACAGCTCCCAGAGGGACTTCCTGTTCACCATCTCCGCCATGACGTCCGCCGGCCCCACCAATCTGCGCATCGAGTTCCGGCACGGGAAGTTCAAACTGGACTCTGTGGTTCTGGTGAAGCCCAAGCTGAAGCAGTTCGACAGCGTGGTCCACCTGGTGGAGCACTACGTCCAGCTGTCCCGGACCGGCGGCCGGGCCTCGCCGGCGCCGCCGGGCCCCAACGGCACCGTGCAGCTGCTCCTCACCAGGCCCGTGTACGCCGCCGTCCCGTCGCTGCAGCACCTGTGTCGGATCGGCATCAACCGGTCGGCCCGGCGGGTCCAGGACTTGCCCATCCCCAACCGACTGAAGGACTACCTGACAGACTACGCCTACGGCGTCTAGAGGTCGCCCATCTGAGTCCGGCGGCGTCCGGACCGGCCGTGTGTCTCCGCACGGAGCCGCCGCGGTTCCTTCTCTCTTCTCCATGGTAACGGGAAGCAGAGTTGTTCTAGAACCAGAACCTGAACAGATGGACCGACGGATCGGTCGTTTCAACTGAAACCCAAAGAGAAGCGGGTTGGAGACCGGCCAGAACCGGCCGGAACCGCCTGCTCAGGTTGGTGAGAATATTTATTGCTGTTCCTCTGATGGAGAAACGTTCCTGATCGGTACCAGGCCCGGTTCTGATGGAGCCCAGAGTATCGTCTCTGTCTCCTACTGAACCGGGTCTCAGCAGAACCAAACAGCTGCTTTGGTTCTGCTCACAACGTGATTTCCTGTGAAAATGTTTCTGGAAGCTGATTGGTTGCAGCTCTGATCACTTCCTGTTTCCCAGAATTCCTTCAGTACGGCTCAGGATCACACCAGAACCAGAACCAGAACCAGATTGAAAAATATTCTCAGACTTTAAGAGGTTATTTTTCATGTATGTTACCATGGTAACTAGTTCATCTAATTTTCAATTTCTTTTGTTTTTTTTTCATCAAATTTCCGTTTGCAGACATTAAAATTAGTGAGAATATTTTTCATACTGTCTTTATATTTACTGGTTGAAACTCACAGGATTTCTGAACCAGAGTCGGTTCTGTTCGGTTCTGTTCGGTCCGGTTCTGATCAAATCTGAAGCAGAACATTAAAGTGAGGGAAGCAGGAAGCGTGTGGCTATTTTTTCTGAAGCCGGTTCTGTTGGATCTCTGGAAACTTGCTGAACTCCGTCCAGAACCCAGTGGCCCGGTAAACAGCAGGGACGGAGCGATCCGATTGGCTGACGGCCGGCTGTGACGCCGTTTGGCTCTCATTGACGTAAACAGTCGTGTCGATGGTGACGAGCGGCGGAGAGGTTGCTTTGACCCCTTCAGGCTTCGGTAGACTTTGAACCTGTAGTACTGTGGAGCTGTGAGCCAATCAGATTACAGGAAAACATCAAGCATTGAGCTGTTGTCTGTTCCTACTTGACCTCTGACCTGCTGGTGAATTTTACACCCTGATTTCTACAGAAACAGTTGAATTTGAGTTTCATCTGAAGGCAGCAGAGAAAAACTCTCATGTTTGGAAAAGATTCAAAACATGAGTCGGCTAAATTATTGAGCTTTCAGAAAGTTATTAGAAGTCGGTGATAAATAATTTGTCATAGTTTGATAAACGTGGAGCGTCACGAAGGGCTGGAGATCAAAACGGTTCAGGTTTTTTCCATCAGAAGTTTTCAACTAAAAAAAGATGAAGATGAAGTTGGAATGACTTCCTGTCGCTTGCTATCAGGGTTTTATTTTTCTTGGATTGTTCATTTTTAAAGATTATAAATGATTGACTGAATGGCGGTGAGCTCCTTATAAAATAATCTGTGCTTTTAAAAACTCAACGATTTGCTGACGCCATTCCTGGAGAAGAGAAGGAGCCCGGATCCAGCCCTGAGGAACACCACGGATAATCGCTGCCAGGAATTAAACCATAAAACATCCTGGACCTGATTTGAGATCCGAGCCGGTCCAGAGCTCTGGGCTCAAGATTCAGTTTGCTCCAGATCAGGATGATTGTCATGGTGACGCAGCTAAATCCACTCTGTTCAGGAATATTTATTAAATATTATCTCTGTCCCACGATCGAATGATCAAACAGATGAAATATTAAAAGCCCAGAGCCTGGGATGGATTAGAATGATTTGAAGTCTGATAAACGACCAACAGACTTTCAGACAAAAGTTCACTTGTTCAGTAAAAAAACAAAAAGTTATTTACAATAAAGTTTAATTAAACCAAAGAGCAGAGGGACGTTTTGATTTTGAATATCAGTTTGTTTTTAATAAAGAGTGTGCTGGTCTTTCCTGATTGGCCCCCACCTGTCTTTAAGCTCCTCCCACCTCCTGGATGAAATTGGATAAAAGCGAGTCTCTGGAAACCAGGTGACATTTTCAGGATTTTACAGTTAAATTTAAATGTCTGCTTAAGATTTTTTCTTCAGATAAATATAAAATCTACTTTTTTTTATTAAGTTAATTAAAAATGTATTTCAAGTCCTAAATAGAAACGTTCATCTATCCTGAAGAATGAGGTTCTGATGTGTTACTGATTCATCTGGAGCTGCAGCGCCGCCTGCTGGAAGTTCAACTTTTACATGTTTGACTATCAGCTTCTCTTCACCTGTTTAATAAGCAGCTGTTATTAGCTATAAATAGGAAAATAGAAAAACTGTTTTAATCTTAAATACCATCTTATTTACATTATTAAATATATTTAATCCTTTATTCCTATGTACGCCCTAGCTGAACTTTTAGCACATTTCAATAGTTTAAGTAGATTAAATATTCAAACAATTTATGTAGTTTTTACCTCCAAAAAGTCTTCATTTGAAAATTCAACTTTATGAGTTTATTTACTAAAATGATCCCTCCGCAGAAAGTAGTCCGTCTACTATTTACATACCTCATGTAAATAGTTTCTGTGTTGAATGTAAGCCGATTTAGTCAATCCATACTATTCTACATTAATTTATTATCAAACAATAAATTACAAACTTTTTTTTTCTAATCAAATTGGTATTTATTTGAACAGCCATTTTTCTATGGCTAAACTTTGGTTCCGCTTTCTTGTTTCCAATCGAGCATAATATGCCAGACGGACCTGTTAGCAGCGGGTACCGGGAGACTAGTTTTGGTTCTGAATGAACTGGTCAGTCGGTTCGGGTTAGTGACCCGGTCCAACAGGTTCGGATGGAGCCGGAGCACAGGGCGGTGCTGCGGAAGTTCCGGGTGCAGCTGTCCGACCAGCTGCTGGCCAGCGACACCATCGTTCCGTTCCTGTACCAGGAGGGAGTTCTGACGGAGGCCCAGGTGCAGCAGGTGGAGGCTCAGCTGACCAATCGGCAGAAGAACCTCAAACTGCTGGACCTGCTTCCGAACCGCGGCCCGCGGGCCTTCGGCGCCTTCCTGGAGGCTCTGCAGGACTTCAGCTGGATCCGGGACCGGCTGCTGCTGGAGCTGCAGAACTCAGCCGGAACCGGGCCGAACTCAGCCGGAACCGGGCCGAACTCAGCTGGAACCGGGCCGAACTCAGCCGGAACCGGGCCTTCAGGTGAAAGTTGATGTGATGAACCAACGAGAGGCTGTTGTTGTTTCCAGGTTCTGCACCTGGTCCAATGTTCTGACTATCTGAGCTACCCCGTCAGATTTTCCTACCGCAGCACGGATAGATAGCGAGGTCTATCAGTCGGTGCTACCCGTCTGAAACTGCTCCCATCATGTTTACAAAACAAACTACAGCGGCTTGTTAATGATCAATATATTGATAACGTTATTTGAGTGACTGAAGTGGAAGCTTAGCAGTTATGCTTACTGGAATATCTTCCTGTTAATATTTAAATAGAGGCTTTTGTAAGAATGAAACAATATCAGACAGGAAAACAGGTTTTATTGGAATCAAATCAAACCCAGACAGCAGATCACTTTATGTGCATTAATACTTTATATGTCTGTTATCAGCAGCAGCCACAACGTGTCACTGCAATGATGGGATATGATTAATATGCACTAATATTACAGGCTGTTGCAGCTTCAATCCCACATCTATTTAGAAAATTTTAATCATAAAAAAAGTGTAATTAAACTAAAAATGTTAAAATATAGGGACAAAAACAATGTATCTAGAAGTTTGACAGTATCGACTCTGCAGTCGGAAAACTGAAGCCATTTATGAATATATTTATAATCTGCCTGTCATGTAAAGTAAAACATGAAGTAATACAGCAGATAATGAAGCCTGATATAAAATAAATAAAGCTTATCGTAATAAAACTCATGAAACAAAACTTTCAGAAGTAGAACGTATTTAGAAGAAATCTGCTGAGTCAGTAGAATGTGACATCACCACCAGGTAGGACGGGTTGATGGGTAGCACAGATAAACAGGACCCCTGTTCTGCCCTGAGCTTCGTTGACTTTATAATATCAAGATCAACATTTTGAAATAATCAATCATCTAAAATCAAAACAAATGTCATGATTTTGATCAGTTTATGGTTCTGATCAGACAGACGATGAGGTTATTAATACATTTACTTTAATAACCTCAATTTGATTAATTGTGACAAATGAACTATTTTGTAATTATTATTAAATGGAACATGAAAACTTGACCAATTGCTTGTTTTCTAACTGACGTGTTTGTGACGTAAAGCTCTGTAACAAACTGGACTGGGCTCCATGTTTCCCAGGCGGCGCTGCGGTTCCGGTCCGTTACCATGACGACCCCTCCCGGATCCCGGTCTCGGTTCTGCAGAGAGTTCCTTCGGACCGGGAGCTGTCCAGGCTGGCGCAGAGACTCGGTGCCGAGTGGGAGGCGGTTCTATTGGACCTGGGCGTGTCTGCCGAAGCGCTGTATCGGTGCCGGTCCGACCACAGCCTGAACCACTGGGGGGCGGTTCTGGACGGCCTGGTTCTGTGGAGGCGGGCCGGCGGAAGGCGGGCCACGCTGGGGCGGCTTCTGCGCAGCCTGGAGGCCGCGGACCTCCACCCGTCGGTCCTGGAGGAGGCCCTGTTGGGATGAGACTGGACCGGGTTCCGCTGGCCCGAACCGGGCCGGTCCAGAACTCATAGATGAGCGTGCTGCCCAGAAACTGACTGAATAATGAAACCATAGTCAGAAGCTTTTGATTCTGGAACCAGGAAAAGAACCGGTTCCGTTTCATCTGGAGTCCAAAAGCAGATAAAAAACAAACACTTAAAGTTTAATATCAACAAAACATTATTTTTATCCTCAAAATTGCATTTATTATTTCAGTCATAAATTAACCAGATGTAGAAGATCCCTGCTGAAGAGTTCTGGATCCACAGAACCGAGCTGCACCAGAACCACCAGGACATTTTTCCCAATTCGTTCCTGGAAGTCGACCCAGAATGGAAACCCGCTGGACTCCTTCACGGAACCGGAACTCTGTGACTAAAAACAGAGCAGCACCTGGACCGGAAGTTTCTGCGGGATTTAAGGTGGACTGGCGGTCCGGCCGAACCTTCCGGTTCTGATCGGCCCGAAGAAAAAGGCTGAAAACTTAATTTAAATCTGAATTTTCTGTAAATAATAAACATTTATTATTAAAACATCAGTTTGTGTGAATCAGAAAAATGAAATTATTTTTTAGAAAATAAAACAAACGTCAGTTTTAATGTAAACATTTCAATGTTTATATTACTAGACATAAATAATCTACAACAAAATGTTTCTGGAAGATTTTGCAGAAAATCTTGAGAACTGGATGATTCTGACCTGCTGATCCCGCTGCCTCAGCAGGTTCGGTTCGGCCCGGTTCGGTTGATGATGCGCAGTTAGTGGTGCGCAGAGCGAATCCGTCTGGTGCGGCAGAAACAGTGAAAAATACAGTTCAGAAGCAAACAGTAACTTTAATAAAACATTTTTTAATTCGCGGCTAAAACTGAAATCAAATAAATTAATTGAAGGAAAGAATCAATCAGGAAGAGGATCCATTAGAGGTTCTGGTTCTGGTCCTACTGGGTCAAACATTTGCTGGATCAGAAGGAACAACGTGGCTCTGATCTGCCAGAAAAAACCCAACAGGTTCTGGACTGGTTCTGGACTGGGAACAGTGTGGTGATCTCACCAGTAGGGGGCGGTGCAGTGACCGCTTCAATCTTATTTTCATGACGCTTTGAAAAACTGGAGCAGGAAAGATTGAAACATTGAAAGCGGATCGGTTCTCTACCGTCTCTCGTCCTTCTTGGACCGGCAGGCTGCCGTAGCTGCGGTCAGCTCAGCTGGCTGGGCCGATGATTCTTCACTTTCTCATGTGTTTGTGATTCTGATGTCTGAGTGGGACTCCTCCGCCCCCTGCCGGTGAGTCCAGGCCCTGCAGCGGCTTCACTCCGCCGCTTCGTGTCCAGGTGGGTCAGTCTCTGTCCCTAAAAACACCGTCAGCTGGCTGGGCTCCGGAAGCTTCTGATTGGTTGGCGCTCCTTCTTTGTGTGACGTCATGGGTTAGGTGACATCCGGCGGGTGAGGTTCTGAGTAGTGATGGGCAGATGAGGCCCCATTGGGTGTATGGCACATTTCCCAAACTGTGTTGACACTGTATCACTCAATGGCGACATCTGCTGGATTTAAAAAGTAATTGCAGCCAACTTCAATAAAGACTGGAAACAGACTGAACAAGGTTCATTCACACATTTTTATTTCGAAACATCAGCTGCGTTAACATCTTTGGGCCAAGGCGATTGGTTGCCAATTGGAAAACAAAAACTGTTTACAAATCAGCCGAGATGAATGCTGAAGTTTCTTCCTTCTGACGTATTTCTATCTTGAAAAATTGAAAGCGCAATTAGATCATACATCAATTCATCCAGAGGTCTGGAATCAGACGATGTTCCTCATGCAGACATTCCCATGTCCTTTTTATGAAACTTGAATATAATGACATAATATATTCACTTTAAAGCATTTTCATTTTGCCGAAAGCTTTAGGGAATTTTCTCTTGCGCACAAAGAGCTGCTGCTTTTGCTAGTCCATATTGTCTGTATGGATTTTCCTTCTTGACCTCAAACCGGTTTAAAAAAGTTGCAGTAAAGCGTAATATAGTAAGAGGTTCAAGAATGGACAATTTGAACCTTTTTGGTATTAAAAATGATTTTTTTTAGGACGACATTTAGTGCAATTTTATAAAACAACGTGATGTTGTATACATTTAACCTACAATAGAAATAAAAGTTAATCCATGTAACTAATGAAAGTATTCTTCAGAAAGAAATTGAATAATCCGACAGAAGAATGATAAATCGAATGATCAATGAAACGAGAACGGAATAATTGACCTTATTCTCCGTGATAAGATCAAAATGATCCCACGGGAGAAAAACTTCCTGGTTGATCCAGTTTTCATTGACGAGCCAAACACCAAACATTGAGCTAACAAGCTAAGTATTTAGTGAGCCAGCTAGCGAGTAACTAAAGACATGGATTGGTAGATAAATATTTGGTTAGCAAAGTTTATTTTCCAGACTAGAATTTATGTTCCAGACAATATTTTTTTCCGAACTAAATTGCTAACCAAACAGTTAGCTAACAAGTGGAATGTTTTGTTAGCAGGCTAATGCTAAATAGGGTCGGTCACTATCGATAACAAATAGCTTCCAAACTAAATATTTAGCTTTCAAGCTAAATGTTAAGCATTTAGTTTGAAGCGGTGACATTTGTAAATTACTGATGGACTTTTTTCCTGCTGTGTCAGACTCAATAAAAATCCATTATTTGTGTTAATCTGCAGCAAACGGCTCCTGATGTGCAGAACGTTCTAAAGTGTGAGAACCTCGGTTCTCTCAGCATTGTGCAGTCGAGTTGGTTCCGAGCCAGAAACTGGGTCAGAACATGTTTCCCTGTCAGTGGTTCGTGTGTCTGATGAAGAGGAGGAGGAGCGCGTCTCCGTGCAGCCTCCGGATCTCCGCGCAGCGCAGCGCAGGGCGGGGCGACGCCGCGCAGCAGCAGCTTCATCCCGGCTGACCGACTCCAACCTCCTGCTCGTCTCCGGGCCGCGACATGGACCCCGCAGCCCGGCCCGCTTCCCCTGGCTCTCAGTAGGTCCGGTTCGGATGAGGATGCGCAGTTAGAAGCGCGCAGCGGAAATCTCCCGCAGATCGAATCTGTGCAAAGCGTCGCGGAGCGTCGGCCGCTGCGGCAGAAACAGCGCCATTGTTTGGATGCGCAGAGGAGCGGGAGGCTCCAGGCCGGGCTGAGAGCGCTCAGAGCCGGCAGCCAGCATGCTGCCCCCGCCGCTGCTCGCCGTCCTGCTGCTCGGCTCGGTCCAGGTGGGTCAGGCCCCGAACGGACCGCGCGGTTCGGGGGCTTTGTTCAGAACCGGCCTCATTGGAGGCGACGGGGCTGAATGAAACGTGCGTTTTGAGCGCGTGCGTGTGTCTGCGTGAGGTGAGGGGGGGAGGGGGGGGATGGTCCCGGACGGGCAGCAAGCAGCTCGTTGTCCCGCAGAAAGTGGGTCAGTCGGCTGCAGCCTGACTGAGGAGGGATGTCTGTCAGCATCACTGAGGCTCTCTCACACACACACACAGAAACACAGACACACACAAAGACACACACACACAGAAACACAAAGAGACACACACAAAGACACACACACACAGAAACACAAAGACACACACACACAGAAACACAAAGACACACACACACAGAAACACAAAGACACACACACACAGAAACACAAAGACACACACACACAGAAACACAAAGACACACACACAGCCTCTCTGTTCCGGCTCCAGATTCTTCTGCTGTTGGTTGATGGTGAGACTGGAACTGGTTCTGGTTCTGATGGTAATCTGCAGACGTACCCCAGGCTCTCTATCCGATGGTCCGGTTTCATATTTCCGGTTCTGTAACAGAATCGTTGGGTCGGTTGGCTGACCCATCGGACCTCTTCCAGAACCGAACCCGTCTGGACTTCCTGTAGCTCAGCTGGAGTCTGGATCTGGTTTTTTTCGGGTCAGACCCGGTTTGGTTCTGAGTGATACACCTGAGGACGGTTCGGTTGTAGTAATGGCTGATCCGGCTCTTTGCTCAGGGTGTCAGAGTGCTGGGGGCGTGGAGGAGAACCGACCCGAAATGACCGGGTCCGCTTCAGGCCTGTAGGCCAGTGGAGTCCAAACTGTTTCAATGAGGCGATTATGGTTTTCATAAATTCAAATCGATAAAAGAAAGTTTGATTATTTTGGTCTCGATTGGAGAAAACCGGATCAATGTTTATTGAATAAACTTCCTGTTGGTTCTGGTCCGTTTCTCTGATCCTGGAGTCTAAACCAATCCGATCTGTCCAGCAGGGGGCGCAGGCCTGGTTCTGCTGCGGTTCTGGACCTTCAGGAGGGTCTCTGGAGCAAAACCAACCCAAATCCGGACGGGTCCACGTGGTTCTGTTCTTGGGGTCAGCCTGGTTCTGCTCCTCTGAACCAGGCTGCTGAGATGCTCACGGATTGGGTCAGAATTGGGTCAGAACCAGGTTAATCAGAGTATATTCAGACTACTGCCAGGAAACGGATCTCCCTGGTTCTGAATGGTGGCGGGTCTCAGAACCGGGTCAGAGGAAACCATCTGGGTTCTGTTGCATCCCATCAATTGGACCTTTGCTGGAGAAGGAAGGAGAACTCCAGCTGGTGGTTCTGGTTCTGAAAGCTTCATGCAGTCACATGAAGTCGGGTCCGGTGGGTCCGTTTGCACCTCCTGTCCTCCTGGTACCAAGTTTTTTCTCCCCCATCGTGTTTACATCACAATGTTGGCAGCTGGTGGGAGGGGCTGACCTTTGACCCCTCCAGTCAGACCAATGGCTGTGACCAATCAGAGAGCAGAACTGTTCTCCACTTTCTGTTCAAAGGATGGACCAACAGAACCAGTTCTGTACCGGTTCTGTTGGACCCGATCAGCTTTCAGCTCCGACTGTGTTGCCATGGTGACCCTGGGACCAGACATAATGACCCCCCTGTTGCCATGGCAACGGCCAGCAGTTCTGAACAGGCACGTTTCCTGCAGACCAGAACCGGAACCGGATCAGAACCCGGTTCTTTCAGGCCGGAGGCAGCAATCAGACATTGTTCAGGGAAACCAGCTGCGGTTCTGCTGGGTCACATGCTGGTCCCAGTAAGACCAGTAAAACCCAGAGAGATCCAGGAAACCAGGTCAGAACCTGCAGAAATGTTTCATCACTTTTGTTAGAAGCAACTCTGGTCCAGTTCGTTATCTGAGGGTCCGGGTCTGGACGGTTTCAGCAGAACTGTTCAATGATGAGATCTGAAACCAACAGTAGAACTGTCCGGTTTTCAGTTTGGGAATGAAAACGATCAGGAATCTGTTCAGACTGAAGAATCTGTTCAGACAGAAGAATCTGTTCAGACAGAAGAATCTGTTCAGACTGAAGAATCTGTTGAGACAGAAGAATCTGTTCAGACAGAAGAATCTGTTCAGACTGAAGAATCTGTTCAGACTGAAGAATCTGTTCAGACAGAAGAATCTGTTCAGACTGAAGAATCTGTTCAGACTGAAGAATCTGTTCAGACTGAAGAATCTGTTCAGACTGAAGAATCTGTTCAGACTGAAGAATCTGTTGAGACAGAAGAATCTGTTCAGACAGAAGAATCTGTTCAGACTGAAGAATCTGTTCAGACAGAAGAATCTGTTCAGACAGAAGAATCTGTTCAGACAGAAGAATCTGTTCAGACTGAAGAATCTGTTCAGACAGAAGAATCTGTTCAGACAGAAGAATCTGTTCAGACAGAAGAATCTGTTCAGACTGAAGAATCTGTTCAGACGGAAGAATCTGTTCAGACAGAAGAATCTGTTCAGACAGAAGAATCTGTTCAGACTGAAGAATCTGTTCAGACAGAAGAATCTGTTCAGACTGAAGAATCTGTTCAGACTGAAGAATCTGTTCAGACAGAAGAATCTGTTCAGACTGAAGAATCTGTTCAGACTGAAGAATCTGTTCAGACTGAAGAATCTGTTCAGACAGAAGAATCTGTTCAGACAGAAGAATCTGTTCAGACTGAAGAATCTGTTCAGACAGAAGAATCTGTTCAGACTGAAGAATCTGTTCAGACTGAAGAATCTGTTCAGACTGAAGAATCTGTTCAGACAGAAGAATCTGTTCAGACAGAAGAATCTGTTCAGACAGAAGAATCTGTTCAGACTGAAGAATCTGTTCAGACAGAAGAATCTGTTCAGATGACTGGGTGTTGGGTGGAACCGGTCGGACCGGATCCCAGCTGCGGTTCTACTGCTGGTCTGTGAATGTCGCCGTGTTTTTATATCCGGAGGGTTCGTCTCGGTGGGAGCAACAATCCGGATCCTGATGGGACATTGAATGAACCTGAAGGTCGGGCTCAGAGGCAATCGGACCCACCGGACCGGGAGAGACGACCGACCCGACCCACCGGACCGGGGTTTCTGATTCGTCTTCTCATCCAACTGATGGTCTGAAACATAGCAGATTGTTTGATGTTGACACAAAACTCGTTTAAATTTTCACTGAGTTTTTATAGCGGGTCAAAAGTTAAAGTGGTTAAAAAGTCAGGCACTTGTTCAATGAATCAAATGTTTGAGGAACCAGTTCCAGAAAGGAATCAGTTCAGACACAGAAAACGCCAGTCAAAGAATTGTTGGGTGAAACCAGGAAAGTGATTCGGCCATTTTAAACCATCACAGGAAGGAAAACTGGACAACAAGAACCGGATCAGAAGTTTTTGGTGACGGCGTTTCACCTTCTGAGTGGAGTTCCTCAGGGCTCGCTCCTGGTTACTGTTGTTTTGTGCTCCAGAGAGGCTGATGGATCGTGAGGTTCTATCGTTTTTCTGCCTTCCTGTTTGAACCTGGTTGAACTTCCTGTCAGTTGATGACACGCGGCTGTGTTTTCCAGGTTTCCTCTGCGTTTCAGGTGTCCACCAATCAGGAGGGACTGATTGTGGCGGCGCTGGAGCGTGGCGACCTTCAGGACAACGTCACAGCGTACGCGGTGCAGATCTCAGGAGAACCTCGGCTGGTTCTGGTTCCATTCATCAATACCAGAGAGCCGCTGCTGTTCAACGCGTCGTTCCACGGCCTCTGCTACACGGTGGGGCTACTGGTCAAACTGGGACAGAGCTGGTCCCGACCCATGAAGAGCGTTCCTGTTCTCACAAGTAAGGAGCATTATAGCTGCTCCTGCTTATGAAATATGACCAGACCTTCAAATATTATCACTGTGTATTGCTAGAAGTGGAGCGGAAAAGACTTTCATCTGGAATTTTTATTTTCTTTATTTAAAATTTGTTTGAATTCCTCAGAAAACAGTTCATGATTCCATCTTCTTGTTTCCTCAGAGCCACTTCCTGTCCGTGCAGCGTACATCTCAGACTACAGAGAGGCTCCAGAAACGGGCGTTGTGTTCGACATTGACCCACCGATCAGAACCGTGTTCAGCCGGGTCAACATCAGCTACACAGAGGGCCTGGAGCGCCGCTCCATGCTCTATAAAGGTGAGGAAAACTGAAACCTGATGAAACGCCGTCTGCTTGGAAACATCAACACCAGGCTGTAGTTCCTCGCCTGACCTGATGGTGTCAGTGCAATCCCAGCCAATAAGATGACATGTTAGAGTCCAACAGTCACCTCTGAGGAACTGCAGACATAAACTCAGACGGCGATGTTTCCTAGATTCCCAGTTCTTCATCATCCACTTGGTAGGAACATTTTCCCACCGACTGGATGATCCCAGTTTCCCCTCCAGATTATTCCTGATTCCAGAAGAATTTCTCCAGGTCGTCTCTTCTGTTCGTCTCCAGATTTCTACAAAGGGAAGACGGTGTTCAAGCACTGGCTGCCGGGCGTGTGCTACCGGAACATCACCTTCCAGCTCATCTCCGAGGCGACGGCGCTGCAGACGGCGCTGACCAGCCACAGCGACGTCACACACAGCCCGCTGCACCACCGCACAGGTGAGCAACACAGAGTAGATACACCTGGAAAACACCTGGAAAACACCTGGAGAACACCTGGAAAACACCTGGAGAACACCTGGAAAACACCTGGAGAACACCTGGAAAACACCTGGAGAACACCTGGAAAACACCTGGAGAACACCTGGAAAACACCTGGAGAACACCTGGAGAACACCTGGAAAACACCTGGAGAACACCTGGAGAACACCTGGAAAACACCTGGAGAACACCTGGAAAACACCTGGAGAACACCTGGAAAACACCTGGAGAACACCTGGAGAACACCTGGAAAACACCTGGAGAACACCTGGAAAACACCTGGAGAACACCTGGAGAACACCTGGAGAACACCTGGAAAACATAGATATACCTGAACCCAGACCAGAAACTACATGAGGATCCCCTGAGGAAGTCTGGTCCCAGTCCTGGTTCTGATCTGGTTCTGATCTGGTTCTGATCTGGTTCTGATCTGGTTCTGATCTGGTCCTGGTTGCTGTGATGTAATGCTGTTTCCTACTGTTGAACAAAGATCCTGATGAGAGGTGAGATGCTTTACTCCTGCAGGCGGATGCAGCTCTGAAAGAAACTTTCAGATGAAACAACTGAAGATTTAAGAGGTCAGTGATTGCACTGTCCAGACCGCCAGGCTGTTTCCAGGCTGTGTCCAGACCGCCAGGCTGTTTCCAGGCTGTGTCCAGACCGCCAGGCTGTTTCCAGGCTGTGTCCAGACCGCCAGGCTGTTTCCAGGCTGTGTCCAGACTGCCAGGCTGTTTCCAGGCTGTTTCTAAACAGTTTATCAGAGTCCACCTGTGCTTCCAGACAGTTGAAGTCCTGTTGCTCTGTGATGATGATGATGATGATGATGATGATGATGATGATGATGTCAATAGATCCTCAGATCTCCTGTCCCCCCCAGTGCCCTTCCCGCCCCTCAACGTCTCCCACAGGGTGCTGTCTCTGAGCCGCCGGGCCGCAGCGGGGGGCCATGAGGTGGTGGCCGGACGGCGAACGGTCCGCCGGGTGCGGGACGTCCCGCTGATGCAGGGGGCGGCGACGCAGCCTGAGGAGGACGTCGTCTTCGAAGAGGAGGAAGCGACTCCTCGGGTTTCCTTCAACGGTACGCAGAACGTGACGGAGAGCGCTGCCGTTAACAATGGCAGCCGCGCAGAGGAGGCGGAGCTTCAGAGCTACTGGCTGGACCCCACGGAGATCTCCCCCGCCGACAGAGACGAGGAATTCATCAACGCCGTGGTGTCGGAGTACGAGGACTCCAACGAGCCGGGGTCGGCCATGGCCGGGCCCGCCGAGGTTCCGGTTCTGCCCACCAGGCTTCCCCCCGTCCTGCTGGAGCTGCGCTGGCTGCCCCCACGACCTCCGACCTCCTACGACGGCTTCAACGTCTACATCTACAGAGAAGGTGAGCAGCAGCAGGGTCCGCTAACAAGGTGGACCGGTCCGTCTCCTGAGCGACGGGTTCTCTGACCGGCCCGCCATGTGAGACCTGTGATGGACCAGTTGTTCCAGTTTCTCTGACCTACTGGTCTGGTCTCCAGGGAACTCCACAGAGATGGCGACTGTGGACGAGAACACGCACGAGTTCTTTACGGAGCTGACAGAGCCGGGAACGTACCGAGTCCAGGTCACCACACTGAGTTCGTCTGGGAGACTGTGAGGCCCGGGAGAGCAGCGCCGACACCGGCTTCACCTTCTACCTCAGTGAGTCTCCGGAGAACCGGCAGGTCCGGAAACCACCCAGAAACAATATGGCTGCTGAAACCTTTTTGTTTAATTTTCACAACTTTCAGCAGACGTGTGGACTCAGCGATCCTCCTGGATCGCCATTGATTTGTTCAGGGTGTTAAAAGTTCTGTTTGGATCCAGTGTGGTTCTGGTCTTGATGGGTCCATGTGAATTCATCCAGGTCCCAGCGGCGAGCTGTTGGAGGAGCTGCGTGAGCGTCCTCAGGGCGTCAGCGTCAGGCTGCTGGACCCCAGCACCGCCGCCGTTTCCTGGGCTCCGTCCGCTCAGAGCCACAACGGCAGCCTGGTGTCGGTGGTGTCCACCACCTGCCTGAAGCCCAGCCTGAGCCAGAGGATGGAGAACAGCTACTGCAGCGAGGTACCGCCGGCCCAAACCCACTCACAGAACCGCCTCGTCCGGTTGCCCGTATCTCCTGAAGCCCGTTGGCCTCACAGTTACTGGACTTTTCTGTTTTCACAGGAGAACTCGACCAGTGACATCATCAGCAACCTGACGCCCGGCGCCCAATACCGCGTGGTCGTCTACCACACCAACGGCCCTCTGACCAGCCCGCCGTCCGAACCGGTCATCATCGACATCGGTGAGTTTCCCTCCTACTTCCTGGCGGGCGGAGCCGGGCCGTTTCCTGTGTGGGCGGAGCCTGTCTGACTGAGCGGGTGCGTTTGGCTCAGAGCCCACAGGCGTGCGGGAGCTGGCGGTGTACCCTCTGGGCCCCACGGCGGTGGTCCTCAGCTGGCAGCGGCCGTACCACGTGGCCTTCAGGAAGTACGTCCTGCAGACCTTCTTCTTCAACCCCGTCACGTTGGCGTCCGAGTGGACCACCTACTACGAGATCGCCGCCACCGCCTCCGTCATCGCCACCGTGGTAACCGCCGTCTACGGAGGGTCGGTGCTTTGTGCCGCTGGCGGCGGCTGACTCGGTTCTGGTTCTGTTTGTCCCCAGAGGGTCACCGACCTGCTGCCCGCCTGGTACTACAACTTCAGGGTTTCCATGGTAACCTGGGGCGACCCGCCGCTCACCTGCTGCGACGGCTCTACGGTCAGCTTTGTTACAGGTACGGGCCGGAACCGGGACCGGGACCAAGCTGTTGGATCCAGAACCACTGTTCTGGTCCAGTTGGAGGTTCTGTCTAAACGGGCCTGTTCCCAGCTCCAGAGGCGCCCCACATCTCGTCGGTGGATTACTCCCAGGGGGTTCTGGTGGTCCGGTGGACCTACGGCGAGCTCTTCATCGACCTGAGCCACTCCAGGATGCTGCACTGGCAGGTGGAGGCCGTGGGCAAGAAGGGGCCGCAGAGGAGATACTCTGTAGACGTAAGGAACCCGATTCTGGTTCTGACGGGGCGGCTCGGGCCGTAGCCTCAGTCTGAGTCGGTTCTGTTCCCCAGGTGACCCGGAACGCCATGCGGGCCAGCCTGCCGCTGCCGCCGGGAGACATCTACAACCTGACGGTGACGGCGTGCACGGAGCGCAGCAGGAACACATCTGTTCCCAACATCATCAAACTGGGTCAGAACCAGACCAGAACACACACGCACTGCAGAAGGCTTGATTGTGTCGGCCAGATTCAGATCCTCCGAACGGATCTGGACGGCGGGAATAAACGTAAAACTCAGTCATAATAAAGTTATAAGTAAAACGTAATATTGTTTAAGTTAAATGTTATGGATGTTAATTATTGTTGCACATAATCTTCAAACCATTTAAACACAAGATTGGAATATTTTATTTAGTAAATTAGAAATTCCTTGTTAGTTTTAGTAATTTCTTAAAAATGTTAAAGAATCACTTCAGGACTTTCATCCAGACGGAGAACGATGCTGTAAATCTTCCGTTTTATTTCAGAAAGTCCTAAATCTGATCTTCTGAACGTTTTCTGAGGAAATGTTTGAAACTCCACAAGGAATCAGGAATCAATGTGAATCTGAGGCAGGTTTGTTGTTGTAGTTCTGCTGTCTGCCGCTAGGGGCGCCAGAGAACTGCATGACAGGACCAGCAGTGGACCTAAAGATGGCGACTCGCGACTGTCCAGAACATTCCTAACTTTATTCAGGATTTCCTCTGGGGGTCAGAATTATACATACACCCCCTCAAACAGTGAATGAGCAGGATCTGGACCACGCCCGTCCTGATTGGCTGAAGAGCCCAAACGTCTCAGTCCAGCTTTTGGTGCTGCTTCACGTTTCAGCCCACAGCATGGTGCTGCCACTACCGTGTGTGACAGCGAGAGGCAGAGGACGTGAGCGCGGCTTCGTCCATCCTGACGGGTCCATAACCAAACAGGAAGTAGGTCATCTCTGGCTCAGGATGAAATGTGTTAGTTTCAGTTTTTTTAGTTCAGAGGTTCTGCTGGGTTCTGCCCGTCCAGCGCCGCCGATTCGGACTCGTCGGTGAAAGCGAAACAGAAACTGGCCGGGTCCACTTCCTCTTATGGCGTCTTTAAGTGGCGCCACTTGGAGGAAGTGGCGACGGTCCGGTTCAGCCCGGTTCAGCCCAGCTGATGGAATGTTTGTCCCGCAGAGCCAGCCCCTCCCCGCCTGTTGCTGGCCGTCAACGCCACACACTCGTCTGTCACGCTGCTGTGGAGCGAGGACGGCGTGGTGGACTACTACCAGGTTCTGTGCCGACCCAACTGGGCCAGCAAGGAGCTGAAGGTAAGCCCGCCTCACACGAGTCTGGGTTCAGAAACGGGAGGGGTTCTGCTCCCAAGTGCACCCAGAACCAGAACCAGCAGAAAGAGAAGCTGAGCGTTAAAACAGGGAAGAAATTTTATCAATATTTTTTTGTTTTTACTGATTTTCTTTATTTCTCATCAAATTTCCCCACAGAATGATAAATCTGGTTCTGATCCGACCCGATTTCTATTGCATTTCAATTTTTTTTCGTTTTCTTCTTTTTTATGGTGAAAATTGTAGAACTGAATCAATTCGTTCAGATTTATTTATTGTTTTCCTGTTTCCATCAGAATTTAGTAAAAAGTTCTGACGCTCCTGATCCAGAACCGCTTCACCTCGGCCCATTTGGTCCAGAATAATCAGAACCACAGTAATCCTCAGGTTCTGATTCTGGTTCTGAAATTACCTCCAAGAGTTTCTAATGTGTTCTGGAACCAGATGATGGAGTCCGACTGCCTGACCTGGTTCTGTTCCAGAAGCTGAAGGTTCTCCAGAACTTCCTGGTGAACTGGACGGATCAAAGCAGAACCTAGATCAGTTGTCAGCAGGATCTCTGTGGTTCTGACCTGTCCAGCTCTCTGGACCAGAACATTGATCGGATCAGAACCAGTTCAGTCAGAAGGCTCACACTGAGCATGCTCAGATGAACGTGTTGTGGTTCTGTTCTGACGTGTGGCTCCCCCTGCAGGCCGGAGAGCCCATCACCTCCACCGCTCAGGTTCTGACCGTTTCGGGTCTGGTTCCGTCGTCCAGCTACAACTGCAGCGTGACGAGCTTCAGCTACAGCTCAGCCAGCCGGCCGGCCCGCATCACTGTCACCACCGCAGGTAGGGGGCGCCGTGGAAACCTTAAACATGTTTTAGCCAGATCGACACAAAGTAGTGGAAAAATCTGAAAAGTGTGGCGGGCTTTTTATTCTGCTTCCCTCTGATGGCTGAGTCTCACTCCAGTGGTTCTGGTTCTGGTCTCAGAGGTTCTGGCTCACCAGCTCAAACTTAAGGTTTTTTAAGACCAAAACAAATGAAATGTTCTTCCTGCGTTATTAAAACAAGTTCAATACTGGAAAGTTGCTGAACTTCGTTCCTCACAATGAATGCAGGTCGACTCAGTCATCGCCCAACGACCAATGATAAATTTACTCTTCCCCAATAAAACTAGCTAGTCGGGTATATTAGCAGCTAGTTAGCGTTAGCATCAGCCGCTTTGAGATGTTTGTGCCTTAAACCAAAATCCTGCTAGAAAAATAAACTCAAGATGAAAATGTGCTGCCACCATAAAATGTGAGACGTTTTTAAGACCAACTTCTGCTTTGAATTTAAGATTTGAGTTTTTATCATGTTGAGATGATTTTCATCGACCTGCTGCAGATTAACCAACTGAACTGAAACATCTTTAAGGGAATTACATTTAAACAGGAAGTTATAAATAAAGACTTCCTGTCATCTTCAGTTTGCAGAACTAGAATTTAAATAAGTGGTGATCATGTCTTCCCTGACATTAAACTCACTTCCTGCTGGACTTCCTGTGTGATTAATGACCTGATCTCAATTATTCCTGCTTTTATTTAAATCCGCCTCATTAAAGGCAGCAGGAGGCTTTTATTGTGAAGGTGTTGAGCAGGTGTTGAGAGTAGGCTCCGCCTCCTGATGTTGTAATGGAGCGTGTGTGTGTGTGTGTGTGTGTGTGTGTGTGTGTGTGTGTGTGTGTGTGTGTGTGTGTGTGTGTGTGTGTGTGCAGCCAAAGAGATGAACCCGAGCGTGGCGGCCATCTCGGCGCTGGCCGTCCTGAGCGTCCTGCTCATCAGTCTCCTCGTTCTCTTCCTGCTTGTCCTCCGCAAGAAACACCTGCAGATGACCAGGTGAGGCTGAACCAGACCGGTTGGTCCTGAGAGCCGAAGAGCTTCCTGATCTGAACTCAGATTAAAATCTTGAAATGTTCAGAAAACAGAAGGAAAAACAGGATTTATTAAAATACCAACCGAATTACAATAATAAAAATATTAATAATAATAATCTGAAGACCATCTGGTGTCTAAACTGGAAAGGATCTTCTGCTAATATTTTCCTTTTTAATAATTACAGCAACACTTTTATTTTTGTCTGCTAAATCAATTATGAACTCAATATTTGAATGAAGCTATTGAATTTAAACCAAAACCTTTTCCAAGTTTTCCAGATTTAAAACATAAACAGCAAAGCTGTCGTCTTTTTTTAGGTTTGTTCTCGTGAATTTGAGCATTTTATTTATTTTCCTGACTTTATTAAATGTTTGTGGCCAATGCTGCATTTTATTAGACGGCACTGGATTAGTAATAAATTCAGTTCAAACCGGATGATTTAATTAAATGATCATTTGTTTTGTTGTGATTTGTCTTTATTTTGACTTTTTTCACTCAGGTTTAGTTTTAAATCTCTTCAGGCTAGTAAAGATTTTGTTTGTCTTTAGTTTTATTTTTGGCGTTTTATATTTCGTTTTATTTTAGTTTCTGTTTTGGGTTTTTATTTTTTGTCTTTTGTTTCGTGTCATTTTTTAACTTCCTCGTTTAGTGAAAAAATAACACGAAGTGAGAATAATTGCGTTGCGTAACGTGAGTGGTTTGAATCAAGCAGATAGAGGCTGATTTTCCGTTATTCTTCACTTCCTGCTGACTTCCTGTTTTTCCGTGACTTCCTGTCTGATCCTGTCGCTTCGTGTTGCAGGAACTGCGGCGCCGAGACCTTCGTTAACTTCGCCTCGTTTGAGCGAGATGGGAAGCTTCCCTACAACTGGTACGCTCCTCTTCTTATTCTGCTGCTGCAGGTGGTTGGGTTGCCGTTGGCGACGGGCCGCCGCAGCATCACTTCCTCATTTCACAGCTGCACACAGGAAGTAGGAAGCAGGAAGCAGCCGAGTGGACGGACAGATTGATGAGGCAGATTAGGATGTGAACTTGCAGCTTTAATGTTGTGTGTGGCCCTTTAAGGTGATGATGATGATGATGATGATGATGACAAACCCTGTTTGTTGAAGATGAAGGCTCAGGTCTAATCTGTTGCTTTAAGACCCAGTTGTTCTAAAAACAGAAATGAGAGCCGTCCATCAGTCATCCTTTCAAAATAAAAGCCTCTGAGTCGGCGCTGTGGCTGAAGGTTCTGGTTCTGGTTCTGGTGGTTAATATAAGAGCTGAAAGACGATCAGTAAAGGCAGAACCCCGTCACTAAACATTTCATCAGTGTGTCGGGCTCTTATTGTGAAGGGCAGCTGTGTTTCTGTGAGGAAGAGGAGGATGAAGATGATTTCAGCCAGAACCAGCCGAGGACCGGATGGGTCCCATCGAATCTGTACCAGAGAGCTGACCAATATTTACTTGAACTGTTCCACAGTAATGCTGATTTGTTTTCTGGTTCTGGTTGACGGTTCCACTCCCAGTCTGCCTCTGCTGCTTTATGACGCCCCTCCCCCCGTGCTGAGCTCATCAGAACCGTCACGGCGGCGTTGTGGGCGGAGCCGGCGGTGGCAGCGCCATGCTTTAACTCTGCACTAATGAAGCCTCTTTACTAACGGAGCTCCATGTTTTGTCCTCTCCCTGTCGCCCCCTGGTGTCTGTTCTCTTTATTTTCTCTTTTTGTGTCTGTTTATTTGAACCTTCAGGCGAAGAAGCCTCTTTGCCTTCCTTACCCTCCTGCCATCCTGCCTTTGGACTGACTATCTTTTGGCTTTTTATATTAATCCGTGGTAAGTAAGCGCCTGCTGCACTTTGGGGCATGTTCACCGCCAGTCCGTCGGTCACAGTTTGAACTCAGAGACGCACAGATCAGTCTGATGTGTGTTCATTCTTCCAGACTCTTGGAGTCCCTCAGGGCTCTGAACCAGGAACTCTGGGTTTTCCTGACTCCTCACCTAGAAATCTCTGAACTGAGGAAATGGTGTTCCTCAGGGCCGCATTCTTGGTCCTCAAACACGTTTTTAATGTTTGCTTTTGCTTCATGGAAACCATAGAGTGGGAGGACTTTAGTTTTCTCTGCTCATCAGTTTTCCACAAATAAAAATAAACTTTTTTATATAATTTAGATGTTTTGACCGGTTTCAACAGATTTTTCAATAGAAAAATTTGACAAATAGCCTGAAGTTTTATCATTATTTGCTGCTTGAATTCCTTCATTTGGCCTTTTTAAGACCAGAAACGTCGTCATGACGTTCCTGTTGGATCGTTTTCTCAGTGTGAACTACTGAAAGTGTGACGTAAATCCTGATGTTTCAGTGGATGTTCAGACACACCAGACTGCAGCGTCTCTGTTCCTCTGTTAACTTCTGCGTTAGCTCCTCTGTTAGCTTCTGTTAGCTCCTACGTTAGCTCCTCTGTTAGCTTCTGCGTTAGCTCCTCTGTTAGCTCCCGCGTTAGCTCCTCTGTTAGCTCCTGCGTTAGCTCCTCTGTTAGCTTCTGCGTTAGCTCCTCTGTTAGCTCCTGCGTTAGCTCTTCTGTTAGCTCCCTGCGTTAGCTCCTCTGTTAGCTTCTGCGTTAGCTCCTCTGTTAGATCCTCTGTTAGCTCCTGCATTAGCTTCTGTGTTAGCTTCTGCGTTAGCTCCTCTGTTAACTTCTGGGTTAGCTCCTCTGTTAGCTCCTACGTTAGCTCCTCTGTTAGCTTCTGCGTTAGCTCCTCTGTTAGCTCCCGCGTTAGCTCCTCTGTTAGCTCCTGCGTTAGCTCCTCTGTTAGCTTCTGCGTTAGCTCCTCTGTTAGCTCCTGCGTTAGCTCTTCTGTTAGCTCCTGCGTTAGCTCCTCTGTTAGATCCTCTGTTAGCTCCTGCATCAGCTTCTGTGTTAGCTTCTGCGTTAGCTCCTCTGTTAGCTTCTCGGTTAGCTCCTCTGTTAGCTCCTGCGTTAGCTTATGCGTTAGCTCCTCTGTTAGCTTCTGGGTTAGCTCCTCTGTTAGCTCCTGCGTTAGCTCCTCTGTTAGCTCCTGCGTTAGCTCCTCTGTTAGCTCCAACAACGTGGACGTCCGCAGCATGATGCCGACTCCGCTTCGCCGCATGCCGTCAGTCACTCGGGAGCTCAGGCTCTGTAGATATGCATGATCCTGGTTTCCTGTGAATTCAGAGGCATTTCAAAGTAAAAGCATGAATGGTTAGAGTCATGGGTTCCAGGCAGGTAATGGGTTTGGGTGCACGGTGTTGATCTCCGGTTTGGCTTCTTCTCTGAAAGGTTTCTGGAAGCCTGTGGCTGAAAAAAACATTTCTTCATAAAAGAAATGGTTATTTCCTCATCTTTTGCTCTGATGAAACATTTAACCCACTTGTTTCCGTGATGGTAAAACTTTTGTAGGAACTAAAATGCATCTAGAAGGTATAACTTTAAAATTGTGTTTCTAAAAGTCAAATAAAAACAAATCTGTTCCCAAATTCAACTTTTCAGTACAAATGAAAGATTTTTGTGATGTGGAAGCAGACAGATGGAAACTTGCAGCCACAGACTTCCTGCCTGTGTTTCTACCGTATTTCCTCTAATAGTTCATCCCACAGTTGGAAAACTGTGGGATGAACGTTGGAAAAATAAAACATAATTTTTTTTTTACAATTTTATTGTTTAAAATTTTTTATACTGAGATTTTTATTATTGTCAATGGAGAATATAATACTCTATTAGTAAATTATAAGAGCATTTTAACTATAAATTTATCAAAATTTTGTAATTAGATATTTTTGTTTGAAGAAAATATCGAGTTATAAGAAAAAGAACCTCATGAATAGTAAAATAATATTAGAAGAAATGCGGGCTTAAACCTCCAATAACCCACAGGACTCGTCTGTGCAGCTGCCGATTCCACAGGTCAAAGGAAAGCATGGAAACGGATCAGAACCGCCTCACTGGACTCTAACGTTCTGATGATGAAAGTCCAGTAAATTCTGGTTCCACAGCTGAAACAGAATAAACCAAAATATAGCGCCAGCAGGGGGCAGTGCTGCTGCACAGACAGTCCTGAGCTGCTGCTGCTGCTGCTGCTGCTGCTGCTGCTGCTGCTGCTGCTGCTGCTGATGATGATGATGATGATGTTTGGATTTCACGCTCTTTGTGTTTTTAGGAGCAAAACGGCGTTAAAGAAACGGAAGCTGACCAGGTAACCGAGTCCTGAAGCTTCAGACTCTGATTGTTTGTCCAGCTTCAGCCATCAGCTCCACCCTGACCTTTAACCCTTTAACCCTGACCTTTAACCTGCTCCTCCATCTGTCCTTCACTCATCCCATCTAATCTGGGAGATAATCCGTCACTCCTGCGACCCAGACTGATCTCAGAAACAGGAAAGTGTCGTTAATCCGTATCGGGTCCAGAATCGGTGCCATGGCGGGTCGGAGAGGTTCTTGATCTCCAGTTTTGGGAACAAAAACAGAAAGTTGATCCAGTCTGACGTTCCTCCTTCTGGAGAGCAGAACATCCGGAACCAGCAGCTGGACCGATCCGCTCCAAAGGTTCTGCACCAGAACCTTCGTCCTTCACCATGTGGTGGTAGAGGTGGTATCATGCTGTGGGCTTGGAGGCGTGTCCTCGGCAGAGACCGCGCTCCATTGGACAGCTGAAGATATCTGGACCAATCAGGAGCCAGACAGGAAAATCCTGTTTCTGCAACCTGCTGGTTCTGATGAGGCAGCAGAACATTTTTCTGCTGCGGTTCTGGAAGTCCAGACTGCTTCATCCCAGACACAACAGAACCTTAAACAGAACATTCTGGATTAGAACCTTTCGACTGTTCTGATCCTGCTCTGGGTTTTCATTGGCTGTCAGCCGTTTTGATGTTTGGCGGTCTGAGTGGCGCCGCTCAACTCAAATGCTGCAGTCATTGAGTTGCACCTTTGGGTCATTATGGTTCTGTTGGGAGGTTCTGGTTTGGGAAGAGGAGGCTGGGTTTTGGACCTGGGGAGCCAGACTCTGAACCCTGAGCTCCAGCAAGAACCGACAGGATGAAGATTAGATTAGGATTACTGACTTCCTCTGGGTTGCGGTTTGGACCAGAACCAAACTTCTCAGAACCGTCTGACTTGGTTTGTGTTTGCAGCCCGGTGCAGCTGGACGACTTCGAGGCCTACTTCAAGGACATGAGCAAAGACTCCGCCTACAAGTTCTCCCTGCAGTTCGAGGTACGACTCGGAGACATGCTGTCCTCCAGGGGAACCGCCGGGCTGCCGACCCGGATGGGTTTAGAAACCGGCCGGTTCTCCATCAGTACTGAAATCTGCATGTTTTCCAGGAGCTGAAGAGCGTCGGCCTGGATCTGACCCACGATGCCGCCGACCTGCCGGTCAACAGGCCCAAGAACCGATACACCAACATCCTGCCCTGTGAGTCCGGACCCGGTCTGAACCCGGTTCCAGACCCAGACAGAGTTCTGCTGAACTCTGTCTGGGTCTGAAGCTCATCTCCTGACTAACTGCCCTCCCCTCAGATGACTTCAGTCGGGTCAAGCTGGTCTCCATGCACAACGACGAAGGTTCTGATTACATCAACGCCAACTACATCCCCGTGAGTCACCGCCGGCGCCGCTTCCTCTCCCACGACCCGTCAACAAGTTCCAGAACACCACGGCTCGGCCCGCCTCGGCCCAAATGCAGAAACCTTCATATTTAATCAAATCAAATTTATTTGTATAGAGCATTTCAGCAGCAAGACATCAAAGAGCTTTATTAACAAAACATTGAAACATATTACATTTCAAATAAAACTCTAAACAGGTCCTGGTCCTGGTCCAGGTCCTGGTCCTGGTCCTGGTCCAGGTCCAGTCCTGGTCCTGGTCCAGTCCTGGTCCAGTCCTGGTCCTGGACCTGGTCCTGGTCCTGGTCCAGTCCTGGTCCTGGTCCAGGTCCTGGTCCAGTCCTGGTCCTGGTCCTGGTCCTGGTCCAGTCCTGGTCCTGGTCCAGGTCCTGGTCCGGTCCTGGTCCTGGTCCTGGTCCTGGTCCTGGTCCAGGTCCTGGTCCTGGTCCTGGTCCTGGTCCTGGTCCTGGTCCAGGTCCAGGTCCTGGTCCAGGTCCTGGTCCAGTCCTGGTCCTGGTCCTGGTCCAGGTCCAGGTCCTGGTCCAGGTCTTGGTCCAGGTCCTGGTCCAGTCCTGGTCCTGGTCCTGGTCCAGGTCCTGGTCCTGGTCCTGGTCCAGGTCCAGGTCCTGGTCCTGGTCCTGGTCCAGGTCCTGGTCCAGTCCTGGTCCAGGTCTTGGTCCAGTCCTGGTCCTGGTCCAGGTCCTGGTCCTGGTCCTGGTCCTGGTCCTGGTCCAGTCCTGGTCCTGGTCCAGTCCTGGTCCAGTCCTGGTCCTGGACCTGGTCCTGGTCCTGGTCCAGTCCTGGTCCTGGTCCAGGTCCTGGTCCAGTCCTGGTCCTGGTCCTGGTCCTGGTCCAGTCCTGGTCCTGGTCCAGGTCCTGGTCCGGTCCTGGTCCTGGTCCTGGTCCTGGTCCTGGTCCAGGTCCTGGTCCTGGTCCTGGTCCTGGTCCTGGTCCAGGTCCAGGTCCTGGTCCAGGTCCTGGTCCAGTCCTGGTCCTGGTCCTGGTCCAGGTCCAGGTCCTGGTCCAGGTCTTGGTCCAGGTCCTGGTCCAGTCCTGGTCCTGGTCCTGGTCCAGGTCCTGGTCCTGGTCCTGGTCCAGGTCCAGGTCCTGGTCCTGGTCCTGGTCCAGGTCCTGGTCCAGTCCTGGTCCAGGTCTTGGTCCAGTCCTGGTCCTGGTCCAGGTCCTGGTCCTGGTCCTGGTCCTGGTCCAGTCCTGGTCCTGGTCCAGGTCCTGGTCCTGGTCCAGGTCCTGGTCCTGGTCCTGGTCCAGGTCCTGGTCCTGGTCCAGGTCCAGGTCCAGGTCCTGGTCCTGGTCCAGGTCCTGGTCCTGGTCCTGGTCCTGGTCCAGGTCCAGGGCCTGGTCCAGTCCTGGTCCTGGTCCAGGTCCAGGTCCTGGTCCTGGTCCTGGTCCTGGTCCTGGTCCTGGTCCAGGTCCAGCAGGAGTCTGAAGTCCTGAAGGGTCCATACGGTTCCGACCGGACCAAGAATCCCAGAGAACTGGTTCATAAAACCCATTTATGGCTCTTTAGGGCATCAAAAAGTTTAAATTCTGTTCTTCCTGTTTGGACAGGAAGTCTTTATTCTCCTGATGTCATAAAGGTGTAAAAAAGCAGATTTATTGGCGTTCTGTTTGTTTAAGTCATAAAACAAAAGCAGAAGTTGTTTGGGATTGCAGATAGAAACAGGAAGTAACAGAAATGATTCTCTCAGCTGGTTTGAAATAACGGCTGAAGTTTCTGATTATGACAAAAATCCAAAACTGACGTTGGATCCTGATTCAGTCGTCCAGGTCCTGGTTCTGAAAGCGTCGGGATCTCAAGAGCAGTTTGACCTTCCTGACATTCTGAGCATGAAATATCGGAGCTGAGTGTGCTGCTCTTGATTCTGCTCCTCTGATCCGGTTTCGGTTTCAGGGATACCGACATTCCAAGGAGTACATCGCCACCCAGGGGCCACTGCCGGAGACGCGCAACGATTTCTGGAAGATGGTTCTGCAGCAGAAGTCGCCCATCATCGTCATGCTGACGCAATGCAACGAGCGCCGCAGGGTGAGCAGCTGGTCCGGTCCGGTCCGGTCCGGTGCAAATTCACATCATACAACAGTCCTGTTTATTAGAAACACATCTGGTCACCACTAGGTGGCGCTGTTCCTACCAGTATCTACAGTCAGATACGGGCTGGAGTCTGCCCCCTGCTGGCCGGTGGTTGTATCGTCCCGGCTGAAGTTTTGCGTTTTGCAGGTGAAGTGCGACCACTACTGGCCGTTCACAGACGAGCCGGTCATGTACGGCGACATCAGCGTGGAGATGCTTTCTGAGGAAGGCTCTCCGGAGTGGATCATCAGGAAGTTTCGACTTGGCTATGTGAGTCTTCTTCTCCTGAAGACGTGGCTTTAAAGGTCCGATCAGAACCGCCATGACTCTCTGCTGCCCTCTGCAGGCGGACGAGACCCTGGACGTCCTCCACCTGAACTACACCTCGTGGCCGGATCACGGCGTTCCCACGGTCAACGCCATCGAGAGCATCCTGCAGTTCGTCCACATCGTCCGGCAGCAGGCCAACAGGACCAAAGACCCCATAGTCGTCCACTGCAGGTCCGGTTCTGGTTCTGGTGTCATATAATCCGTCAGGTGACCTCGCAGAACCAGGCATATTAGAGACCAAGAAATGTTTAGAGCTGGAGCTCGTTGGTTCTGCTGGCGACCCATTAGAACCCAGATGTTTCTGTTTCAGCGCCGGCGTGGGCAGAACCGGAACCTTCATGGCCCTGGACCGCCTGATGCAGCACATCAGGGAACACGAGTTCGTGGACATCCTGGGCATGGTGTCGGACATGAGGTCCCACCGGCTGTCCATGGTCCAGACCGAGGTCAGCCGAGTCCGGGCTTCAGCACGACACACACACACACACACACACACACACACACACACACACACACACAGACACAGACACACACACACACACACACACAGACACACACACACACACACACACACACAGACACACACAGACACACACACACACACACACACAGACACACACACACAGACACACACACACACACACACACACACAGACACACAGACACACACACACACACACACACACACAGACACACACAGACACACACACACACACACACACAGACACACACACAGACACACACACACAGACACACACACAGACACAGACACACACACACACACACACAGACACACACACAGACACACACACACAGACACACACACAGACACACACACCTTCTGCCACGACTCAGACTGTGTGTGTCTGTGTGTGTCTGTGTGTGTGTGTGTGTGTGTGTGTGTGTGTGTGTGTGTGTCTGTGTGTGTGTGTGTGTGTCTGTGTGTGTGTCTGTGTGTGTGTGTGTGTGTCTGTGTGTGTGTGTGTCTGTGTGTGTGTGTGTGTGTGTGTGTGTGTGTGTGTGTGTGTGTGTGTGTGTGTGTGTGTGTGTGCAGGAGCAGTACGTCTTCATCCATCAGTGCGTCCTCCTGATGTGGCAGAAGAAGAAGCAACAGTCCATCACATCTGATGTCATCTATGAAAACTCCAGCAAGACATAATGAGATGCGAGTCCAGGTAACCTCCGGCTGGTTCAGGTACCAGCTGATTCAGAACTGGATACAATCAGAACTGGGCTCAGAACCAGCTGCAGATCAGTTCCTGCAGCTGGTTTCGAGCCATCAGAACCAGTAAAGTCCACTGGTCTAGGAAGTTATTCAGAGTTACTGCTTAGTTGATTGAATGTTTGGTTGGTTCCTGTTTTCTTTAGTGGTGTGGTTTGGATACCGACCAGTTGGTTGAATCCTGGATTTTTCCAGCTGAGTGTCGGATCTTGACGTTCCCAGCAGATCCGGTCGGTGGTTAGCATGCTAACTGGCAGCAGCGGCGTGTGACCAGGTTGTCCTCTGCGCTGCTCGTTGTCTTGCAGGCGGCGAAGGGGTGACGGCGCTTCAGGCATCCATTCTCTGTAGAAAATGACCCGCTTCATCATCAAAACCAGAACATGACAGAGTGACCTTTGACCCAGGCTTTTAGTTGACTCGGTGTCCTGGCGTTTGATGGAGTTCTGCCTTAAGGAATTTTCACTGACTGAGCAGAACCATTCAGGTTGTTTCCAGCAACCCGCCATGATGCAGGATCTCTGACCTCTGACCTCTGGGGGTCTGAGTCAGCAGTTTTCCATTTGATGTCGTTTTTTTATCTCAGGATTTGCTGGAAGCCTGCGCACCGACTTCCTTTGCTTTGTCACATTTAGTTTCTGCCTCAGTCAGCGCTGGCGGTTAGCAGCTAGCCACTGGCAGCTAGCAGGATGCTGATTGGACACTGCCATTAGAACTGATCCTAGCGCTGCAGAACCCCCAACACAGGAAGAGGACGGCCAGGTTGTTCACATGTCTGGGAGCACTGGGAATGCCGCAGTTTAACTTTGCACTGAGGCCAAGGGAAGAAGGAGCCTTCGGAGCGATCGCTGCGTTTCCGTCGCTTTGCTTCAAAGTGAAGAAAAGCTTCAGCAGCAGCAGCGACGTTTCATCAGAACCGGAGCACAAGGGCTTCAGGAAAAGGGAATTCTGGGAAATTCTAGGCAGCAGATCCGGTCCGGAGACAAAGGCTCAAACATCTGATCAGAACCGCAGCTGGAAATCAGCTGCTGGCTGAACCTCCTCCTTCTTTCTGCCTGACCTTTGACCCTGCAGCTCCCATGGATAGAAACGATGCACCAGAATAAATCCAGTCAGCTTCAGGCAGGTTAAGAGATTAAACTCAATGCTCCAAAAATCAATTTAACACTAAGTAGCTCATCATTGGTGGGTCTGGATTAAATAATCCCAGATGTTTGTTTTCTCTAAATCTAAAATTCAAAATGTTTCAGAAGAAAAGACCTAAAACATTTTTCCCACCTTAAACCAGGAGGCTTAAGGTGGTAAAGATGAAAGCAGTCAGTTTGATGAAAACGTCTCTGGGATCAAAGCTAATCATGTCGTTCTCGTCTTTAACACTAGGTGGCAGTAAATGTTACTCATTGTATCTGTAAATCTGGAATCATCAAATATCTGTTTATTTTAATTCTCAAAACATACTGGAAAACTTATTTTTAAACTCTGAATATAGAAAAACTAAATTATTTTTGGAGTTGTTATAAAGACCTGGTGAGTCAAATTCAGGACTGTTTGGCGCCCCCAGTGGCCGTTCTGTGAAGCGTCTGCTGTTTTTTCCATATCAAGTTTTGGTTTTTCATCCTTTTCTGATTTTATGCCTTGAAGGTTGAATCGCTCTGGATCTCCATGACTTTAGAGAATGTCTCACTGAACCCAAACTATTGCTCTGCATTCAGGAAGTGCACGGTGTTGTCAAAATAAAAGCTCAACTTCTGTCATCATTGCAGTTTTCAGCTTCAGAAACTAAAAGGGTTTTGGTTTCATGGCCTTATTTTGAAATCTTTTTTTCTAGTGAAACTATTAACGACAAAATCTGTTTTATCAAAAGTAACATTTTTCATTGTTTCTGATTTATATAAAAAAATTGATCTTGGTAAAAATAGAAACGTATTCCATTATTAATGAAAATGTTTTATTTAAAGAATGAAGAGTTTTTCATTGTTATGTTTTCATGCTGATAACTTGCTGGAGTTCCACATATTGCTGCTGTAATGTCAGCTTTGTGTTGGTATTTTGATTTTGACAGCTGTTTGGTTACAAGTTCAGACTGAACTTTATTACACATGGAGCTTTTATTTTGGTGGGAATAAAAGAGAGTGGAGCATTTTGAGGACATTGTGTCTTTTTGTACACAGCTTTTAGTGAATGTGGGAGTAAAGAAAAGCACAGTTTCTGTTGAGCAGCTTGGTGTTGTGGCCTTGTGGTTCCTCAGTCGCCTCGTTCTGCTTCTGGCTCCAATTCACTGTTCGATATCAGATGAACTGTACATAAAAGTGCTGATGAACTGCTTGTTATTGCTCAGAACTTCTTGTGAAACTGTTGCTTTAGGCTTTTTTCTACAGTTGTAAATGTAAATCTTGACTCAGAGGACTCTGGAACATTTCACGGTTCTTTCTCTTGCTTAGTGTGTCCAGTCCAAACTCGTACGTCGTTGGTGCCAATTTTCTTGTGCATTGTGTCACTTACAGTTTGACCTGAAACTGTCAGAATTTTCATGTGTGTTCAATTAAAATGTTGCAGAGATCCTCGTCTCATTTTATGCGTCCTGAGAAAAAGTTCTGCTGTTTTCTACTTTAAAGTTGCTGAAGCTGAAACAGGAAGGCTGTGCAGTGAAGCAATCGTCACTAAATCTGAGAAACAAAAGACTTGATCTGTCTGATCGTTAAACAATGAGAGTCTGATCATTCTGGAGAAACTAAAATCATACATACTCTGACACTCCGACGTCATAGTATGCGTAAACTGTGTGCGTTACAACATTTGACTTCATTTTTGTCGTCATAGTACACTATGTCATATTTTACCTCTTTAAGGTTTTTTGGCTATTGTGGCCTTTATGTGATAGTTAATTGACAGAAAGGACTAATGCCTCCATATGACCTCATTTCAAAGTCCTACTATAATATGCAACATTTTACCCAACTTTTGTAGTCGAAGTAAACTGTGTGCCATTTTACCTCATTTCTGACATCATAGTTTACTATACACTGTTTTACGTCAACTTTGATGCATGGTGCACTATGACATCGAAAATGACCTAAAATGACAAAGTATTCTGACTTCATTTACTAAAGTGAAGCTTAGTGGCCTCTGTTGGTAAAGTGACGTGATACTATGACATCATAAAGGAGCTCAACTGAAACTACGACATCAATGAAGTCAACTGCCATGTTACACTGTGACATCAAGAATGAGGTCAATCGGATACGAAACGTGAAAAATCAAGTTCAACGACCATCAAAGGAAACAGAAAACTGAGGTCAAAAATAATAGAACATCTTCAACAATGAGGTAAAGTCTAAACAGAGGTAATAGGAGGCATGTTATGAGGTAAAATTATGCAAATATCTAACATTTCCTAAAATATTGCAGTGTACTATGTTGAAAATTAGGTAAAATAATGTACTGTCATTTTGTGTAAAATATAAGCTTGTTTTTGATGTTGTAGTTTCGTGTTTGAGAGATGATCAATGTTTTTTATTGTGTAACCACGTCTGTCAAATATTTCTCCTGAAATGATGAGAACAATGTTACGAAATAGAGCATGTCATTTTGCAACAGGTGAGTTTGTTTCAAATGTTTTGAGCAGCAGTCAGGGATTTATGGAAATCCTTTATTGCAGAATGAGCAGATACATGGAAAAAGGCACGATGAAAACTACTAACGCTGCTTTCTGATTGGCCACTACACCTGATTAGATACAAACACCTCTAATCATGTTTAAAGCAAAGAAGCTCAGGTTCATCAGTCATCACAGCGCTGCAGCGCCTCAATTCACAGCCCAACTTCTTCTCCTTGCAGCAGAAGTTTTCACATTGGTACCGGCTACATTGGTACCGGCTACATTGGTACCGGCTACATTGGTACCGGCTACATTGGTACCGGCTACATTGGTACTGGCGCCAGCCGGACCGGTGGGACGTCTCCCCGTACATGTGGGCGGAGCCTGGAGAAGAGTCAGTGAAACTCAGCAGGTCGTCTACATTCAGATCAGCAAATCTAGAATTAATGTGTTTACAGCAGTTTGATCTTCCATTAATCATTAATATGGTCCTTCAGATTAAAAGCCTCAGAATGGATCAGGAAGTTGCCGTTCTCAGGCTTGTTGGTCAAACGGATCAGTCTGCGTTTATTAACTCAGCAGCTTCAGTTTGTGCTCATCTTAGATTTTTATCCCATTTGGTCTAGAACTAGAATATTCCAGATCTTAATCATATAAACTAAACTTTATGATTCTCAGAAATAAATCCAGCTTTCATGCACAGATGAAGATATGAGCAGAACTCTTCATATTCTGCTTGAAGTACCAATCAGAGGTATTTATGCATCAACGTTTTTCTGCCTTCCAGGAATGAGAATCAAACTGAGAGGCACAGAGAGCTGCCTGCAGGCGCTCCGACATTAATACTGTGAGGCTTCGCTTTGGAAAAATCAGCTACAAGTAGCAGAACGTCCCTGTGAAGATCAGGCAAACATGGCAGAAGGTTCTGTGATTTCTGGATGTCC